AACTGACCTAATTGCGGAACTTAAAATTTCAAAGGACATACCGGGAATCAAAAAAATGAAGGTAGAAAAGCAAATGGCTAATCGTATGGACTCTGAACACTATTCCGAAATAACTAAACAATTCACGGCAAATAATTATGTGGATCAAGTAAGTAACTTATTTAAGTAATAACCAAAAGACGGACACTTCATAAGTTGTCAAAGATCTATATGCAGATACCTGACAAGGATCCATCTGGTAATGTTATACCAGATTGGAAGAGACAAATGTTAGCAAAAAAAGCAGCTGAACGTGCCAAAAAAGATTTCGAGGATCGCATGGCTAAGGAAGCGGAAAGTCGTCGTCTCTCACAAATACCACAATGGAAACGTGATTTATTGGCGCGACGCGAAGAAACTGAAAATAAATTAAAGTCAGTATCACACACTCTACATACATAATATATTAAAAAAAAAACTTTTTTTTAATAATAGAGCCACTATTTATACACCTAAAGTAGAGGAGAATAATCGTATAGCTGAAACTTGGCGTTTGAAAAATCGTGCTATGTCCATTGATAACATCAGCATGGTATCCTGTACAACAGACATTATAGCCTATCAGAGCAACAATAAGGAAAATAATTGTGGTATTGAAATGAATGGTACCAATGAAAAGCCCATAGAAGATGATATGCATAAACTTACCGAAAAATCTCAAGATGATGACGATGCAAATGATAATATAATACCTTGGCGAGCACAGTTAAGAAAAACTAATAGCAGACTGAGTTTAGTTTAGAGAGTATTTTGATCATCCACATGGGCCTCTTATGAAATATGCGAATATTTAGTATTATTTAAAAAAATATATTGAAGTGCAATGAATTAAAATTAAAGACAGTTTCAAACATAATGAAGAAACTGTTTATTTATTAAATGATGTTTTTTTTGACTATTTTTATAATAAGTCAATACATATATATCACTATATGTGAATATATATAAAAAAGATAATTTGTGTACTTTATAAACTATTTTTTAATTTAAGCAAACATTTTGTAAAATTTATTATGATTTTTTTTTAATTTTTAGCTTATATTTAAAATATTGAAATATTTTAATTTACTAATTAATTATTAAGTTATTATGTGTAAATTTCTTTTTATATATATTTATATCAATAATTTGCTAATTCATTTCACAGAATGATCAATATTTTCAATGGGAACTTTGGTGCAATATGTTATAATTTTTAACTATTTTGAATATAAAATATAGAGCAAATAGTATTTGTTAATAGAAGATTGGGTGCTGCTATTTGCTTGTTGCGATTTTGCTAATTTATTATTATTTTTTTTAATGCCTAATTTATATAAGAAATAATTTCATTTTTTTTTTTTTGATTTGTTATGATTGTTATATTACAATAATAAATATATATATATAAATTTAAATAAATTTAGAAAATTTATTTATTTATTTTATTTACGGTTTTAAATTATGAATTAAATTGATATAAAAATTCTGCACCCAAAAACTTGAGCCAGGACCTAAACACAACAGCTGTTTCAGAATCTTTTTGTCAACCACCAGTAGACATGTACTACAAGAGTTTCTGTAGGGCAGTCCCAGCCTAACTCCATGTCATCCTACAACTCAATATGTCACTAAGACCTAAAATATTTTAGATATTTACGATTTACTTTCATGAATTAAGTCCATGAATTAAATCAGGGGTCGCTCTAGATCTCGCCGCTAAAGAAATATTAGCCCAATTGTTGTTGACCTGTAGCAAAAAAGAACATGTATCAGCTTTCGACTATGGCTGACAGAAGTGGAAATTAAGGCTGGAGGTCCCATCGAAGAGGCACCAAGGGTACAGTAACTTTATTGCTAGATGACCTACATGAGTTACAGTGAGTGGTGTGTTTACCCCAAAACTATAGAGACATGGCTCGGGACAGTTATGAATCATAGCTAAGCTATATATTACACCGGATTGTAATAGCTAAGAATGATGATAATAGAATATATATATAGTGAAAGCTATATTAAAAGAACGCTCTTACAAACCGTGCATTGCTAGTCTCCACTTTTTATCTTCAATACAATGTACGTTCTATTAAGCGGACAGTTTTCTTTCACTATAATAATAATTTTTTTTATTTATTATCACCCAAATTATGCGTTTAAATAAAAAATAATTAAAATTTGCAATACACCACATTTTCTTTATTTCAATTCATTTTTAATTTTTAAAATTTTTTAACACCTTAACTAGTCAATTTGGAGCATTCAATAACGGCTGGTTTGAATTGTACGAAATAATTCTGTAATTCATCCAAAGCATCATTGACACATTTGCCAGCATCACCAGGAGCTTGTGGGACCTTCTTAATCAATTTTATTGCTTTCTTAATTTGCTTATTCAAGGTCACAATTTTTTTGGCGACTTTCACAATACATTTCTTGGAGTTTGTAGCATCTTCATCCAAATGACTGTCTTCACTATTATTACAAATAGTATCGTTCAAATTTAGGATTTCATTGGTGGTCTTAATGATATCATTACAAGCATCAATAACTGCTTTCAATTGTTTGGAGACATTACCGCCACATGCTTTCACATCTGTGAGGAATGTTTCTGTTACATTTTGTATATTCAGCACAGCCTTAATAAGACAATTCAACCCTTTCACACCGCGTAAGATCTTTTTAAGAGTTCCGTAAAAGCCTCTATCTTCGCCATAAAAATCAATATCGAAATCAAGGGATTCAAGCGATTCGAGACTTATGTCAATTGGTTCTTCCACAACAGCGGAGCTTGACTGCAAATATAAAATATATATAATTTTGATATTAAATTATTTACAAAATTATATACATAAACAGCTACGAAGCAAAGACTTGCAATGAATGCGAACGTAAAGAACTTCATTTTAACGATAACTGTAGAAATACTACAATGATATAGGGAAAACACTAGCTTTTTATACTCAATAGCATTTAATAAATTCTTTTTATCAGTTTTTCGTTATTTGGTTGAGATAATCACAAATCAGAGTCCAGTCAAGATATTCCATTCAAGATATTCCAAACAAAATCATTTCAGAAATTTTAATAAATTAATTTCATTCTAAATAAATTTATCGAGTCAACACACTTAAAGTTATTAATAGCAGTAATCATTTGCTGTGGTAAGATAAATTATAAGAACATAGTACAAATAAAATAGAATATATATTATATATCAACAGAACGTTGTTATTGTTTTTGTGATTCGTCATGAATTCTAACTAATCCAGTTGCCCAACAGTCTACCATGCTAGAAACATCTAAATGGCATAGCACTTAAATGAAGAGTGTTATGTTCAAGAAGGAAGAAGGAAGCGAAAGTGGGATGTAAGGAAATGGAACGACTAATTTTTATCTGTACATAGGACTGAACTTCAAGAAGATTATGTGATAGATTCCTTTAAGTGTTCCGAAACCATACATTTGGCAGTTGTAAATGTGACTCATTAATTAAAACTAATTTTTTTAAACAATTATCGAATAGTAACAAATTATAGAATAAATGTCATATAACAAATATGCATTTTAGAATGAGAGCTAGGTAATAATATCAATTAAACTGTAGTCATGATAGGGAGGCTTTTTGCGCCCTCAGAGTTTAATAAAAACAGTGTTGTTTGTTAATAAATTTACAACTTTTAGAAGAAAATATGTACATATGACAAAGATCGTAAAATTATAGTATAATTCATCATATGACTTTCTGAATAATATGGTCATTAGTCATTATAACCATAGTCTTGTGTAAATATTAGAAATAGATTACAATAGCATTTGAAATCTGATGCCATAAAAAAGATAATTTAGTAAAACAATTTATATTGAAAGTAGAAAGAAAATGCTATATAAATATGTATATATATGAATTCACATCTTTAATAAAGAATCTTGAAGAAGGAACTTACTCTTCCACAACGAAAAATTGGCAATAACATAATATATTTTTCTTTAAATTAGGTCTTCGGATCACACTTTGACTACTAGACTACGGCAGTGTCCTTCAGGCCGCAGTAATAGCGACTCACTATGCACCAAATTGGGTCCTTGTCCACAAGTTGCCCGATACAAAAATCGTACTCTTAAATATCTGGTAAGCGCTTCAACTACATAGTTATTAATTTGAGAATAATAGGTTTCTCTTGGCGAGCTAGCCAAGCAAATCAATGTTCAACTCATATAGATACATGAACATAGGGACATCTCAGGTAATTGCAAGGTAGACTATCACTCTGATTTCTGGCATTCATTTCTTGAATATTTGAATAATAATATCTGAGTATAGTTAAAAAAAACATTGGCAAATTAAAATTCCTTACAGATTTTGAGATATACGTCGTCCAAACTAAACTAGAAACGTACCAGACAGCTGATACAACTAAAGCGGAATCTGCTCAGCACAATGGCATCGGTGCTGATGAGTCACTGCGTGCTAGGAAGAAGTGCTATAAGACTCGTTCTATCCTTTAATGACTTCTTTTGTGATTATGGGTCTGAAAACTTAGAAGTATCTAAGTTTTATCTCCATTGTCAATGCCGGAGGAAATTAAAAATCTTTGCTATCTCTTTTCTTACCAAGCTGACAGAACGCTAACCACTGCAGACTACGTTAACCACCAGAATTGGGTGTTCTTCTGGACTATATATTAACAACGCAAATCTGTGGTAAATAGGCTTTAGTAAACAAGGCAACCACTCCAACCAAATCTAAGCTAACGGTGAAGCTTAATAAGGTTGAGTCTACTGAGATTGCTGTTATGAACGATAAATGTCATGCCTTTGGAATTAAAATGACTATAATACGTATGGAGTAGAAGGGTTATGTCGTGTAAGATTTAAATGTACTTTGACAATAGTACCGTTAGGTAGTTGGGGAATTATATTTTAAGTATGTTAAAGCCTCTTTCTAAAAATAGACTTTTATATTTTTTGGCATATTATAATCATGTAGTTATATTTATTCCAACATTAATTTTTATGCATAAATTATAGACGTTCTATCGAAGTTCACTATATATTTTGTGTTAAGAGAAAACTCAGGGGTACGTCTCTTTCCAAATACCAAAGAACAAACGATAAATGACAAAATATATAAAAAGGAAAATATATAAATGCTTTTTTAAGTTTGCTGTAAATGAATTGTAATATTTATTAATTTTTTTTTATTTATCTCACATATAGAAAAATTTATAATTTTAACTAGTCAATTTGGAGCATTGTTTAATGTTAGGTACGAACTGGGTGAAATAACTGGTAAGGTTGTTTGTTGCATCAGTAACGCATTGACCGTATTGTCCAGGAACAGTTGGAACTTTCTTGATCAATTTGATGACATTCTTAGTTTGTTTGTACAAAGAGGCCATTCCCTTAACTACTGCCAGAGTACAGCTTTTACTAGGACTATCATCACCTTCATCGTCACTACCGCAAGCATCAATGATATTGTTGCAAGTGGTAATTATAGCATTGCATGCGTCTATGACAGCTTGTAATTGGGCAGATACAGTACCTCCACATGCTACAATATCATCGAGGAATTGTTGTGTTGTACTTTTAATATTGAGTACCCATTTAATAAGACAATTGAAACCCTTTACGGTACGCAAAGCTGCTTTGACTGCACCCAAAAATGTTCTATCTTGTACGAAAAGTTCGATTTCATCGGGTTCTTCAAAACCAACGGCGCTACTCTATTTTAAAAAATAAAAATTTTTAAATCTCAATGCAAACATTTTTATTTAAAATCAATGTATTTAAAACTTGTATATAATATACTCGTATATATTATATCTTATTTTTATTGAAATATTTTATTCTAATTAAATACTTACGCTGACAGCAACCAGACAAAGACTGGCAATAAAGGCAAAAACAAAGAATTTCATGTTGAATACCTTCAAAGTCAAAATTCACTTTCAAAATACCTCACTCGAACCCTCCGTGTGTTCTTTATATACACTTTTTAAAATTATTGTGACTTTTAATTTATTATCAATATCTTTTTGTTTTTGCCGAGATTATCGCAAATCACTGTCAATTATTAATTTTTCTTCAGTGTCACTGAATTTAAAATATATTTTTATATCAGCTAACCTAGTCAATATTGGTTATACCTATGCTTAATATAGGTTTTAACATATCAATTGGTTTTTCTAAACAAATCATATAAATACTTTCCAGTACACAAGTACTTAAAATTTTGGTAAAAGTAATCGCAACAAATGACACGTTCGCTTATACAAGCACAACTATATACACCCATTATATATAGCTGACACGTACTTCTTATCAATTATTAAATATATTTAATAAAAACATTGGGACCACTTTTTTTACTCTCGAATGTTTTTTATAAAGACATTGTTTTAAGTTATACCTTATAACAGGAGTAGATTTAAAAAAACTTTTTATTACCACACACACACACAATGTATTTTTTTAATACTTAAGGCAATACTTGAGTCAACATTTTTAGATCTAAACTCAAATTAATCGCTAATTACTTACGCCAACAAATGTTTCTTAGATTCGTATATAGCTGGGGTTAAACTCAGCCGTCTCCAAGGTCAACACAAGAAATTAATTTGGTGAGACCCTGTCACTTACGATTTCTCTTGACGTCTTAGCTGAAGATAACCTGATCAAATATCAAACGGAACTACATATGCAATGGACTCACTGACAGTATCCGAATATATGGAATATCCACCTATATGGAATGTTCATGTCGTAAGGTTTTCATCATTCATCACTAAGTTCATCATTTAATAAAGATATTTATAGTAATCCACTAAAAACACGTAGCTTACTTTTCGAATATCAATATCAATATTTTTATCAGAGTTCTCTAGCTTGAAATTTCTCATACTGTGCGCCACGAAACTGTGCTACACCATACAATAAGTGTTAGATATAATTTACTGATCTGCATAAAATGTTCAATTTCAAAGGTACTCCATGCTTAAAAAAGTTTGAGAACCTCTGTTCAAGCTTTTACTAAATGTATCATAATAATATAAAAAGATTTCTTCTTCATTTTTAACGTATTCTACTATTATACTATTAAATACAATTCAATTATACTATTATTCTACATATTCATAATCGAGACCTTATTCTACTATAATATGTAACGCAATCCGAGGCGAGTAACCCGTAAGCTCAATTCGTAGAAATTTTATAATAAAATCTTCACATATCATGATACTAAATATTAATATTAATTTCAGGGTCAAAAATATTTAAGGATCGATCAGTAATTGAAGTAGAACTTGGATCTTAAAGCAGCTTAGCATCCGAATACAAAAAAAAAAGTCGTTATTTAATATGCGAATATCAATCCACGACCTATACAACGACTTTAACTATATTGATTAACAAAGCTTATCAAATATATATTATACAAATATTGTATATGAATTGTATAATATATACAAACAAATTATATATATATAAATTGATGAAGTCTTATCAACTAATGAATTTATCTAATTTATATTAAATAAACGGTATAAATTTAAATTAAATATGTTAATATTAGATAAATTAATTAAGTGATAACAGCAATATTTAATTAGAAGACGTTTCAATAGCTGATAAAAAGACCAATGAGAATTCCAGATGGTAACCAAACAATTATTTTGAGATATAATATCTCGATATAACTCGAAATATAATATCTCAATAATAATAAAAAGAAAAGTTTAATAAAATATTTCATTTAATAAAAACAAATTAATAATTTCAATAAAAAAAAGCTATAAAATTTAAATATATTATATATGAGAATGTACATGTCGAGAATTAATCAACGGAGCATAGAAAATATTCTTTCAAGAAGTAATTATTGATTATAAATTAATAGGTCGCGACTTTTGCCTAGTGCGACCCGCAGTAAATCTTAACATGTGGGATAGTTCAACTAAAATTTTATATGGTTAAGTGACCATTTGTCTCATTAAAATTATTTAATATATATAGTTGAAAATAAACAGTTAATTTATAACATATCTTGATATCTTATCTTATTTTAACCAATTTGGTAATAACTATATATTAAGTAAATTAAGTCGAATATTGTACTACCTTACAACCTGTGACAAATTAAAAGTCTGCTGTTTTATTAAAAAATATTATAATGATGATTCAATCCTTCTGATAGCAAAACTTCTATCTGCGCCAGTCTGCTCTACTATTAAATATCCTCTTCTCTTACATCTTATGTCGTATTAAGTGAATACTATAATAATAACTATCTAAAATAATCCAATAAAATATCCGAATTATTAAAATAAAAAAATTTGTTTCAATGATATATTTCCATTATACCTACCATTATATACCATATTCCATTATCCATTAGTATAACTGTATTAAGGTATAACACTATAATTCCTCAAATATTCAATAATTCAAGGGCAAAATTCAAGTAGCTAGGTACTACTTTAAATATTTGCTACTTTATATAAAAAAAAAATTATTATAGGTTATCTTATCCCCTGAAGAATAAAACTTGAATATATTAAACCTGTATAATAAAATAATGTTATATCTGAACAAAACAAAGAAAATTCAATAAATCAAATATAATGCTACCTATGTTACGTGAAGTAATTTTTAAAGTCCAATATTGCTTATTTTAATTTCTTAAAGACGTTTGTATATTTTACTAACTAGGGAATATAATCCTCTTATATATTAATGACCCATGACCTTGCTACACCCTACAAATATTTGTAAATATACGGGATGTGTTTATATCTTATTTATGTTTTAATAATAATTAACCAAATTTACTGATATTTACAAATAAATTATAATTATTTATAATTAATTATAGGGTATATCGTTTTTATACATGGACTCCAATACAATAGCACATACGGTCCTATAATTTTTATTTGTGAAATGTATTAATGTGAAAAAGTAAAAAAAAACATCAGAGACTATTTGAACCGTACCTATATATTATAAACCAGCACAATCAATTTAATGATATTCGTCTACCTGTCTGTCTATTGATAAAGAAAACCAGTCTCTTCGTTACTGAAACAATCAAATGTAACCTTGGAAATTGTCTTTTTAAAAATTCAGATAGATCAGATTGTCCAGGAATGAAATCGGTTGACTAATTAAAATGTAGAATATAAATACTTTTTGTGAAAAATATTCCACCGAACATAGAGCAGATGTTTTACGGTAAAAATAAATATGCCACCCTGAGTATTATCTGTTCTATTTTTTACCAAAATCCAAAAGTTTATTGAGGTTTAACCATATTTATAAAATTATATGGGAAGATACCATATACGCATGTAAAAGAACTTTACGCATTGTATTTATTATTTACTGAATTTGAATCAAAAATCACAAGATTTTTATGAGTAGAGTAGGATGGAGTAATACAGATTGTAACCTCGAAGACGATAAATGAATCACAATCCAAAATTATCGGATATGTAATTACTAAAAGACATTTTCATTTGTAAATAAAAAAGGACAAGCCTCAGCAATCTTCATAATTAAAATTCACAGTTTGTGAATGTAATTCTTCCTTTGTAGTTTTCCTAAAACTTTCGGGATTTCGCCCATAACACCCCATATCTATATATGCATTTGATTTTCCGTCAAAAACAAATTTCAAAATATTGTTTAAAAAATTTATTTGATAAATATTAAATATACACATACATAAAATTATATATTTGAAGACCATAGAGTAAAAGTGCCCAGATGCACTAACTCGGAAAAGGCTTAACATAACATAACTAACCATTGAAACCTTGACGCAACCAAAACTCTTATTTTTCCTGCAGTTATTCTGAAAATAAATGTACTGAAGATAACTATCCTGAAAATAGATATTCTAAAGTTAGTTCCGAAATGAGAAAAATCGAAAATCAAACTTTACGAAATTATATGAAGTGTAAAAGATTGATGTACAATCTGAATGTGGATCTGGATCAGTTTAACAAATATATATTATTACTTATACATAACAAGCAATGTATAATATAACCACTGTATTTTTCAACTATTTTTTAGTTTTTTCTACCATTTTAAGGATCCCTTAATTTAGGATTCACTTGGGCCTAATGGTCTATTGTGATCATTTACGATTTTAAACCTATAGTTATTATTTTGGCTTTATGATAGATACCAATTATCTCAGCCGAGAAATCTTATACATAAGAGAAGGGACTCCAAATCATAATAAAAGAAAACAAATAAACCACCTCAGTGGGCTGTGAAAAATTCAAGCCAACATATCCAAGCTACAGTATAAAGTAAGCTACGATCCACCAATGTTATGACAAGTCACTAGCCGATATCTATATTCCATCTACGCAGAAAAATTGGAAATTCACTTAATCCAAAATCACGAAAACTGTAAGGTAAGATTAAAAATGCCTGAATCATCATGTCAAGAGGACAATAAAGACACTAAACAGCTCTTCCATCGCCAAAACAATACCTATGTTACAATTATTAGTATTTCTGAATGAAATAGCTTTCTTAAATGAAAACCCAATCATTATTATTCAATGCACTTTAATTTTATTGACTTTTGTAAAATGTCTCACAAATATTTAATTGCTGGTCAATTTGGAACATTCAATAACATTTGTTGGAAACAATGTAAAAGCTTCTGTCAATGCATCCAAGGAGGCTTTAACACAAACTCCAGCTTCACCGGGAATATCGGGTAGTTTTTTTACGAGTTTTAGCGTATTCTTGCTTTGTTTATTCAATGTATTAAATTTACTTCTCAATTTCTTGGAACAACTAGAAGGAGTTGGCTTATCTGCATCAGTTCCGTCATTATAATTGCCATTATTGCAAATATTGTCATTGTAATTCACAATATCATTAACGGTGTTTATGACGTCATTACATGACTTAATAACGGCTGTTAACTTTTTAGATGTTTCGACTGCACAATTCTCACAATCTGCGACAAAAGACTTAGCGGCCAATTGTATGTAAAGTGCCTCTTTAATGCTACAATTCACTCCCTTTAAGGTACGCAAAGCGAGCTTAAGACCCTTATAGAATTTACTAAGTATTGTTCTTTCTTCAAAATCACCTAAAACAACTGAATCATCTGATTCTGATCCAATGTATACAGAGTCAGATACATTATCAAGCAATTCTTCTTCTGGCAATACATTGTCATTAGCCTGTAAAAATTCCAAGGTATATTAGACATATAATTAGTATTTTCCCAGTATTAGTAATATTTCTAACTCACGTTTACTGCAATTACGCAGAGACTGACGAGTAATGTAAAAACCAAAAATCTCATTTTGACAAAACTATTATTGACTATTACAAATTTTTTTAAAGTAAGCTATAATGAACAGCCTTATATACTCTTCTGTTACCGTTGCAATATCTTAAACATTATCAGTAATACATTATGCAGAATTAATTTGCACTTAAGTTTAAGAACTTAAGGTTTCAAATCATGAGTACATAACATGCAATAATATATGTACTTTTAAAGTATCCAAAAGTTTTTTAATAAGTATAAAGTTAACTCCAAGGCACCCTACACGTCTGTTTTCATTACACTAACATATGATATATAGAATAGAGTACAATATTTCAGGGATTAGGCCGCAAAACTCCACTGGGAACACTCAACCTTAGAAAAGCCTCAGTACTAATAGTTGACCTAACCAACCAACACAATATATTTCGCCTTTGGAATATATAGTAAAATGTTTCTAGTTGAAAACATCGTAAATCAGATAGGATTAGATTTTTCTCCTAGCTCAGATCCAAACCAAAAGTCACAAGCAATATGCCTCAAAACTTTATCAACTTTTGGATTTTAACTATATTTTATCATCTCAGGCAGATGCATCTTATTGAAATGATAGATAGTGCACATATTACTCACATACTATATTTCAATAACTGATTTCAATCTGAAATCAAAAATATGTATGATGGATATATATTGCCAGATAGTAACAGTAAAGAAAAAATTCATCACCTACAGTTACAATTGTGATACGCGAACTACAATTTTGATAACCCTTTTCTCAAAAAATATCTAAACTGATCTGATTCTGATTAATATATATATGTATTTAGCTATATAATCAAAGTATTCTTCCTCCTACAATACATTTTCAATAGCCTTTAAAATTCGAAATGTAGGGAAGAGTAGTACGGTACATATATATACAATAATAGTTTCTGAATTGATAAATATATATCTTCCGAGAACTAGCGAATACTGTAGAAACATGATACCGTGAAAATTCTGAAGTATCTTTGAATAAGAACCAGAATCAGAACAAGTGGAAATTAAAAGATGATAAGCAATATTTACACTTATTATATCCAGTACGTAGCTTTCGTTGATCTCGTTAAAATATGTATATTGTGTATTTCTCTTACTATATGGACAGTACTACTATGCGCTCCTTGGTATATAAATGTCGTTACTTTCCTCTTCGTGGATATCACTGATTTACATTCTCAAGACCTATTAGTAAAAATTTTTCCTAATATCTTAAGGAATATATATATTTGGAATTTTTAAACATATATGCCCACAAAATTTGACACCTACAAGCGTGCTTTAGATCTAATTAAAATATATATAGAAGGCACACTAGTGTTTCAAATGGTGAAAGGTATGATATATGGTAAAGGCATCTATAGACGAAATCTGTAAAAAACTAAAAAATAGCACAGCAAAAATAAAAATAGGGAACTGGAATCCTCTAACAATGTACAAGTATAGTTTACACGGCGGCCCCTAAACTAGAAATCTAAATGAACTCTCGTTACATATCATATAAAGTTTTTAATTTTGGATCTGACTGCCAATAAAATTACAATTATTATACCAAGTCAATCAAACTACATTATATTTCTTTATACATATATATATTTATGTTTATAGATCTCTATAAACTCATAAAAATGTAAATATAATATTTATATACCATCTTTTAATTAAAAATACTTAAAGTTATAAAAAAGATAAAGGAATTGACACTATCTAAAGCTTAAAATTATGAGGCAACAGGTGTTAATACTTCACACCTGTGCTACTTCAAAGATAAAAAGACAAGTAAATAAAACTTCTGGTTTCTGATTTTTAAAAACTTTAATGTACTTTAATATCTAAAAGAAATATATTATTCATTACAAACACTTAAATGTAAAGAACGCTTAGTTATAGTAGAAATATAAATCATATACGTGTGAAATGTCAACTGATTTCAACTGATTTTAGTTAGCCACAATGTAAATATCACAATCTGCTCTGACAGCAAATCAACTGTCAAATCTCTAGTAAACACTACAGTTATAACTGCTCGAGTTATAACTGTCAGTGTCCAACTCATATGAGACATTTTGGCTAACTACTGCAGGGTAGAGAATCTTGCTAAAGCAGGCATGCTGCTCTTTGAGTTCTTTGACCTCTTCGAATATTAATATTCTAATTGCAACAAATTTACTGTTCACTTAACATACTTAAAGTACATTCGAACTGTTAAAAAACACGATTGGATGGAGTTACTTGTCAGACCCAAAGATTTATTTAGTCCAATTTATTTGTCTAAATTATTTATTTGGAGAATAAGCACACCAACCAACTTCTTTAACTATATATAGGTATAACTAATTATAATTTCTTTAACTATAACTCAGTACTGCGGTATCGATAAAAATAGGTCATTGTGTAGATAGGAAAAATTACTTTTAGACTTTGTCTTATATCTTATAACAACTTTTATCGAGGTTACTTTTCTGGGGAGAAGGAAGACCCTATATTTTACCTTATTTGTCAGTGCTTATCTTTGGCCAATAGTAGACTAAAAATCTTTAAGGCCCTATTTCTTAATAACCCCACAGAGTTGTCATCCTTAAAAAATATGTACATAACCATGTTTATAAAATTGTCAGATTTTCAACATTGTGTTTGTATTGACCACTTCGGTCTTTATACCTTTTTTGGTACTCCTGCTGGAAGGTCTAGCATTAAACAACGTTTATTCGTGGTATTACAACGGATCATTATTCCTGCTCAAGGAAGCTTCAGTGCGCAAGACCATTTATGTTTACCTATTATAAATTTTAGTTGATCTGAAGATATTTCTGTACTTAGCACTATATGATTTTTCTGACCGATTTACATTTTACAATTATTACCCTAATCACAATTAATAGAACTCAATAAACAGTCCAGTTTTTCGATACAGTTTTAATTGATGTAAAAGATTATCTATGTCTTTCTGTAAAATTACAATAATAGAAAATATTACCTGCATTAATTTAGAAAACCACAATAATTTAGATTTTATTTGAATCTTTTGAAAAACCAGAAAAAAAATCATATACTATCCTCACATCGAAACAATATGGAATTAAAAATATTATCTACATTTAGATAAAAATATTACCTGAATTGAGATAAAAATATTTATATTGAGATAAAAGAATTATCTATATTAAAATAAAAACATTATCTATATTGGAGTAAAAATATTTTCTGACCCTTCTCGCCGAAATTCAAATGTAACCAAAAAATATTAATTTATCTGTTATCTGTTTATTACAATGAAATAAAAACATTATCTCACCAATTCTACAAAACCAAAATCAGATAAATGTATGTATTGTTTTTGCAAAATCACCATGATATAGACAATAGTCTTATACTTCAGTAAAATTACACTAATGCAAGATGATTGTCAGTTTTTTTATATGGAACTATAAAAAGATTATATATTAGATTATTAAATATAGTTATTATCTAAAACTTTCCACGATTGTCTTGATAGTCCCTTCCCTAGTACCAGTTTAAAAAAATGAATTAATTGCAAATATACAAAGATTAAATTAAATTTTCGTATTGCACATATATTAATCGAAACTCTAACATCTCTAATAATTAGAAATTTCTAGGATTAAACGTTATTTAGGATTTGAAGGTAAAAGGTTTAATCAAATTAGCTTTGAGAAAATACTGTAATACACGATAACAGAAACTGAACTAAAACAAAACCATTTGTAAGAAAATTTGTTTCAAATAAGTTTCGTTTTCTGATCTCGAAAGAAATTAGTTAACTATAACCGATAAATCTCTCCGTAAACTACTCAGATTACATGTAAGTTTTACAACTCAGATTATTTAATTATTATTTCGCATACATTCAAATACATTATGATCTGTTATTAACACTGATTGTCTCCCAGCTTATTTCAGCACTTTTAATAACTTAGAATCTTGAATCTTGGAATTGAGTGCATTTGGTTTGGTTGTTTCTCGTACTTTGGATTCTAACTACTTGGTATTTTATCAGTTGCAGTAAGTACTATCTGTTTAATTTTAACACTATTGCAATTAAAAGAACGCTATGCAAAAATTTAGAAAAAATTGAAAAATTAATTTTTTAAAATTTTTTTTTTAATTTATATATACACACATATATTATACTTTATATATCAGTCATTAGAGTAGGGATTTGCAATTGGCAAATAAATAATTTCTAAAAGATGCCCTAAACTTATAATTATATTAATTAGCTTTTACATAATTGTCAGAAACAAAAATAATTATATTAATTGATATATTATTGTTAATAAAGAATTCAGCTACCATTTTTGTCAATAACTTTTGCGCAAAATTAACAAATGAACCGCGATTTGTGATCTATAATGAATATTTATGTACATTTACAGAATCCCCAAAAGTATACATCCTCAAATTATTTACGAAATTTTCTATTTTTATACCAATTTGCAAATTTTAATTGACAACAATGTCAGGTACCACTAATATATTATTTTATTAAGGCTTTATGGTATACATACATAAATACATATAATAAAAAGAAAAAAATTTTATTTTTTTTTTGTTTTTCAAAATTTAAATAAATTTTAAATCAATGCTAAGTAAATAATTTTAAACAAGACTTAAATAAATAAATTTTATACAATTTTTGGCAGCACATAATGCATGTTGCATCTCACTTATTTTTTAAATGTGGCAGCACCAATATGCAATTATTTGCGTATACACACCAAACTATAGCTGTTCTGCTCTCTCTTATATTGTAGTAGGTATACTGAGCTATCAAGATATTCTACATTCTTATAACAATAGGAGACAGATTTTGTTTTTCTAGTGCTTGCATCTTGCCGGTGTGTAAAAAATATTTGTTTTAAATTAGAAGTTAAAATTTTGAGGAAGTTAAGGTATGTTAAGAATATTTACATATATTTAATTAATGTTAAACGACATACAGAAATATAAGTTCTGTGATTTTTATTACGTATTGTATTGGTCCTTGTTCTCATATAAATTTGCTATTAAATCAAAATATTTCATAAAAATTGGTGTTATGCTTAATTTTCACATAATTTCCTATATTTAAATGTTAAAATAATCTTTAAAATTGCAATATTCTGTTTAACGTGGATTAACGACTACGTAGTACGACTCAATATAACGAATTCTGTGATTTTACTAAGTTATTTTAAAGATATGTTAAATCTTAACTTTTATTACCATAAAACGCCATACTTCTTATCTATGCATTAACTTTCTTTGTCATCCGCATTTATTGTTCTTATTACTTTACATAAAAACTTTTATCATTATTAATAGCTCCTTTTATCATTATTAATTTTATCCTCCCCAAGGTAAAAACCTTAGCCTTTAATAATTGAAAAAAATGACTGTAAATCTATACTTGAATTCATATGAATTTGCAATTATTTTAAACTACTAGCATTTTTTATATTATATAAATTCATAAACAAAGAAAAAAAGAAAGACTTTGTTATAGTTTTTAACAAATCAGTCTTTCAGTGGACTGCGTTCTCATGTTGTAAAACAACAAAAACGTTTTCCATGTTTTCAGTTTTTAATATATTTTCTAATCTAATATGCAATAATAGAATATCTCTGATTTAATGACTTAATTTAAGATAACTTTAGCAGTGTTAATGACAAAACAATGTCTAGAATATGTTCAAATGAAAATAATTTAATATATACAACTTTTTCATTTTAAAAGCATCTGTAGATCCTTTCTGAATCTACAGTTTCCTTTTAATAGAAAATTCCAGAAACTAATTTAGAACTTGTAATTAGCCTTGTTACGTCACGTACGCCATATTTACCATATGTAATTATTTCTTTTATATTATTATTTAGAATTGCCATAAATTAATTTTTTCTAAATAACATTTAGAATGTAAAATTTTTTTTTGAAAAAATATATATATTCCTCTGCACTACACAATCAATATATACTAGTAATTAATTGTTTTTGCATTTTATTATTAATATTAATAACACGAGCCAAAACTATTTAAAATAATTATAATTTCTTCATAAATAATATACAAATTAAATCTAATTATCTAATTTTATTTAAATGTTTTTTTTTTAAATGTATGATCTTAGAATCATAATTTTCTGCATTGGCAAGACCTTGTTTACATAACTGAGAAAGCAATATATTGAAAACAGCTAGCTATCTCAGTTTACAAAAGACTGAGGTTGAGATAAAGCATACAAACTTCATTGTATATTCTGAAGTCAGAGTGTGCGGTTGTGTTAATTTAGTCCGGTTTAATTAACTTTGAATAAAGTAATTTTTTTTTTGTGTCAATTCAGTCTAATAAAGGTGAGTCGAGTGTTATAAAATATTTAACTAACATAAACGCGTTTTTTAATGTTTGTTGCTATAAATACGAAAATTTTCGCGATGTGAAAAATTATTGGCGGGTGCTCCGCTGATTGGGGCTGCTGTAGACAATTGTGCCGAATACACAAATTTTCGTGTACATTGATCAAATTTTTTCAAAATGGCGGCTAAAACCAATATTGAAAGGAAAATTTTTTGACCAAAACATTCGCTTCTTTTTTTTTTTTATTTAAATATAAAATTATAGTGTGTGAATTAAAATATTGCGGGAATAATATTTTATTTACTGAATAGTTTTTATTTGATTTTTGCGCTAATTCTAACAGCGATACTAGTTTAGTGTCATTTTTTCCATATATTTTTTTTGTGTCTAGTTTTCACAAGTCTGTTTCTTGCACATTCGTGTGACAACATTCGTATTTATGTGTGCGTTTTTGATGTGTGAAGTGCGCATTTCATTTTCTTTTACGATGTATTAGTGTGTGTAAAACCAGGGTCGTTTTTAGTTAAAGGTAGATAAATAAATTTAGTTTAAAAGTAATACTTATTTCAAGATGTAATTTTCAGGTTACTTTAAAAAAATTAACAAAATATTGAAATTGGGGTAAATGGTTTTTGAATAGTTTCGCGCGTTTTTTTTTATTTTGTCTCATATATGCTTATGTATGTAAGTGTGTCTATAGCGAGAAAAATGCACAGCTGTAAAATTTTCATGAAAAGAGAAAGAAGTAGAACATATTTTTTTACCGCCATTAGCTTAAAGACATTTAGGTAGTGAAGAGTTTCGCGGCATTACGAAATTATTTTTTTGATTTGTTCTTAATTACACTAATTGCAATTTGCATTAGTAGATTAATAGTTTTTTTTTTTTAAATTCAATTTATGTGTATAATATATTTTGTATTTCAAATTTCATTGGTAGGTAGTAAGCATTGTTTATAAATATTTGGCGCGGAAAACGGAACAGCTGTATATGTTAGATAAAATCATCGGCGTGTTTATTGAAGTTTTAACAAGTTTTTTTTTTCTTTTAATTGTTTAGATGATATTAAACTAAATTATAAAATACTAAAGATTAATAAATAAAATTATTTTTTTTGTTTTGCAGTTGTAAAGAAGTATGGCTCGTACAAAACAGACAGCTCGTAAATCAACTGGTGGTAAAGCTCCACGAAAACAACTTGCCACAAAAGCTGCTCGTAAATCTGCTCCATCGACTGGAGGTGTGAAGAAGCCTCATCGTTACCGTCCCGGTACTGTGGCTTTGCGTGAAATTCGTCGCTACCAAAAATCTACTGAGTTGCTGATTCGTAAGCTGCCTTTCCAACGTTTAGTGCGTGAAATTGCTCAAGATTTCAAAACAGATTTGCGTTTCCAGTCGGCAGCCATTGGCGCTTTACAGGTACGAAATATTATCACTGTTATTGTGTTAATATAATTTTGAACAACTTAAACTAACAATTGTTTCATTTCTATTAATAGGAAGCGTCTGAAGCCTATCTCGTCGGTCTATTTGAAGATACGAACTTATGCGCTATCCACGCAAAACGTGTCACAATTATGCCTAAGGACATTCAATTGGCTCGTCGTATTCGTGGTGAACGTGCTTAAACATACATCATTATTAACTTTCATTATAATAAATCATCGATTGCAATGCTAATCACCATAATAAAAAGAAAACCAGTATGTTGTGTTTCACAACGTATGAAATAAAAGTAGTTCATTCATTTTTTTTTAAATGGTGCGGGAGTGTTGCAGTCAATCAAATCTATTAAACATTTTTCACTCTTAAATTAGTTTGTAACGGATATATTTAGTTTTTTTGCATATTTCTTTATATCATATATATTATTAACTTAATGGAAAATTAAAGTATAATCTAAGTTAAGTTTATATAAAATATAAAAATTTATGAATATATATATATATTATATGCAATTTCAAATTGTGCTCTTGATGGCTATGACAGAGTGTCATCAGAGAGAAGACAACACCAACAATTTGAGGTTGAGTACAACAACAGAACCATAGTGACAAGTAATCACCAGTTTTTTTATTAATATCACAAAAACTTGCCCAAAAGCAGTTCAATTAACATACGAAGTAGAATTTTTTTTTCTTAGACTTACAATACACTAATTTAACTGTAAAAAATATTCAATGCAGAATAAATATATATAGAAAGTAAATATAAAAAAATTTTGACTTTAACAAGTCAAAGCAAAAAAAAAAGTTGTTTTATTTACTACGCTTTTGCAATTGTTGATTTGTGGGGCCTACACGACGTTCAAATGATAGTGTTTTGACGTGCAAAAGTACAGTTGCGTCTAACAATAAAAACAGTTCACTCTTTACTGCAATGCTGCTAAGACGTCATCGTATATTGGTTGGTTTACTGGTTTGTTTAGTCGGTTATTGACAGTAGGGAAATAATATACTTCTTTTTGTATACTCATTACTATCTTGATTAGAAATGTACAATGAACTGAATTTTTTGTTTTACGTTAAATGAACTTTTGTTGTAGGTTTAGTAAATGATTGCAAAAATATACACTACAATTGTTTTGTTTTTTCTAAGGTGTGTATGTTGTTTAAGCAGAGACTTTTGTACTGCAACAAAGACTATGATGCTGTGACCACATTAAAGTGTTTGCAGTTAATTTAACTGTATACCTTAAATAAATTGAGTCTGATTTAATGAAAACTTATAATTCGGTATAAAAGGAAATTATTAGTAAGTTACGGACAGTAACTGAATAGGTCAAACAGAACTATTTGGAATCTTTTTTTAAGTTAATTTAGAAATATTATTTTCTACAATCCATATACATTTTTGTATAAAAAATGTTTAATTGCTGATGATCGGAAACATTTTAATCGTTTTCTTTAGTACACCTATAACTATCAGAAATGTACAATGTTTGTGTGCAAGTTTTCATATCTCTTCGTTATGTCGAAATATCACTATTATGTGGATAATATCATATGTGTTGAAAACTCCAGTTGACGTAAACTGTGAAAACAGTTAAGTAGGTCGTAGTTATTAATATCGATAATAAATTGAGGGGAAATGTGAGACTAATGCGTTAACAAATTAAACATTTAGAAATAAATAAAGATAATAGACGACTGCTTCAAATATCAAAAAAGAAATATCAAGAAAGAGTAGATAACAATTGACTTTTAGACGTATTTTTTTTTGTTCTTTTAATGGTCGAGATGAGTTTCTTATTCACAACCAAAAAATAATTCAGATAATATATGAAGTATGGATTTTTGAACAAAAACTAAAAAAATAAAATTACAATCAATTTAAGTTAATATTTGAATGGAATTAGATACATCAACACAGAGCTTAAGTCTCGCGATACTATAGTTTTTCTTTAGTGTACTTGTATTTTACCATATAATGTTAAATTTATAATTAATAATCAATAAAAATATTTTAGTATAGTATATAATAAAGCAATTGTGAAGTTATATTCATGTTTTATTATCAAACAAACATCTAATTATGTAGTTACAATCCTGTTCTTGTGATGAGTTTTTGGATATGCGGGCTTTCTAGTGTAAAAGTATTTTGGCAGTATTGCAAAAGTGTTTCTTAACTGTCCAGCAGATGCGCCCCTTAGATTAAACATGCTAGAACTTACTTTGAAAGGGTTTTAGCTGCAAGGTCTTCTTCTCAAAGAATATTTTAAGCTTTATCAAATGTTTTTTAAACTCATTGCATTTTATAAGGTAATATAAAGGACTAATATGTCAAAGCAAACACAACTAACTCGATATGTGTACTGCACATTTGTTTGTATATCGTTTGTTTATTATATCTTGCAATAAGTCTTGCAAACTCATTGCAAGATTGCCCGAAATGCATAGAATGCGCGAGCTTGAAATGAACAACAACAAAATATACGCCAAAAGTTTCTTGTAATTGCCTGCAATCTTGCTATACCTAAACCCATGTATATATACTTGCAACGAAACAAAAAAAAAATACAACTGTTTTGACATCTTCTCTGTTTGTTTCATATGTAGATGTGGTGTGCTGTAAAAACAACTGTTTCATTTTGATGTGGCAATTCTGCAACAAAAATGTTCTTGCACTTTTGCAATTTTAGTATAGCATTCTTGCATTTCATGCACTTTGCAATGACTTTGCAAGATAGAGTGAATACCACTAATAATTTTTTTAAAAATTTGATTGTTTTTTAACAGCATTATGTTAAAAAGATATTAAATATACTTGCTGTAAAAAAGTCGAAACTACATCAAAACGTGACCTATATAAATTTAATTAAAAACGTTTAAAAATTATGAAATTTATTTTGAAAAAATATGTTGAGGCTAGTTGAGTTGAGTCAGTGCACCTGAGCACTTTTACTCTCTATTAACTGGGAGTTTCTATAAAACCCCTCTTTGCGCCTTGACTGGATTATTGTTTATCACTTCATTAGACTAGGCAATAATTGACCTCAGATCTGCATATCTACCCGAGGAGCCTGTAACCATTCTGAGATTTCATAACGCTGTGTTAGTAAGTCTGTCAGATTTCGCAAATAATTTCAGGGCTCTATCCTTTATTTTGAACTGTACAAACAATATTCCAAAAAGATCACCAAAAGTTTTATAAAATTAACTAGCTGTTACTTTATCTTAATTAGCCGTTTATTAGTTTAGTAGTAGTTTATTAGTTTTATGATTCGCCGATTTGAATTGTTTGTTTCAGTGATATATAATTAACTAAATTTATCAAGGAAAATAGAACGAAAGAGCATACAGAAGTGATTGTATTAAAGTCAACAATCTATTATTAAATTTCACGATAATAGAAGGCTGTTACTAATAGAAAAGACCGTTACGTTTAATATATTGGATATAATTGATTAAAAATTCATACGCTATTGTATATATTGACATTATCTTCGAAACAGAAACGTGAAATAATTTCAAAATAATAATAATTTAAAATTAAGACATATCCAAGGAACTATACAAACCTGAATAATATAACCGTTTAAAGGTCAAATTTAATAGAAGTAAACAAATATATTTTTACCTGTTCTGTAGAAAATTTTATATAGCACTAATATCGTGTTTAATAATTGCATGAACCAATGAATATACAGTATATTAACATAGATGCCATTTTCAAATTATGCTCAGCTCTTTTTTGAAAGGAATGCGATTGATTTCTTACCAGGAAAATTGCTAAGCTATTTATTTATAGGTATATAAACCATTCGTGCATTATAATATATATTTATTTTTAAATAATAAATACAAGTTCAATTGAAATAAATATCAAGATACATTCTTTCTTCCCTTTCTAAAGAATTTTCAATTACATATTGGAAATTTGGTTATAGAAGGGTTAAAAGATTGAGTATAAATCTCATCGCACTCAATTTGTAAAACAACAGAAGTTCACTTTTGAGTGTTTTGATTGCATTTTACTCATAATTCACGTTTATCTACCAAACACCGTACATTTTTATAGTTCACATTTATTTCGCTTATCAGTTTGATCGTTAAACGAATATGTCTCCTGATCTATCAAATAAATTAATACTCGTTACTGGAGCTGGGAAAGGTAAAAATTAATTTTAATTTGGTTTGCATATACAATTAAATTTGAAACCCATTGTAGGTATCGGTTATGCGCTTTGTAAGTTCTTAGTCAATTGTGGTGCCAATGTTATCGCATTGGCACGAGATGCTGAGCAGCTATCAAAGCTCAAGGGCGAATGCTCGAACATTAAAACCATAAACGTTGATCTCAGAAACTGGGATGCGACACGTGAGTGTTTATCCAAAGTACCACCACTGGATGGTCTTGTCAACAACGCGGGCGTTGCTATAATTAAACCATTTGAAGAATTAACCAAAGAAGATTTTGATAGGTGAGTTCATATATTTATCAACTTGGATTTTAATAATACTAACTGTATAAACTTTAACAGCACTTTTGATGTAAATATTAAAGCTGTTTTTAATGTTACTCAAGCGCTTTCTCCAAAACTTAAAGATAATGCCAGTATTGTGATGGTTTCTTCGCTAGCTGCGTCACGTTCATTTCAAGGTCATAGCGTGTACAGTGCAACAAAAGCAGCTATTGATTCATTGACACAATCATTGGCATTAGAATTAGGCCCACGCAATATACGTGTAAATTCTGTTAATCCCACAGTAGTGCTAACAGATATGGGTCGTGAAAATTGGTCCGATCCGAAGAAATCCGGTCCACTTCTGAATCATATACCATTACGTCGCTTTTGTGAAGTCAATGAAGTAACTGATGCAATAAGCTATTTACTCAGTAGTAACTCCAGTTTCATAAATGGCCATCATCTTAACTTGGAAGGCGGTTATTCAGTTTCTTAGTGCAATTAAAAGTTTGTAATTTTATTTTCTATTCTCAACTTTATTTTTAAATTTAATAAAATATTAAGCAAATATTTCTACATTGAATTTTATGAAAATAATTTTTTTTTTTTCAATTTTTTGTTTTCAATGATTTTCAAATCTACAACTAGTCAAGATAATAAATATTTTAATTTATTACATTTAAATGTAATGTGAAATTATGACCAATCATTTTGGTTAATTTTTATAACTAAATAAAATTAATTTTTATTTAAAGCTAACATTTACAATTGCAAGCATACGAGCCTAAGATTGAATTTTGACCTGTTGGTTCTGTAGTTGTTTCTTCTCTCTCTCGCGGCGTCTGAGTTTCTTTCGTCGACGATCGATGCTAGCAAGATTACTTTTTTCAATGAGATATCTTTTACGCAAATCGGAGATCTGTTTTTGTATAATTCCGATACTTTGTTCCGAACTTAAAGATGAGTCTGGAATTACTAATTATAATTATTTATTGATAATATGTAACAAATTTTGTGTACTCACCAAGTTCAACAAGGAAATTATAGGGGAATGATTTTGATGAATTTTGTGCTTGTATTGGTGGCAATTGTGCTTGATGATGTATTTGTTGCCTACTATTTGACACATTATCTGAGTTGTCATCACTATCAGAGCCCGCTAAGTATAATAAATAAATTGTATATGTTAAGAAATAGTAAACTCATATTTTATTACAATCTTACCTGCTGTTCTCTTGCTGGTTGTATATTTTCGTCGCTTTTGGTGTACTTCACTAACAGCCGAAATTTCGGACTGCTGTCTTGTGCGACGACGCTTACGTGGGGACACCTCATCAATTTCTGCATTCTTTTTCAAATCTTCGCTGCTGTCATCTTGACTTACGGAATCTGGTGTACTGCTTGATGTTGAAACTAAAATGACGCTTCCAGTTGCCTGGATATTTTGTGCTCCCGAAGTACTCGGCATATCAGCAATGATGTTGTAATCCATTTTATTGTTTGGTGCAATTGTTTGTACTATGGATACTTGTGTTGTTGGTATTGGTTCATCTTTACCACCGAATGAGGGTACGGGACTACCAGGTATTGTTTCTTCGCAAAGTAAATTAATTGCTTCATTTTGTGCATCAGCTGTTATGCTTGCTGAAGTACTGGCTGCATAATCGTCTCCGCGCAATTCGATTAAATGACCGCCCTTTTCTAAACTCATATTATCCACAATCAACTTTAAGCCATCGTCTGGTCGTAGCTCAGTTCGGGCATCCAAATAAAATCCAGATCCTGTGACTGTATTCGATGGCACAAAGGTATTGTTTTGTTGTGAAACTGGTGGTATACTAAGTGGCATTGTTTTCAAAACAGAAACATTCCGTACTGCTGCAGCAGTTTCAAAGGTCTTAAGTGATGCGGAATTTGCTGCAAAAGTTGAACTGGATACGGATGTTACTGTTGGCACAGAAGATGAAGATGGTACATTTATACCACCAGACATTATAGTTTGCTTTTGTGTATTATTTTTAACTGCAGCAGCTGCTGCGGCTTGTGCAGCGGCCACAACTGAAGGTACTGCACTTGATGCAACCACAACTGAAACTGGTATATCGGGTAGGACAATTGGAACAACTGTAGCAGCGCGTTGAGTTTGGGACTGAAGTGTTGTACCTTTGAAAGCGTTATCTGTAGTTGATATTAAAGAATGTTCAGCTTCTTTTACATTAGTTTCGCTATTTACTGCGTTTGGCTTGTGACTATTGACAATCTGCACAGTTGGCAATATATGCACTTGTTGTACAATATGTGGCTGTGCCTGAGTCACTGATTTTACAGAAGTAGTTGCTGACTCAATTGCTGGTTTTGTTTCAAACAGAACTGTTGAAGCTGCTTGCAATTTACTTGCAAAATTCGTAGAAACAGCATTAGCAGGTACAGTAACTGTGCTTGTGACAATTACTTGCTTACCAGGTGAAATCAATTTTAAAGGCGTCGCTGCTTGGATTGTTACCTCGGGAACAACAATGTTTGATAATATTTTTTTCGAGTCATCAATTTTGAGTGTTGCGATATCACTTCTGCTATCCGTTGGATGTCCAGAAATCGGACTTTTTTGCAGTTCTGCCGGTTCCTCAGAGACGTCTTCAATGACAAGCCTAGAATCAGTACTATCTGTTGAGTCATCTGAGAAGTGATCAGTTACCGGAGCTGTTGGTGTGATTGTCACGGTAGACACAATATGTTTCTTTTGTATTGCACATTCAAGTTTTTGTATAGTTTCAGTTAAATCTGTGTTCTTTTTGCCGATTGTTTCAAACATACTTAAGCGAGGTTCTGGACTTATTAATGTAGTATTCTTACATAATACTGGGCTTTGCAGTACCTTATCTAGACCAGTAAAGTCCTTGCCACCACTTAATAAAGAAGTTGAAGTCGTTGGCAAGTCTGTATTTATTTTTAACGGTTCCTGCAGTAAAAACTCTGTACCAGATAAAACACCTTCATTAGAATTATTTGTTGATATAGACACCGTTATGATACCTAATTTTTGCTTAGCTGCTTCTGTCTCCTTAGAAGTACATGGTTCAGTGATTTTATCTTTATCACAATCTTCTTTAGTTTCTTTATTTTTGCTTTCTACTTCCTCTTTCTTTTGACTTATAGCTTTTAATACTTTATCAGCAATTGAGGTCGGTTTATTTTCGAAATTAGGGGGCTGCAAGTCGAACGCCCCAGCCGATGCAGAAAGCAAAATTTTTGCATTTTTCAAATCGAATTTATTGTCCTTTGATTCCGTATTAGAACTTGAAGCAACACTTAAAGACGTTTCAAAAACATTACTTATAATATCTTTACGTGTCTCTAAGAATGGACTGCCTACAACAGGCTTTGTATTAGTGCCCTGTTTAGGAGGTGTAACAAACTTTGGAGAAGTGACTTTTGTTGTGCTTTGATTTTTAGCACTTGCGGAAGTTGATGGTTCAATTTTTGTTGGCGTTGTTTCTGTGACAGGAGTTCCGGGAGTAGTAGGTGGCGGCAATGCATCAGTAAGTGCACGAGCAGTTTCCTGCAAGGTCTGAGCGAGCTCCTCATTGAGTGTATTTTTATTGAGATTGAAACTGGGAGATTTTCTAAGCACATCAAAGGGAGTGTGAGTTGCTGGTTCTACTTTTTGATTACCAGCATTTGGCGGTGGTGGAGCTAACAAAGCTACATGCGATGGTGCATTAATTATAGCAACAGCTTTGTTTTGCGTTGGTGATGTTTTCGTAGCGTTACTTACAGTTTGTGAAGTATTCGCAGGAATAGAGGTGTTATGAATTCCTTTACTATCTGATACAATCGTTGAAGCTTTCTCTTCAATTTTATGCAGTTTCGACTTTTCAGCATTCGAATCTTTCATAGGCGATCCACGTTTCTTACGATTCATCAGTGTAGACATAGGATTTTGAATTGATTGATCCTGTTGATTTTGTTTTTGAGTTTGCTTTCTAGAACTCGACTGCAAACTATTTGCTGTGCTTGAAGACGCTGCTGTAGAATTAAGACTCATACTACTACTTGATAGTACTAAAGGTGACTTACGTATTTCAAACTCAAATGGCTCCGGATCTTTAAATTCATATATATCTGGCGATATAGGCTTGCTGATATTTTGTGAAAATTTCGCTTCTTGACTTATAATACTCGAGTACAAAGAAGCTGATGAAGAAGATCCACTTATATCCAATTTACTCATATCTGGCAAAGAACGAGTTGACACTGATGATGTTGAAAATGCAGATGAAGAAGATGACGAAGAGGAAGGGGAACATGCAGCTGGAGGTTCAATATTTATAATTTCTTTATCGATTACTTTTTTGTTTGTATCATTTTTCTTTGTCACGACGCTTTCATTTTTCTTGCCAACGCTACTGCTTAGTGGTTTTTCCACAATCACTGACGTATATTTTCCACCACTAGTATTACCAAATCGTGCTGGAGCTAAAATGCTAGACTTTGTTTCATTAACCTGTGTACTTGATGTACTACAATCGTCTTCGTCTTCATCTATTTTACGTACCGACTCTGTAAGAAATTTATCGATCTCCTCCTCCAACTTAATTTTTTCATCTTTTACTTGAGGTTTGGCTTTAAGACTCTCTTGTCGTTTTTCAGCAAGCGACTCCTTTATTATTTTTTCAACAACTCTCGTGCTTGATACACCTTTATTTAGAGATTGTTTTTCTAGAGATCTTTGTTTGTCTGCATTTATCTTTTGTTGGAATTTCTCTGTCATATTTTCCAAAGTTGTCGTTTTATCAGAGGACTGAGAATCGTCATCAGCGCAAGAGTCTGTTTCTGACAATGGTTCAACTTTTGATTCTATTTCAGCTACAATGTCTTTAATTTCATTACAAGCATCTTTAGCAGAAGTGTTGGATTGCACATCTAACTCATTTTCAGAAGTATTTGAGCTGATGTCCTTGTTTGCAATGTTCTCCGCCAAAGGTGGAGAAGGAGATTTTAAGTCTTGAAAACCTTTGAGCTCGGAACGAATTTCATTCAAATCGTAATCACGACCTTTTGGACCCATTTTACTAGAATTACTTGAATTATTGGAATTAATTTTTAAACTAGAAGATTGAGTCTCATTTTCTTCATTCTGATCATCCTCAGATTCTGTTTGACTGTTCGCAGCAGAAACAGAACGCTTAGCTTTATTTGGTGATTTGTTAATATTGCTCATATTACTTGCCATTTTATGTGATTGTTCCTTTAGATTACGTGTTGGACGCTTAACTGGCTCATCAGAGTCAGTATCAGATTCACTTGGAATTGAAACGTCTGAAACATTCGTTGAGGTACGACGTGCTGAATTTGGTATAACGCGTGTGGGGCGTCTTTTAACACTGGAAGCAGCCGGTGACTTTGTGCGACTTGAGTTAGATGCTACAGAAGAAGGTGTCGTTGATCGTGGAGGTAGAGAATCACTACGCCCGCGACCACGTTTCGCTGTTGATGGTGTTTTTGTTACAGTAGTACTTAAACTTGAGGTTGAAATGCTTGAATGGCTAGTTGCTAAAGCTACTGAAGCTGCTGTTGGTGGTTTTGGTGGATTTTCTTTAGTTTTTTCTGGAATACTTGCATTACCACCATTACCTGAAGGCCGCCCTTTCTGTTTATATCCTTTTGTTATATTTTCTGCTATGCGTTCACGTGGCACCCATTCATCATACCTAGTATTCCAGCCGGTGTAATGTACTAAATACATTGGTGTATCTTTCTGCAGAACGATTTCTATCACTTTAGCTTCATATGTTGATTTATCTTTTTTCTCTGTATAGTAAACTTTAAGCTTATCACCAATTTCAACATAAAAATCGCCTGCTTCAACTCGTTCATATATAATTTCATCCTTTTTTCGTTTACCACGTTTTTCCTCATTTTGCACTTGTGGCTTACGCGGTATTTTCTCCTTTTTATTTGATGTGACGGAGCCTAAAAGTTAAAATAAAAATTATATTAAATGGATTGAATTATTTTTTTATTTAAATTAAAACTAATATATATTGTCAATAACTTTAATTTTCATAATTAAGACTATTTTGCTAACTAATAAGACTTTAGTTTAATTTTTCTAGAAGACTATGTTACTTTAAACAATCAAATCTTTCTCAATGTTTTACAAAAGTTTCAATAAAATATATGAAAATTTTATGTATCCGTTTTAAAAACTAAAAATGTAGTTTATTTTAAGGCTACTACGAATAATCCTATCCACTTAACCAATAAAATATATGCTTTATTGAACCTTCGATCTAGTCTTATTTTAGTTTTCCTAACTTAAAACCAGAAGACTTTTATTTTAAAACAGTCAGACAGACGTTCATTCCAATATCGAATCATCCTATCCTCTTGTTTAGGAAGATATATGCTTTATTGAATTTCCGATGTCTCATTTAGTGCATTAATACCGTTTCCATTCAATATATACAAAAAAAATTTCATATCTAACTCAAAGAATAGAATAGGAATAGTTTATTTTGAAACAGATACACAGACGATGCCAATGCCAACTTATCTCATCCTCTTGGTCAAGTACATAATTTTTAAGTGGGCTTTCGAAGACAATGGATTCGATCCAATGGATCCATATACATATCTCATCTTCTCATAATATGTATAAAATGTATAAAGAATACAAGACTAAAATAAATATACATACATATATTCAACTGTTTAGGATTAAAATTCGGATTATTAAATTATAATAAGCCGATTTAATTATTTTTTTTTATATTCGTGTAGAATTTGCTTAAATACCAAATTCTACACAAGAACCTGTTTGATTTAATTCGCATACTCAACTGTGAGTAATCACTCAAAATTTCACATTACACTACGTGAGCTACCAACAAATTGTTTGAGTGGTTTTTTATTTGTTTTTGCGTTAACTTCTCCAATGTTTTGGTTTTTCAAGCTGTTTTTGACATTTTAGTACAAATTGTGCCGACCCCGTAGCTGCGCGTGGAGAGTGTTTAATATTTATGTTTTTATTTAACATATATATTATAAAAAAAATTAACAAAATTATTGTAACCATAACAAAACTAAAGGTATATAATTTATTTAACTAAAGAAAAAAACAAATATTGACATTTGTGTCAACATTCAATGCACATAAATACGTCAACGTAGGCAGAGGCAGTGTTCGCAGCAGAGCTGCTTCAGAGATCAGCATTGTTGTTACGGTTCGGTTGAAAGCAAATATTAACAAATAAATAAGGCATGTTTAGCCTATAAAACCAAATTTACTGATAAAATTGATTAATTTTCACAAAAATAATGAATAAAATTTATTAATGAGTATTTATTAAATAACTTAACCACACGTCATAGAACATATTGAAAAGGTGAATATTTTTTTCGGGAATTTTTACTCAAAGAAAATAATTTCTTTAAGTTAACAGAAACTAATTTGCATATGCATAATATATTTTGTAAATTTGACAAATAATTGAATAAAGTTGAAAGATTTTTTTTATTTACATAAAATATTTACATAAGCTTCAGACAAAAAAAAAAAGAGTAGCTGTTTTTTTTATCAGTTATTGTGTTTAAAATTCTTGATAAGTAGAAACATTTGTATAAATAAATATTGGGGCAATCTTAAAACTACTCACTATTCGCTGGGCACGTGGATACCAAGCCTCTAATAACTTTTAAAAGTTATCAAAACATCTTAAATATCAAATTATATTAGACTGCATATTTATCAAGTTTACGGATATAGATGAATGATGGAAATTAAGTCCCGGTATTATTACTCAACATATATCATTTATGATAATCAAAAGTCATTTGTTACTTCGAAAAGATATATATATATTAAGATGCAGAGTAAAGCTATAGACTGAGTATTGATTTAAGATACTGTCTATAAGTACAACAAATAAAACACATAATATTAAAAGCTTTCCTCAAACAATTTGTGTTTATTTGTGTGATGCACACTCATTTGCATATAGTGGTCTTTCAAATAATTCCGAATAATTTCACTGCGAATAATAATCTCAAATCCGAATATACTATACTTCGGATTTACAAAAAATCCAGCTTTATTAATTAATTATTATTAATTTTTGTTCACGAAGTCTCCGAATAATTTCACTGCGAATAATAATCGCAAATCCGAATATACGATACTCCGGATTTACAAAAAATCCAACTTTATTTTCAACTCTGGAGACTTTGTTTACTATCCGAATAATTGGTTTTTCCGAATACTTCGTTAAACCAAATACGAATAGCACTATTAAAAACAATAACAACATAAGGAACTTCCTGAATAGCAGATATATTAATATTAGAACAGCATTATAGATAAGCTTTCTAAATTAAAAACAACTTGAAAATGACAACAGCATAAAGAAATATGCCAGACGTATTAAGATGGACTCTGACTTATATAAGAATTAAATACTTTTTTTATAATTATAAATAAAAATATAGTAGACTTTAGTTTAAGGAATTTCCAATAAAATAAACCCTCTAAAAAACATAATTGTGGTATCACAATAGGCCATTATTCAAGCTCAAATGGACTTTAGTATATAAGACCGCCTATCCAACCTAACCTAATCTAACAACATATGATTAAAAACTTGCATTGATTATTCATAATAACGAACATACTAGAAATTTTGTCTTTAAGCAACGAATGCTATGCTCCATATATTTTAATATTTCACAGTCACATTAACAGTAAACTTTGTTAACTAGATCATCTTCGAATCAAATTACGAACACGTTTGTACTTCATTAGTAAGCACTGAAGACAACAAAAAACTGATTAAAGAAAATTTCGTTAAGAATTAAATATAAAGTTACAATAATAAATTTAAATCCTTGCATTGAATAGATAATATCAAGTAATGTAGCTCGATTAATTCTACAAAAGGTGTTAGAGATAGAAAATTTATCAAATTTCAACAATATTTAGGAATAAATTATATTTTACGGACTCAAAAGCTTAGAATATAACAAATAATTTAAAAAAAACAAAAGATCTTAACTTTATATCACTCGATTATTACCAAAAGTTTGCTGAATTTTAAAGATATCAGATATATTTATAACATACTCAAACACAGACAATGAACCAGCAGTTAGCATTGAAATCTATCAAAAGAGCAAAACGACAACAAATACAATATAAAATCTTCATATTCAAATTTTATATCACCAAAACGATAAATTAGTCAAATTAGAAAAATTAGTTTGTGTGTTTTCTTAGTTCTTGTCGATGAGTATTGCTTTTCCCATATTGGGTATCATAATTTTGCTTGCGTAGCCAAACTGATAATAATGTTCTATACGTATTATCATAAAACATAAATGTATTAGAATGTGGTATTGTGCGAGATTGTATGGCATATACATTACATCGTTATCTTAGGGTTATAATTTTCCAATAACCCTAATAGCGGACAGAGCTAAGCGTTAAAATTGAACCATTGCGTGTGTGTCATTGTTATACAATAATATTAATATTGATAATATCTTTTAAGAATTACAATAGCAATAACTATTGATATTATTATTATTAGAAATACTAAGATAGAGATAAACACTATTTGTAGTAGTAGTCAAACAAAATCTTTCAAGAATTAAAATAGTAATAACATATAATAATAACATTATTTTAAAAAAGAGGTAAACGCTATACATTAATAGTAGTAACAGAAAATCTCTTGAAAATTATAATAGTAATAACATACACAACTTTATGAAGGTGAGATACATGCATATAGACGCAAGCTCTATAGACTAATCCTAACAGTACAACTCAAACAAATTTTTATATTACTATAATATGGTATTAAAATCTGGGGGAATACCATAGATTAGCTTATACAATGTCACGTAATTTTCTCCTAGAACGTGCTTATATTGTACTACAATCAGCTTCCATTAGTTATATCTGAGACATAAGCATATTTATGTTTTGAACACTTTGTACTATTTGTAATTTGTATAGTTATATTTATAATTTGCAGCTAAGTTGATAAAGTACTTTTTATGAGATTTCTATCCCTACTGTATAAACAAAATAACTTTTAATAAACATAAAAAATTGTTTGAATTAGTTTTGAAAGTAATAGATAAGTAAGGTTATCTAAGGTCATCAACTCAACAAGCATGTCACAAATATTATGTTTTAATTACATATTTGCTTTTAAAAACTTTGGTAATATGAATTTATTTTCTTGCTTTGAAGACTAATAACTATGTAACTATAAAAAACAGTTTAATAAAAATCAAGAGTTTTAAATCATATGTATAGAAAGAAAATGATTTTTTTGAAAATATTCCTAATTAATTGGGAATATATATAATTTTTTGTTGAAATAACAATTTTAAACTTTATGTAAAATTAATTTTATCTACAATTTTTCCAAAAATTAAAAATTCCCTGTTATAGGTATGGTATGTCGGTTATATCTCAGGCTGTAAACTAAAGTCAAACTACAAATAATAAATAAATGTCAGTATGCTAATAGAAGTCATCGTCCATTAATTGAATTTTTTATTTTAATTTCCAGAACAATAAAAATGAATGCTCTTTTTAAACTATCGACGAGATATTCTTCACAAATATCAGCTTACTCAGCAAACACATGGATATTAAGTACAAAAGTGAACACGTTCTTGAAAAGAGAACATGATCAATATCGTCATTCTAGTTCCTCAACTTCAAAACAGAAAGCGAATATAACACTCTACTCTTTGTTAGCTATTGGGGGAGTGGCATCTGGTTACGCATTTTTTGAATATGAAGATAAAATTTTTAACAATATAACTTTAAGTCTATCCTCTAGTGAAAATAAGAATATAGAAACAAAATCCAAGACTGCTGAACAAGTCGACACGCCGTCAAAGGATGCATATCGTTTTTGGCATTCAACAGAACGAAAAGATTTGCCTACATACAAATTAGACGCTGTACAGCAACATAATTCATTAGAAAAAGGAGTTTGGGTAACGTATGGCATAGGAGTCTATGATATAACCGATTTTATACCCAAACATCCAGGAAGTGATAAAATTATGTTAGGCGCTGGCAGTGCAATCGATCCATTCTGGGCTATCTATCAACAACACAATAATCGTGAAATTTTAACACTTTTAGAAGGGTATCGAATCGGTAATATATCCGCTGAAGATGAAGTCGGCACAGAAGATATGAATTCCACTTGGGCAAATGAACCTAAACGCCATCCATTATTAAAACCAGCATCCGAACGACCATTTAATGCGGAACCTCAAATCAGCATATTGGCTGATCATTTTTATACACCAAATGAATTCTTTTATGTTCGCAATCATTTGCCAGTACCAGTTATAGATCCAGAAATATATGAACTCGAAATTGAAATAGAAACACCAGAAGCGGGGGCAAAGGAGAAACAAAAAGTATTTAATTTACAACAAATAAAAGAATTACCAAAACACACAGTCACAGCAGCAATTATGTGCGGAGGAAACAGACGTTCAGAGATGACCAAAGTTAAAGCTGTTAAAGGTAGACAATCAAATTCTACTTATTTAAAATATATTACTAAGTTCTTTATATTTTCAGGTCTTAGCTGGGGTGCTGGCGCTGTTGGTAATGCTTCCTGGTCAGGTGCAAGATTATGCGACGTACTGCGTGCCATGGGTGTTCAACCCAATGAAAAATTGCACGTAATATTTGAAGGCGCTGACTTAGATCCTACTTCTAGTCCTTTTGGTGCTTCGATACCCTTATCTAAAGCTTTAGACGAAAGAGGTGATGTTATATTAGCTTATGAAATGAATGGCAAAACACTGAATAGGGATCATGGGTTTCCTTTAAGAGCTATTGTTCCTGGTGTGGTTGGTGCGCGTAATGTTAAATGGCTTACACGTATTGCGATCTCAGAAAACGAATCAAATTCGCATTGGCAGCAAAATGATTATAAAGGATTCAGTCCGAGCACTGACTGGGATACAGTAGATTTTACTAAATCTCCTGCTATACAATCTATGCCAGTTACATCGGCTATATGCACTCCTATACCAGGTGCAACAGTTAAACTTTCTGAAGATGGTTTCATCAACGTACGCGGGTATGCCTGGTCTGGTGGCGGCAGACGTATTGTGCGTGTAGATATAACAATTGATAATGGTAAAAGTTGGCATGTTGCTGAATTAGAACAAGAAGAGAACCCCGATGGTCGTCACTATGGTTGGTCTTTATGGACAGCTAAAATACCTGCTGACAAAATGAGTGGAAAGGAAGTGGAAATTTGGAGCAAAGCAGTTGATTCAGCATATAATGTGCAGCCAGAGTCATTTGAAAATATATGGAATTTACGTGGTGTCTTATCAAACGCATATCATAGAGTTAAAGTGTTAGTGACTGAATAATAAATAAGTAGAAATGCAAATATGATACTCACTAAGAGTTATATTAATTAAATAAAGGGCAAGAAAAATACCCAAAGAAATTTAAACGATAACATGGGTTATAAATGTACATAATGTGAATGAATGAATTTAAACTAAAATTATTTGTTTCTTTAAGAGATAGAAACAGATTTCATTTTCTGATAGTTGTTTCCAAAGGACTAATCTAAGTTTACGTTGGGTTACAATAGCATTATAGCCTCGCTCAAAAATAACTTACGCGATATTAATCAATTGTGTATCAGTTAAAATAAATTATTAATTAGGTTATATATAACTTACCTGTTGGTGATGGTTCACGAATTGCTGGTGTACTAGTACTTGGTACCTCTTTTACTATCTCCTTAGTCTCTTTTTCCTTCTCATCACTGCGGGAAGCTGCAACCGCTGCTTTAATTTTAGAAAGTGGTACATCTGCTTCATCCTTTACATTTTTTTCCTCAAATTTCTCTACAAGACTTTTAACTTTAACGCCACCAACTGAAGTTTTACGTTTCTTTTTCGTTGTTTCTAGGCTTGATTCACTTGTATTTTCGGATTCTTCAGCTGCTGATTGTGTGACAACAGCTGGTACAGGTGCACTACTTGCTATTGGAGTTACTGTCAAAGTTGATGTACTTGGGGTGTTTGTATTTTGTGCAGATTTTGCAACAACATCTTTATTAGGTTCAGCCGGTTTGGGTGATGCAACAGAACTGGCACGCACTAAACTACGTCCTTTACTACGATTAGAATTACGTGGTGTCATTAGCATGGAACAACCAAGTTTTCGATTAAATTCTCCATAGGGTTGTAAAAACTTCTTATACGCTTGCTTGACTAAATTAGTTACACTAACAGTAACTGGTGTAAAACCTAAACGTATAGCAATTGGTTTCCATTGATTTTGTGACGTTACTCTATTGTATCCACCACGTTTTTGTACTGCACGAAATAGACGATATAAATCGACATCCTTACTTTGTATTGATGGCACTTTATTGAGAGGAGTTCCACGATCATCCATATACTTGTACAACTGTGCAACAAAATGATCTTTTTCTTCGCGCGGTTCATCGTCAGAAGAATCTGATTCAACTTCTTCATCTTCTTCACTAGTCGAGTTACTTAAACCAAAAAGTGCATCCCTATCCCAGTGAGCAGGCAAAACATTACTATCAAGGTACTCCAATGCAGCTTGTACAGCTGGACCATCTTGTTTTGCAGCAGCTTCACGTGTAAATTCGGTTGCTTCCTTTTTTGGTACAGTATAGTAACGACCATCTTTGAAGGAACGAACTAAATATTCATCTTTAACACGAATACGTGCGGTAGCCTAAGATATATATTAGAAAAAACTTTAACGCAAATATATCAAATATATCAATTTACCTGTGCAGTTGGTGAAACAACTAAACCAGGAAACCACTTCTCTTTGTCTTTCTTCTTAGACTCAGTTTCGACACATACAACCTTACCAATATTCTCTTCCTTCTCATTGATAACCTCTTTGGTTTCACTCTCATCTTCTTCCTCGGAACTATCATCATTGGTATGGCCACGTCTACGTCCTCTGCGACCACCAACAACCGGATTACCAAAATGCTCTGGATGAGTTAACGGCAACTGATCCAAAGTCTCACTTTCATTAAAATGCCGTCCGCTTTTGAGACATAAAGCGGTACGCCTTAACGTTGTTATGTCACCATCATCAAAAACAACGGTATATTGCGAACAGTCCTGTATTTTAGTAACAGTTGCTTCTATATATTCTTTACGATCTGGATGACGAACTTCAACAATAGCACCCACTCTTAATTGTCCAGGGGTTGCTTTAATAGCATCATCGGACACAATACCCGAGCCAAGCCCATGTTTATAAGCAACTTTTACTTTAATGTTACGAACAACTTTGCTCACTTTGGCCTCACAGAAAGCACCCTTATATTTGGCACTAACCTCGGTACCAACGGGTAACGACGGTGGATCATCCACTTGCTATATAAAAAAAATAATAATAATAAAATATATAACTTCGTCTGTGATTGTATTTATAAATTTATAATGTAAGGACTTTTATTGCTCTTAGAGGTTACGTTTGAGATACGCCTATTTATTTTAAATATTTACATTTACCTGCATTTTCTGAAGAAAATAACGTTCAAAACTCAAATTATCGCTTACAAACGCCACTTTTGCAGAAATTTCTTGAACATTTCCCCCAAAAATGATATACCCAAAGTAAATTTAATTTTAAAGTGTTCAAATATATAAAACTTATAACTTTTCTGTTATTTATATGTTAAAAGTTGTTGCTAATAAAATAAAAAAAAATCAACAAACATATAATTTTTATACAATATTTGTATAAAAAAATTTGAGAATTAATTTTGGCGCAAGCAAACTTTTCACTTAGACAAAACCTTATTCACTTTTTATATACACTTTAATACCTTCTGACGTTCATATGCGTTGTTTTTTACTGTTCCTCTTTGAAGCCGTTTCTGCGTCTGCACCGCCACGCTGTGGTTGTTTTGAAACATCAGCATGTCACTGTGTAATAACAAAATAATTGTTTGAAATAAAAGAACATATTCGTTGTTATAATTTTATTAATTTATTGTAATAATATATCTGCAAAATATTTAATTTATTTATACGTTAATTTATAAATGTACTTAAATTTATAAACTCCATAGAATGTTTAAAATTATGTTCGCATAATTTTAGTAAAATACAACCCTGCGATAAATTGAAAGAATTGATAAAAATGGAAACAAAACATAAAATACAAAACTAAAGTATGTTTTTATTATAATTTTTGTAAACATTTTTTACGTAAAATATGGAAAAAATGGAAGAATTTCGAGTGCTAGAATTATTTAGCGGAATCGGCGGTATGCATTACGCATTTAAATGTAAGTTATGATAATAAATACATTATGAGTAATATATTAAATATGTTTGCTCAAACGATTCCGAGTGCTTGTAAAACTTTTGTCAAATTGCAATTAAATTGGTCACAATAAGTACCAATGATTCGATTCCTTTAAATTATTTATATATAATTTATAAAACATTGTAATTAAAAAAGCAACTTCTATATGAGAATACTTTTTTACTTAAAATGTCGAAATGGAAATTAAATTTAAAAATTGATATTTCTAATACAATTTAAGGTTCCTACGAAGATGTAAACAACAAATATATTTCCCACAATAATACTTTTAAATTTCAATAGATGCTATGTTTCATATTATCGTAATGAATCCTTCTGATTCAAACTTATTCAGATCATTATCCGAAACTATAACTTGCACTGTATTGCAGCTTACCTTGAAATTTCTTATTATTATTTAAAGTACACAAAAGTCTAGTTATACAAAAAATCCCTATACTCCACTCTAAATGCAATTACAAAGCAATATGTTTAGTTTTGCTAACTTATATCTTGCAAAACTTATAATCTAAATTTAATTTAACAGTAAAACTGTGATTTCACAAAGTGTGTAATGTGGAAAAGCCTAAAGTTTATAATATCATTCACTAAAAATACATATTTTTAATTTTTATATAATAATTTTCATTTAGTGTCACTTACATATTTATTTAAAAAACAATTTGTTTAAAATAATCTGCAAGTTATAATTTTAATTTCAGAAAAAATTTTGTGTACCAACTAACTTATATTATTACACGCATTAACATAAAATTAAAATTACTGTAAACAATTTAACGGAATCATCAATAAATTTTAAATTGTCAAAAATTCAGGGTCGTAGTCGACATTAAGTTAATAGGATAAATCATATTTGACGAAAGTGATCACTACATAGAAAGTAGTAACTTTAAATAACATTGAAAAATTATAACTTTAAATAACATTGAAATATTTAAATTTCAGATTCAAATTTACCTGGTGAAATTGTAGCTGCCATAGACATAAATACAGTGGCTAACGCTGTTTATGCTTATAACCATGAAAAAACTCCACTACTTAATAATAACATTCAACGACTTAATCTTAAAACACTCGAGAAACTAAATATCAACACAATATTGATGTCACCGCCATGTCAGCCACACACACGTCAGCATTTATCAAAACAACGAGATATAGAAGATAATCGATCTGATGCGCTTCGTCATCTATGTCAGCTTATACCAGAATATAAAAATTTGCAATATGTATTATTAGAAAACGTTAAAGATTTTCAAAGTTCACAATCACGTAATTGTTTCATTGATGCTCTGAAGTCGTCTGGTTTTCAGTACAGTGAATTTATTATAAGCCCAACACAATTTGGTATACCAAACACAAGACATAGATATTACTGCATAGCACGCAAGTATAAAGATTTTCCATTCGATTGCTCGCACGTATTGACAAGTATGCCTAATATAAAAACAAGTTCAAAGAACTCAAAAACGATCGAAGAATTTTTAGATGTCGAACTCACAAACGAAACTTCCTACAACTCAACACTTCCTGAAAAAATCTTAAGAAAATACGTCTGGCTCTTGGATATAGTAACAAAAGACTCCAATAATAGTGCTTGTTTTACTAAAGCATATACACACTATAGCGAAGGTACAGGTTCCGTATTTACACCTTGCAGTCTCTCCGAAACACAACAAATTTTTGAGAAACTAAAATCTCTCGAAAAGGATGACAGTGAAATTGTAGAGAGATTGCGTTTAGAAATGCTTCAAAGTTTAAAATTACGTTACTTTTCGCCCAGTGAAGTATCGCGCTTAATGTGTTTTCCAGCGTCATTCAATTTTCCAAAAGAAACTACAACCCGCCAAAAATATCGACTACTTGGTAATAGCATAAATGTACTAGTAGTAGCAGAATTATTAAAATTATTATGTTCATAAAAGTTCTAATAAATTTAATTTAAAAACACAAGTTAAATTAGTTCTGTTTCAAATTTTATATTAGATATTTAAATTTTACTAACAGTTGAAATAATGCCAAAAATAGTATCTTTGGTTGTTATATGTTAGAAACAGCAAATTTATAAGTAAATAATTAACTATATTAAAATATAAGCTAAATTAATCTTAGATTTGAGAAATACATACGTCTGTTTACACACACATACAATAACGATATCAATTATTAGTTTTATACTTCTATAATTATATATACTCCCACCAAATATAGTTTTAGTCATCCATTAATATATAATAACAAAATATATATTGCATTCTTTCAATCCTTTATTTTACTGCCCCATTCCTTTCCTATCATGTATATAGTATGCTGATTTAGTTTAGGTCCAATTAATGGATTCATTTGTGCCATATAGCAACACAACCAGAACAGCCAACAAGTTGCTGCTGTTATCATTAATATACAACGAATTAAGGCTTGATTTGGGCCCTAAAATTAAATATATGATATATTGTTTTTCCTTTTCACAAAACAAAAACTCTCACCTTTGGTGTCATAATGGGTAAAGCTACTCCAACACCTGCCCACACAGCTGTGAAAAATAATATAGGGAAGAATGCTGCTCCCATTTTACTCCTTAATGCAATAAATATGCTTTTAACTTTATAGAAATATACTTGCAGACAATTCTGCGAAAATTTGGAATGAATAAAGACGATTAATCAATACACAATTTTTTTTGTACCAAACGTCAAAACAGGGTTTACATGCTACACAATTTAACTGAAGTTTTTAATATGAAAAAGTGTGTTAAGTGTTGGTGAATGATTGTACACTATAATTCAAACACTATTCTTTGATTGTTCTTTGCACAGAAGTCACAATATTCGCAATATATTATTGTTATTAATTAGCATTTAATATATTTGTAAAACACACAATTAAACTACAATAGTTGCATATAGTGGCTAGGTATGTTGAAAATAAAGTTAGGTAAAAGAATTTTTGTTATACGTAGCACCATAAAGCTGACAACTATATTGCAAATAATTGAAGTGTAGTATGAGATGTCAACTACTGTTAATACTGTAGTTTATTTATGCGTTAAGCTTAGTACGCATGAAAAAATACATATTATAAAATTAATTTATTATATTTAGATATTAAAAATAATTATAATTTATATTTAAAGCACTTATATTTTTTTATGCAAATATTTCTAAAAATGTGAACAACACTTAAAAGTATTCAAAACACATTTTTCAATAAAGTTACGCGTTTTTAAATTATTTACAAACAAAATACATTAAAATTTGTATTAAATTTAAATAAATACATATTATATACATATAATAACAAGTGTCTTAATATTTATAAGTAAGAACTATATTTTTGATACAATATACTTTATATAATTAAAAACAGTTTTCAATACAATTGCACATAAATAAACCTATTAAAATGTTTATTAGGTTTAAATAGCTGTGTAACATAACAAATAACTACTGACTTCATTTGCTTATTATATAGTCGTCTTCTATGGAAATGGAGGCAGACGTTGCGGATGCCAAAGGATTTTATGGCGTATATTTGTTGTGCAGTGAAAGTACAGGAAGATGCTATATCGGATTTACTGTAAATCCAAATCGTCGTATTAAGCAGCATAATCGCGGACTAGAATTTGGCGGTGCTAAAAAAACCAACAATAAAGGCCCTTGGAAAATGATTTTATTAATACACGGTTTTCCCAATAATATTGCAGCTTTACAAGTTTGTTTTTGTATAAAATTTTGCATACATATATTTTTCATACTTTCTTTAATTATTTAAGTTTGAGTGGGCTTGGCAACAACCAACACTTTCATCGCGTTTAAAGGAATTCCATGAACTCAAACGTAAACAGACAAAAGAAAATTTTATACAATATAACTTGCGTATACTAAATCGTATGTTATTAGTTGGACCATGGATGAGGCTACCATTAACAATACGTTGGTTAGAACCAACTTTTGCCCAAGATTTCCCAGTAAGTTTGTTTATTTATTATACTTTTTTTTTTGTATTTTGCATAATTTTTGTTTGTTTTTAGGAAGCAACACAACCACCATCTCATATGAAAATAGTATATGGTAAAATTTCTCTTAAAAATACGAAGAGAAACAAAAATGATCAACCAGCCGCTATATGGTCATCTGAATGTCATCTATGTATGGAATATATAACAAACCCTAAGTCGTCCCGCATTGGCTGCTCGAATAGTTTATGTAAGCTCACATGCCATATTATTTGTTTGGCAAACTATATTTTAGATAAAAATAATCAGGGCCATTATATACCAATTGTTGGTGTATGTCCGTTATGTGAGACAATTTTCACATGGGCTATGCTTTTACAACGCAAACGAAATTTGGAACGAAATAGCATAGAGGATGGGAATGAAGATAGCTTTACTGAAGGCTGTGACGAGCATGATACTGATTCTGCAACTGCAGATATTTATGAAATTAGTGACTAATTTGATACTACAATTAATAATTTAATACCATTAACAAGGATTATAAAAAATTAAATATTGTAGACGTCGTACTATCATATTTTATATAAAATCACCCAATTTTGGGAATCAATTATACATAACTTAGTTTATATTTTCTTCATAACATAAGTGCTTAATATTTCTTACAATATTCTCATACCGTTTAAGTTTTTCTATAAGTTGCGTTTTTTCTTGCACATAATATTCTTTTCGCATTTGCACATATTCTTCACCTTTAAATATAAATGTATCAACATTTTGTTTGTCGATTGAATTAACATCAGAGTTTAGAGAGCATGCTGTATCTGCCTGTGCGGTTGTAATACTATTTTTTTCCTTTGACGGAAGAGTGGTCTCAACTGATATTATATTAATTTTAGATTTGGTGTCATTTCGGTCTACTGCTGCTTCGTTATGTCTTCGTTTATTCATATGGGTTCCGTAACCACTCATATCTTTTCGTTTTGTACCCCTTTTTTGTGATATATCTAAAGTAAAATTGGTTATTTTTTTAATCTTATGTAGTTTTTTGTATGGTACCTTCAAGAACATCCACTTCAATAACATTACAATCATCATCCACCGCTTCCAAAATTATATTATCTTCGTCCACAGTATTAACATCTATTTTGCTCTCCTCATTGTCTTCGTCTATATGTGCATCTTCGAATAATACATAGGAATGCTGTTCCTCTTCCTCAACTGATTGATAATCAGTTACAGGAAAGGGTATGGCTTCACCTATGAGCATTCTTCTGCGATTAGTCATAGAAAAGAATTTTTTGTCAAAATGCTCAGAACACAGATACAATTCCTCTGTTGAATTTTGTAGCGCTTCTGGAACTTGCGCTAATTTGAGCCATTTACGCCGTCTGGCCACGTCTTTAGGGAACTGAAACAATGTAAAGCTACTACTACTTCCCGGAACATGAACATTGTTAAAGTTACAACAATTTTTGTAAGCACAGGCCTTCATATTTTTATTAAGCAAGAATTCAAAAAATGCAAACAATCAAAGCAGAAATGTTCAAATACATAATACATAGAATAAAAGTCATGGATTACGATGTTGGGATAACTTATTTGTTAAAAATTTCTAAGCACACCATGTGAGCAAATAGTAATACTTGTTCATGCCACAAACAAATAATACACATGCATTCAACAGCTCTTTTGTACATTTCGAACACTTAAGATTATTGTGTTATACGCAGCTTTTGTGTGCCTTAATTGTTCTATAATCGCAAGTACATTGTGCTTTTAGCTGGCTATTCGACTTGCCTACTATGAAATCCAAGGGAGTTTTTTTTTTGTTCTGCATTCGCAATCTGTGTTTTATTTGTCTGTGCTTATGCTTATAACAACAATAATTATGATATAATATGATATATGATACAATATATGTATATATTGAAATAGAATTTTACTAAAGCGGGAAATCATTTAAAAAATATTTTATTGTTATAAGTGAAATATGGTATTTTACATATTAACAAGTATTTTATAAATGTAAATAATATACACTCCACCTAAGAATTACTAAAATACCATTCTTAATGTTTACACTTTACAATTAAAATATCGCCATTCACCATAATTGCACTGTTTGCAAATTAACAGCAAATTAATTAGCAAAAAATATGAACGAAATAGAATTGCAAAATAAAACAAAAATTATTTTTTGATTGAATTTGAATTAATTTTAAATATTTTTAATTTATATACAATTTAAGTGTTAAGTAGCTATACTTATATATAACTGTTAAGTGTCTTTATATATGCATATACTCTTTTCGCTTTATTTGCTATTAATTATTGCAGTTATTTTTATGATTCTTCATAGTTTTTAAAGTTTAATTATCAATTTAGTTATACTAATAACAATTCCTTAGAAAATAATTCGTTTGCAATTAAATATGTTATATAATCGAAATTATAACCAGCGATCAATTCTTTATATTGTTGTCATCGATTGGTGAATCTGAAATAACTTCTTCAATCGAGATTCACTTTTAGTGCTATTCTCACTTTCGTTTGGTAAATCTCTTGCGAAATGTATAACACTTGAGATTAATTTATAACACTCTAGATATTTTGCTAGGGCACCAATATTATGCTGAAATTAAAAGCTGTTTTATATGGCATGATAAATAAAGTGTGATTTGATATATGTATTGATGATATATAAAAATATAAACATTACTACAAAAATGTGAGAATACTTTAAAACTGTTCGATTGGGCAACAAAATTTGACGGATCGAGAGTAAAACTAGATTCAATCCAGATTTATGGTGAAAATGCTATAAGGAATAGCTTTATTGATTTTAGCTGAAAGTAATAGAATAAACACAAACATTTCTTATGACCTACAATTAGTAATTGAACAGTTTTAAAAATGTAAACCGTTCGTACTATTAAGTAAAATTGGGAATTGACCTGATTATGTAGTTTATTTCAAAATAATTTAATAATTAATTTTTTATTTCAATTCAACTACAATTATTTTTTAATAAAGTAAATCAACATAAATTTCTATATTTTTTTATTTAATAACTATCAATTAATGAACTCCAAATTAGCACAAAACAGAGGCTTAATTTTATAACACTTTCAAATACTACGCTGTGTAGGGGAGTGGTTATAATGACAACTGACTAAGCATTGGTTCATCGTAAACAAGACATTTGTTGGATTATTTTTGTTTATAATTTACTTTTAATATAAAATAAGATGGATGCATGGAAAATAGTTTTATTTGTTGCAATATCCATGTTCTACTGTACTCAAGGTAATAAATATATACTTAAATAATTATATTCTAATAGCCACACCTTTCAATAGTGAACTTCGTGGCTGGCTTAGAATGTTATGTATGCTCGAATCAAACGGGCAATACAGAGAAGTGTCTAAACACTATTAAAACCTGTGAACCAGGTGAAGATGTTTGTGGTACTGAAATTCGCTGGGGCAGTATGCCCTATTTTTCTACTGGCGCTGGTAAGCAATATTATGTATCGAAACGCTGCATGACGAAAAACCAATGTCAACAAAAACGAAACCGTTTTATGCAATATTGTACACATATTTGGTATGAAGATTGGGCGTGTGCAGAATGCTGTCCAGGTGATCGTTGTAACTACTTTGTAATAGTAAGTTATAATATAATTTAAAAAATTTAGTCCTTTAAAAATATATTCTTTTTTCGCAGAGTTCCTCAACAAATGTACAACATAAAATGCTTGCTTTATTATTATGTGTATTTAGCGGAATGTTAATTAAAAAATTGTTTCATTAATAAGTAGACAAACAATGTTGTAACTCACATTCCAATAGTTTACAGAACATTCAGATATAGCTTTATTTTAGCGCACAACATTCGAATATATATAAATCAAAAGTGACCTTTACATATCAAATAATATGAGAACTCGAATAATTGTCAGATTATATTAATTTTATATCTCATACTGTGAGTGAATAATACAAATATTTAAGTAATTTTTGTTTTAATGAGCAATTTTTATTTATATATTTTTGTGCGATCTAATTGGTTAATTAATTAAATATTACTTAATTTTTTAAATTAGTTTCATAAAGAGGTTTTTCGAACAGTAGTGAACTACAATAACAAAAATTAATTTTATATTATTTTAATTAATTGAATTTTTGGCTGACCATACAGCTGTTCCGAATATTGTTAAATACCCATCATCAGTGGTCTTGGAAATAATTCTTGTATTTCATTATTCGTAAATAATTTTTGGAGACTTCAAGTACCAGGAATCGAACTCGTGTTCTGCCAAATTTGAAGCTCAGTTAGTTTCAAAAATATATTTTATTACTGCCGAAAAGTTGTGTATTATTAACCATTCATCAATTATCCCGTACAAAAATATATAAATATTTAATTAATTAAAAGTTTTAACTCTTTTTATATAATGCATATAAATAAATATTTAAAATCAATATTAAAAAATAAAACATTCACCAATTATCCAGTACAAAAATATATAAAAATTCAACTAATTAAAAGTTTTAACTGTTTTTATATAAAACATATAAATAAATATTTTCGTTTGTGTTTGTTATATATTGTAATGATTAGTTTATTATTTTAAATACAATTTGTAAAATGTTCTTGTTCAATTTATATTCATTTAGCTGTGACAATTATTGTAAACACTTAAAACTTACAGTATGACCTGTAAAATTATTGTTTATTATATATGACTCTAAACATATTGTTATTGTTACTAAAATAAATCCGTCCATTTTTATATATGAAACGATAGAAGTTAATATGTAAAATAAAATTTAGAATTAATTTTTATAATAAATAAATCGAAAAAATTTTTTAAATATATATTTATAATCCAGATTTTGTTTTAATTACGGTGGTATAAAGTGTTATAATATGTTATAACATTTTATATAATTAAGTAAAATATTTCATAATTTGAATAGTTTAAGGATAATATCTAATTTAAGTTAATAGAGAAGAATGCAGAAATGTCGTAAAACAAACTTAGGTCCTACATGGACTGTAAAGCTATGGCTGATGATGATGATTTAGTTTAAGTAAAATAAGTATTTAAAGCCTTTTTTTTTGAGGGTTTTTTTATTTTATATATATTTTTTAAATTTTTGTTTTAATAAAAAATTTGCGTATCTAAAGTATTGTTATCATGTTAAATATTTAAATTAAGATTATAATAGAATATTTCATAGTAGAATTAAGAAATCTTCCCATGACACTAACCTGTTTCCACCTCGTACTAACCTGAGTGACTAAGCGTTTAAGAGCATTCTCAATAAGTGAAAAAAAATAATTTAGTTACAAGGAATCAACAATCTAACAAAGTTTAATTTATAGATTACTCTTGTATTTAAAAATTTTTAAACATATTTGCAGATGCTAGATGGCTCGAAAACGTGACCGACGACATCAGAAAAATTGGTATCGAAAACTGGATATCTAGCACAACATGCAAAGCAGAATGGAGAAAGTTGGTTGATGCAGCTAAAGCTCACCCCGAGCTGTAACGCTGATGATGATGACGAATTGCAGATGCTATTTAAACTCTGAAAATCCTTTTTCCACTACTTAAGACTCAAAATAAATTTGTTAAGTTGTTACTTCTTCTCATTACTTTTTAATAAGACTTCAGAAAACCATTCTAAAGTACAATTTTACTAATTCTTACGGATATTATAAACTTTCCTTAATCTATTTTTTTTTAAAAATATACGAACTTAATAGGGTAACTATTTCCATACTGAAAATAGTATTGTCTTAAAATATTTTAGGAGTTTACGCTATGAAAGTCGTTAAAAACATCGTTACGGTATATCAAATATATGTTACGCTATTAATTTAAATAATATATTCTCCAGTTTTAAGTTTTACTCAAAGTTAAAACTATCTGCATTCTGTACGTATAATATTTTTGCAGTATAAGTGAAACTTACCTTGGCTGCGTGTTTTTTTTATTGCAGTGATCTTGCAGCGCTAAACGGTCAGTAGCACATCAAATATGTATTGATTCATTCAGTTTTTATGAGAACACGTATCATATATCTTTAATCTCAAATCTTCGCGACTTCTGTGCACTAAACCGTACGTTCATATTCAACTTCATACATAACTGCTAAACTAATTAACAAATAAGTGTGTAATTTGTATTCAAAGTAAATAAATCTAATTAAAAACAAAAAATAAAATTTAACTTTTTCGAGATTTGATTTTGTAGTAGTTTTTAGCTTTGACTATTCTTCAGTTATAAATCGTTTAAAGATGGAAGCTGAACAACCACGTTCGAGTACTGAAAAATACACTATAAAGTAACCATTTGAATTAAAAAACACATTAATAGAGACTAATAATACATTTCTAAATAATATATAATTTATTGTAATTGCAGAATTGTTAGAAAAGCAGATGTTCTTCCGGAAAAACGACATAAACCACGACTTATGCATAAAATAGCAAACAAATTTGTTAGTGTCACCCATTGGGTTTTAACTTCACGCTTACTTCTGTAAACGAATATAATATATTGTGAAATAAATACAAAAAATATGTTTTATTCTTTGTTTTAAATTATATTTTTATTGTAATATTAACCGAGATAAAACTGCATTGCCAATAAAAATTAAGAAAATATAAAAGCTATTTGAAATTTTAAAACAAGCACACATTGGTAAGAAGTATTTACAATTTTATTATTTATTGAATTAATTTAAAATATTCTATGTGGATTTTATTATTCAATATTTTTTCAAAAGTAAAATCTAATTAACTAAATATTTATCAAGCTGATTTCTAACTGCTCCTACTATTATTAACTGAATTTTTATTAAATACGTTAAATCTAAACTGAATATTGGATGGATAGTTAATTATTTAAATTAATTACTATAAAATAGATTATTTTGGAATTCATAGTATATACACAGTTTTATTATATACTCATAAGCAGTTATGAATAAAATATAGTAATTTCTTATTTTTTAATGAGAAAAAGATTTTGATTTAAATAAAAAATTTCTATAGAGTAGAATTTAAATTGTAACAAAAAAAAATGCAGATTTTAAAATATTTGACATTTTTGAAATTAACAATTTATATATAAATCACATATCTTATAAAAATAACAAAAAATATATAAAATATTCAAAAGCAAAAAGAGCACACAATTATATTCAAAGAAAATAGTTTTTCTGTTAACATCGCCTTCTTGATAAATAGTTTAGCTATATAATTATTTTATAAAAAAAATTTTATAGTTAAAGTTGTTGGAATAAATAAGGAAAAATACTAAATGAAAGATTTACAATTCATCCTTCCCAAGTAGTGTATAACGATTTTTCGAAGGACCTAATTTTTTGAATGTAGATTCTGGCGGCGAAGTTTGTTTTCCTTGTACATGAACTGCTTCTGTTTGTACATCATTGTTTGATGGATCAGGTCCATAATGGAATTCTCTGTAATAAAAATTGCGATTGTAAATAAATTAGTTATTGTAAAATTGGATTTTTATTTAAAACATGTATGCACTTCTTAAAAGCTTTAAATGTAAGTAGTGAAAGAGGACTGAATAATATTCTCTAGAGAAACTTATATATTGAAAATTTTTTTCCTAAAATCTATTAATACACTTTAGTAGTCGTAATTCAACCAGTATTTACTGGTCTCTTTTATGAACATAGGCAAAATCACGGAAGCGGAAAGCGCAAAAAATATTTAACAATAGTTTCGAAAAGAAGGAAGTTGTGAAGAGGAGGATAAAAGTGCTTTATATCTGGTTTGTAACTACTCAACGCATGCGCACCGCCAATATTACGGACTGTTTTTTTGAAGGATCTTGGCCTTCCTCCACGATCTTCCTCTAAAAATCATTAAAAGCTTTGCCAAAGGTTCAATGTGGTTTTCAAAGCTCTGAATTTTTTATATGGTAACACAATATAATATAACCTAACCTTTAAAAAGAAGGCTATAATGTTTCTTAATAATTATTTATTAATAATGCGTATAGTACATTTCATAAATGCACTATAACAGCAATTACTATATACTATGATCACATACCTGTGCAATTTACCGCTATATAAGTCTTCCAAAAACTGCTTAAGTTTACCAGGCACATACATATCTTTAAAATTAGGGAATAAATACATATGTCTAAATGAATCTATCGCGATCAAAGGCAAATCATCTTCCGATTTACCCAGATGATGTAACGGATGTGCAAATCGTTTACCATCAGCAGTGAGGAAGTTGATATTTTCTATAATATAAAAACGTTAAATGAAATTAAATTATACCATATATAACATTTCTATATTATTACTTAATTCAAATCAACTTACGTTTCTCACTTAATAATTGACTATCTATTATTGCTTTGTAATCTTTTATAGAGTTTGTATCATCAGGGCGATGGAATAATATCAAAAATGGTAAACCCTCTTCTGTTAGTTCTTCAGCATTTTCAAAGGTAATTTCCCGTACTAATGGTACACATTTTTCTTGTACCCAAATTTTTAGTTCATCAAAATTTTTAAGATCACCTTTATATGTTTCATCATTTTCGTGTGAAACAGCAACATCAGGCCTGAATACTATGATAGGAGTACCTATTAAAAAGAAAAAACAAATTAACAAAAACACATGATAACTTTTTTAACATATATTAGCGTAAGCACAGTATGAGACTGCAAAGGTCGATTTCACAGTCGTAACTTAAGACTCAAAATTTAATTCTGTCTGAATTAAGTCAGTATAAACACCTAATTAAGTTTAATTTGAATTAAGTTAGCAAAGTTGTTGACTTAATTATGATTTAGCACAGTATTGAGACTTCAGTTATGACTCTGACATCGGACCTAAGAGGAAGTATCGAAGTGTTTGTAGATATTCACAAATTTAATTTTCGATTAAAATACATGCTTTATTATAATTAAAAAGCATGTAATCATTTTATGAATTCAATTAAAAATGTGCCATATTTAATAAAATTAGGTTAAAAGTTATCTTTATATTTAATATAATTAATTCACATAAATGACTTAACCAAAATTTTTTAACCATTACCAACTCAGTAGTGCAAGGATGTATGCAGTGCCTTTGGCGTATTATTATAAATATACATAGACCAATTGCACACATTAAGGAAAGACGAAACAAAATATTACCTAAAGTTAAATTAAATAGGAATTTACCTATAGGGTTATTACCGTCCACGACTTATTATTTAAAGAAATAAATAAATTAGTAAGAGAAAATCATGCTATTAGTATTATAATATTCCATTTTAAATAATTATAAGATATACCTGGTGGATGCATTGCTTGCGCAGAGTCACCAAATCCTACATGAAATTGGCAATCTTCTTTAAGATTTGTGGCAACTTTGCGGAATATATCATATTCAGGTTGATCACGGCGATCAAAATAACCAATGATAATACGTTTTTTAGAATCAAGATTTTCCAAATCTTTCAGTTGATGAAATTCTAGTATAGGATCCTCTAATTGTTTCTTTACAAATTCTACAAACGCTTCAGCGGAACGTTGCCCTCTATATTCTCTTTTACTTACTTGCCCATTGCGGATAATTTTAAGTGTAGGATATTTGGTAATATGAAAACGAGATGCAATTGAAGTTTGACGATCACAGTCTACTTTGCCTAACACTACTTTTCCACCATCTGGAAAAGCCTCCTTAACCTAGAAGTATATAAATATTTATGTATTAACTAATATGTTTTTTAAAAATAAGGAAAATAATACTTTATCTGCAGCTTCGTTGAAAATTGGTGCTAAAAGATTACTAAAACGACACCACTCCGCATAGAAATTAAGGAATACTAATTCATTAGAAGCTGTAAGAGAAAATGTAGATTAAATAATTATGTATTATTGTTGAATTAAATTATAATTATTATAAATATATGGTATATAAATTATATTATGTAAAACTAAAATAAATTTAGCACTATGTAATATCATTAAGATTAGTTTAATTAATTAATAAAAATATTATTAACGATATGGATAAGGGCATTCGCGAGAAATGTGTTTTACTGATAATAGTTAATTAAATGCTATAAGAACAATAATTATTATGTCGCTGCATTTTTACATAATATATACATAATAAAGAAATAAATTCTTTTAATAATACATTTTAAATTATTGACGAAACAAAGCATTTAAACACAATTTCGCTTCTGAATAGCGATTGAATAAAAATCGAATAATGTCGCTCCTGGCGCTACATTATAGATTATATAACACTAGTGAGTTCATTAGATTCCAAACACGTTCCCTTCACAGAACGGATATGTTGTTGTTGTAATCCGGCAAAATATGCTTGTCTAGTCTCTCGGGGATATTTAATCTAGTCTGGTGAAAGACACTTGGTCATCGATTTCGACAAATGGCTGTGCGATATAGGAAGTCCTAGTTACACAAATCGACTATAGTACATAAACAGGTGGTTAGATAGGATGGAAGGATCGTTTGGACAAAGAAAAAAAAAGAAAACATAAGGGAAGAGATAGGTTGTGAGTAAGATAATGAAATGATCCTAAATCCAAATAAAGAAAGATTGACCCTTCAATACAGTGATTCCATAGGTTTTTAAGTTTTTATGTATAGAAAGCCATGAGAATAGTTTGGTGGTGCAATGAGTAGCACACATTAGGAATAAATGTGTCTATATGCGATAAAAAAATGTTTTTCTTCGTAGATATTAAGTGAACATACGATAAGCAGTAATAGAAATTTATATGGACATCGACGTCACATTGACTACATTATAAATTTTGTAACAAACATAATATTACATTTATTATATTTAACAATGTGAAGTGCAAGTTTTTATAGCAAAGGGAACGAATTCATAACACATGCAAATGTATATTACTCTGAATATATATATGTATTTTTATACGATAAATAAATGTTTTTCACGTAGATATTACTGAACACATGATAAGCTGTACAAAAAAAAATTGTATCGACGTCTTCTTGACTGCATTATAAATTTCGTAACAAATATCAAATACGATTTATTATTCTGTTTAGCAATGTGAAAGGCAGATTTACAGTACACAGGATTTGGATTCAAACCTACTGATATCTGGTCAAAAAACATGCTTTAAAAAATTCTGGATCTCTCTATTTCAGGAATACAAGTTTAAACACTCTTTAAATTTAAAAAAATATCTACTACAAGATCCACGTATGAAGTTAAACTCTATATGCAATCGCTACGAAGCAATAGGTCTACCATATATGGCTTAAAACTAGTCGGTTTAACCAAATCTATGTCACTCTCCTGATCTTAGATTAAGTTTTTTAGAGAAGTTTCGAACAGTAGTGAGCTACAACAACAAAAATTATTTTTATATTATTTTTAATTGTTTGAGCTTATTTACACTATCATGAACATGAACATAAACATGAACTTGAAAACCGGTTGCTTATTGATGAGAGAGGGAAGAGAGTGTGATGTGAGTTCATGAATTTCACGCAATAAAATTTGCTGCGTTTTTTCAGCTTGACAAGCATACATATGCAATATTATGTTTTTGTTTACCTTTTAATGCTGAATACTCTCAATTTCTGTGCTCTGCACTACTACACACAAGCATTTTATACGTTTACACAAAACAAAACAAATTTCACGCTCATGAGAGTTAATGATATTGTAAACTGAACTGACAGCTCATGTTGTCGTCAAGTTCATCTCATGTTCATGATAGTGTAAATAGGCCCATTAACGTTAAAAACAAATTTAATATTAACTTTTTTATTTAAAAAGACTCAACTTTTAAGCTTGATCCTTCAACTTTTGTTGAGTTTAAAGTAAACTGTTTGTCAATTATAAGAAAACGATCCTATGTCTATATATATCTCAATTATTTTTAAGCTGTCATTATAATAATAACCCAGGTTTGTAAAAAAATAATATTTTTAAAACTTATGACAGTTTTAGCAGCTTGAGGAAATTAAACACTTATAAACACTTTATATACATATAAACAAGAAATATATATAAGCTTTACTGAAATTCTTTGTTTAAGCCTCTACATAATTAAGTTGTTATATATTCGTCGCATATTCTTATTATTAAGCAATCATTAATAATATGTACAATATCTTGATAACAGCTGTTTAAACATTTTTTATTTTGGCAGAAGTCGTTAAACCAAAAATTCGATTGTTTAAAAACCGTATTTATTTATAAAAGGTAGAGATTAAAATATAAATACTTCTTTGTTATGAAAATTTATTTATTTATCTATTTATTTTTTAATAATTAAGAATTTATTACTATTTAGATAAGTATGTGAGTAACTAATATACATATATCCAATCTTCGAATGCATGCTATTTTCATACAACCAAAGTTTGCAATAATTATAATAACAAAAAGATAATATATGTGTTAGTTGGAAAATGACTTTTTTTAAACAAAATTATAACATTCTAATTACTTTAAAAGCGATAAACATTGTTCCTCTTCAAATAAAAATTAGTAAATAAAACTGAAAACGTACATTTGGTATATAAAAGAGCCACAGTATTGTTGTGTTTCTTATCAGTTATCAGAATAATTTTTTGTGAACATTTGAACTACATTAAAAAATTTTCTTTTTAACTAGAAATTAAAAATTGTTAACTCTTTTTGAAATAATTTTATTGTACCTCAATACTATTATAATATAAGCAAAATTGATAATAGAAATCAAAAAACTGGATGTAGAGTCACTTCTCTGGGTCATATAGTGTTAGTGCTTAAATATATAACTATTACATACTGAATTAGAGACTGCATAGAAAAAGGTTTAATTTAATTAATTTCAGCAAAAATATCAGGTAATCTAAGACACTCAGCAAACCCTTGAGTAATATGAGGAACATTACTAATTTGTTAATAAATTTTATCTTTTTATATAAGAGATAAGTAGAAATTTGTATGTCTTAATGAAAAGAAAGCACTAGATTATTACGTATTGAAATGTATGATTAATATAAAGTTTTATTTTTACATATTAATTAATTAATTATACAAAAAAAAAGTTCAATATTGTTAATGAAAAAAAAAATCGTCTGATTTGATCATTAGAATTCATTCATATTAAAAAAGCTTTCCACTTATTTGTTTTCAAAAGCAATTAGATCAGATATTGAAAAACTTTAGTAATTTTGTATTCGAAATAAAATATTTTTTCTAACGCAACGAAAATCGTTACCAAAAAGAGTAGCACGATAATTATCATTGGTGACAAATGCTAATAGCAAAGCATCAACAATCAGTGAGTGACACGTCAAATTGGTCCATATTTAATTTTTAATTAATAATTTTCTCACACCTACCAATTATAACGCAAATTACATAAATCCAAGTTTGTATATTTTATATATCTATATAGTAAATCTCTAAGTAGAACTTACCTAAAGTCATGTCGATATTATCACTGGTCATGTCGACAGCGCCACTATTAGTTGGATTATAAAATACATAAATTAACTGAAAATAAAAAACATATGTTATAAAACAATTTCGCGCATTTTTGATTTATACCATATATATATTCAATATAAATATTAAAATAAATGTAATTAAAAATTTTTAAAAATTTATTCATATATAAATATGCATTGATTTGGCCGGTTTAAATGTTAATTTAATTAACTTACCATAAAAGCTGTGAAGCAAACACATTTCGACCTGCTCCACATGATTAAATAGATATTGTATTAATTCCCTTATATTCTAAAAATATAAACAAAAAACACTACAGTGCTAAATTTTTTCGATTGCCTGCCACAATTGTTGTCTCCCACTTTTATTAACAAATTTACCACGACGACGACTGGAGCCAGTGATGTGACTTTTAATGAAATTTTTGACAGTTGCTAGTGCTGCCAATTTATTGACATTAAATACAAATTATGCAGCAATTTAATACATCTTCTGCGCAATAAATATATAATATATGTTTATATATATACACATTATTTTATTATTTTTGATTTACACGTGACAATAATACTATGTATGATGTTTTATATAAATTGAAAGAATGGTATGATATAGAGTGTTTGGTGGTCTCTAATATATTTAATGATTTTAGACGATTTTACCTATTAGATTTTCATTCGAATTATTAGATTTTTATTATACTTATTCGATTTATTAGCATTCACACTGTCTTATTTAGGCACTTGTTGATTTCTATTAATGAGTGAATGTACACATTATAACGAGCTTATTTATGCAGCTAATACAGCTGATAGATAAAACGTCACTTAATAATATATCACACAAAAATAAATAATTTTTTGATTGATATATTAAATCATTTATATACATTTTATATATCAATTACATATTTAATTAATAAAAACAAAGATTTTGTTAAATATTTACTTCCTCAATGCCTTTATTTATAACTCAGCAGTTGTTTGTTTACATTTTATATATAAAACATATGACATATAATTCATTTCAAATTTTGGAAATTTCCCTTGTGGGAAATTTATTTGAAGAGTTACATTCGACATTTTTCTCCTTAAATAAACTGATTTATCGATAATCCTTATTAATCCTTATCCATATTAATGATTATAATAAGCAAACCCGCCTAAATGAGAAAGTGTGATGTGCTATTAGACCATTAACTTAAACATATTGTATTTTGTTAATATTCAGTTAATAGAAAAACAGACGATTTCTGATATTCTCTGAATTTACATTTTTCTTTACAGTAACATCAAATTAATAAATGGAATCTTTATAATATTTATACATATAATATAATATTTATATTTTAACTATATGATTTTTATAGCTACTACTATTATTAAAAACCAACAATTCTACCTTTGCGTAATATTTTATTTTGTAACATTTGTGTTCTCATACTCACACTCTATTAGAAAAAGACAGTTTTAGACAATAAATTGCTAATTAATGCTATTGCACAAGTTTATTAAGTAAAATTAAAAATCAACTAATCAATTTTAATTTTACCATAAAATATTGCACACGTAATTTCGCGCTACTCCGGTTTCCTAGCTGCGTTGATTTTGCAATGCATTCTCCAATAGATTTTCGATAAACATATATTTTGAGTTGTCGAGGTTTAAAGTTGTACGTTTTTTGCAAATTCCGCACACGCCATCTAGCACTATTTAGTATATATAATTTATACATACAATTTACAAACAAGTAACAATAAATATATGTGACTAAGGGATGTTTTATTTTATATATCGTATATAAATTTATATATGGCATGTTATATTTTATATAAATGCATAATAATAACTTCTATATGCATTTTAGTTATATTAAAAGTACTCATTCCATAAAAAAAAAAAACTTTTAAAGGGATTTTTTAACTAACTCCTAAGAAAAGGCAACATTGTTACAATATTATTATTAGCGTTGGCAACCATTTTTCAATATAATTCAGTTCTTTTCATTGTGTCACGGATGTTTCAATCATTCTGATTGCTTTATTAAAAATAATTAAAATTACGAAATTTTTAACATAAATTATTCAATTATATTCACAAGAAAGTTATTTGAGCAGAATAACATAGAAAAGTTTATTAGAAATTATTTGAAAAGATCGAAAAAAAGGAGTTTAAAATTTTTTCGCATTGGAAACAAAGAAAGCTCAACAAAGCGGAGAACAAAAAATTATATGAGAATATAAAAAATAAAACAAGTTTTACTTTTCCACTATATTCGTAACAGAAATACCATAAAAGCGGACAAGAAGTGCATTAAAGTAGAAAATGAAAAAAGTTATAAAAATGAAACAAATTTTTTAAGTAGCTTTCCCCCAAAAAACTAAAGTTAATAAAAGTTAAAAATTAAAAAAAAAACCCTGGTGTTGAATTTAATTTATTGAAAAAAGGTTGTCAATCTACTGTTTTAGTTTTTGTGCGTTTTTGTCGAAACGGTACTGAATAATATAAATAACAGGTAAATAATTTTTTAAGGTGTTAAGCTTAAAATAAAAAAAATAAAATATTGTTGCTCTGCACATATAACCAAATTTCTTTTTATACCGTTTTTATTTATAAACGAAAACAGTAAATTTGTTTAACGCATTAACTATGAACTTTGGACTTACATTGCCGGTTTTCGCATGGAGAAATGCAATTGTTTTATAAATAAATTGTTTTAAATTTTCAGTGGTCTAGTTTAAACTTTGAATAAAAAATTTGTTGAAATTATTTATTTTTAATTGAAGGAAATTTTCCTTATTTTAACTAATTTGTAAGTCTGTGAATTCTCATATATATTAAATTTTTAATACTATTTAACAAAAAATTTTGGAATATAATACTAAATTACAAAAGTAAATTTCTGTTTTTTAAAGGTCATTTTAAAAAATATTTCGTCCGTTATTTTTGGTAAATAATACCGTAATATACATATAAAAAATAATTTTTTTTTCTCTGCATTTTGATAGAATTCGAATATAATTACACTTATTTATCTTGTTAAAGGCAATGAACAATGTCAAAGAAAGATCAAATTGAACAAAAACTTTTATTTAAATTTATTGATATAACTTTTTAGTCATAACAAAACATATATTTTTTGTTCTTTATATTGAAATCTTTGTACATTACGCAAATATCACAAATTTTGCATTGTCATTAAATCTTTCATTGTTGCTTTTTCTCATATGAAGATGTTAATTTTGTTATTGTTATTTGTTTCGTTTCCATATTTTATTTACCTTTTATTTTTTATTGTACATTTTAGTATAGAAAATTAAGGTCTGTACAAACAAGAATATGAACAAAAACGAAGAAAATAAAAACATTTTTCAGCTGTTCGGCTGAAGGCGAAAGAAAAAGTACATTTAGTTTTGCTTTACATTTTCTGTATACAGAAAAAATTTGTTAATATATTTATAAAAATGTACTTATATTTAATATAAGATATTAGATTTAAATTGGTATTAAATTGGTCTTATAAAGAAAACATATAGCTTTTTGTTAGTACTCAAATATTTGAAATGAAATATGCGTCATTTTATTCCATGAAGATGAACTTTATGATCGATAAATTATGACCTCTGTTAAAATCCTGATACCATAGTTGAAATAAATATATATATGTATTCTTTTTTTTTTTACTGTATACTGTTTAAAAAACTGTATAATCTGATGTTTTTTTACTCTTCTAGTATTATTTATAAGAATTTGTTTAAATATATTTTGTTTTATTACTGTACCCTTTTGTACATAACCTTCATCAAAATTGCAAATACTGTACATTTTGTTGTTGCATTTCACTTATCAACACAACCACTTGTAATGTTAAAAGCCTAAATATGAAAATACTGTACGGAGAGTAAGGCATCATTTAGATTCAAATACGGAACCAAATATATTTCTTTATTTTTGTTTATAAATCACCGTTATTTAAACCGTTTTGAATTTATAAAAATAAAAAACAAAAAACTTATGGTCGCTTAAATAATTTTTTCTCTAATTTTTTCTTTTATTAATAAGATTCTCGATTTCAGTTTCTTAAGTCAAATTACCATTTTTTGGCACTCTTAGTGTCTTCCTTCTGTTGTAAGAAGATGAATATGATTAAAATTCCAATTATTCCAATTATAAACTATTATTATTCACTGCTCCAGATTTGTACTGTGGTATTACACAATAATATTACAATGTCAGTATTATGTGATTCACAATATTTGAACCAATGGGCCTAAGAGGATTCTTAGGATCGCCGGTATAACTAAACCTATTATTTTGTCCCCGACTACTATAGAACAAACAATAATTTTCATTCGTGATTAAAATTTTGCTTTCCGAATCTAAGTCACACTATAAATATTGACTAAGGATCGGTATTTCCATTAAAATTCGTGCTGTGAAATATGATGTACTAAGTGAAATAGTTCCATAGCTCGCTAACTTCTTAATTATATGTTTGTTGTATGCATATCATCATAATTATCCAATATAAACTAATAACAATGGGGTAGATTTCTTATTGAAGATCATCATATTAATTAAATATTAACTAATAATAATGGGGCAGATTTTTATAATCGTTTAAGTTTATTCTTGAACTATTTTTTTAAGTATAATATTTTTTATTAGTTGTAATTGTTCATAAAGTATATAACTAATAACTATGGTAGTTTTGTAATTCTTATTCTTAGTTAACTTTAAAATTCATTTTAATGTTAACTCACAAATAAATAAATAAAATAATCAAATATATTTAAGATATATTAATAAATATAATTATTATAGAGTTTTCTATAATTGGAAGCATGGAAGCTAATGTTATATATGATAATTAAAAGTTTCTATTGAAGCTTTCATCTTTAGACATATTAGTTAATAATGTATATTAAAAAGAGTTAAACCATTAAATTATAGCATTTAATTAAATATTGTTATTATTTGTATTTGATGTTTTAATTATATTTCTTTTTAATACTAGTATACACAAGGTATGATGTTCTCTAAGTAGGTCAAGCTTATATCCAACTTGTGTTAGAAAACCAAGCGTAAGGTTTTAGGTTATCATAGTAATATAAATAATAAAATTCTTTAGATTATAATATTAATTATCTGTTTATTTAATAACAATACATTGTATTACATATTATATAGTCATTTATTTCTCATTATAAATCTAAAATTAAATTGGTTTTTTGTTTTTTACAACAATCACAATGCAGCAAAAGTGTGTAAATAAGTTAATGTTAATGTTGATGTTGAAATATTTAAAAATATTACTGATAAGATAATGAAATGCATATACTGAGACTCAATGAAAGTGAAAACTATTATTTTTCCAGAAGACTTTAATTAGAAAATTAAACTTGAATATATTCTTCAATATATTCAATTGAACTAGAAGTTATGGTATTTTCAATTTAAATAATTAATGTAATCTTTCGAAACCACTAATTTGCACTAAGTGCAGTATATTTGGGTAATTAAACTCAAAAAAGAAAATAATAAAAATTTATTTATTAATTTGTGGTATCTGAATAAATTTGTTTATTCAGTGCTATATAAAAATTTTATCAAATATCAATAATAATAAAACAATTACTAATTTGCAGACATTTAATGTAATGTAATGTATAAAAATATTGCATCATCAGTTAAAATGTTATTTATTTTGTCCCTCTGACACCTTTTAACATATTTTTGCATGTGACCTTTACTGCAGTTCTCTGCCCTTCCTAATGCAAGTGCTGATGATGACAGTTATGGTCATAAAATAATAAAAATGACCTAAAAAATTTCTTTGGCTGCATGAGCTGTTTATAAAATGGAAAATTATTCAATTAATTGTTAAATTAAAATAATAAAATTAAAAAACAAAAACTGCATTTTAGCTAGTGAGATGAATTTAATTGAAGGACAAAAAAACAAGTCGATATCCATTAATTTTTTAAACAGTAAAATATATATAAATATGAATTTTAATAAGGGCAATATCCAAGAGAACCAGTTACCACTTATCGACTAATTGACAAAAACTTCAAAATGATGAAGATTTAAAATTTATAATTAAATAAAATGATTTTATTTAGTTTTAAATAGGCCAGACGGAGGGTAATAGCTAATGCTTTAGTATCTTTGTTCCTGTGTCAGAAAAAAGTGAAAAGATAACAAGTTATATCCTCTACAAAACAAAAATAACATTCTGATACATTGGATGTTGTTTTAATATTATTATAGGTTAAGGTGGTAGATAGGTAACCAGAACTTAAGCTCTGTACTGCTGGTGAAAACCGTCTCTTTTTTGTTATCAAAAAATGAATCAGCTACTTACTATAAAGATTATATATCCCATTTTCGATTGATAAATCTAGGGTAGCTTTTTCATTCGAGATTCACTTTTAGTGCAATTTTCTTTTCCATTTGGTAAATCTCGAGCAAAATGTATAACACTCGAGATTAATTTATAATACTAGGTATTTTGCTAGAATAGCAAGTTTATCCTAAATTGACAACTGTTTTATATGTCTTCACAAATAAAGTATAATTTCATTCTATATTCATATGAATTTCTAAAAAATACATCAGGTAGATTACTCTAAAATTGTTTGATCGATCTTGTAGTGTTGGTATTACAGGTTAAGGAGTTAAGGGACTCGTTATATGATATTCTCACTGAGAACTAAAACTATTTATATTAATGAAACTAAGTTTTGGTCGTTTCTATTAACGTAAACTGATTAAGGCCTATATTAGGTAGAGTGTCATGGGCACATTTACATCAAAAACAGATTTGTTCTTGCTTTCAAAGCAAATTAAACAACTAAGAGTTTAATTGTGAAACACAACCATCATTTTCAACATAGTGCTTCACGATGATATTAAGTCGTTTGTGGTAACAGGGAACCGATTCAACAAAACATCACTGACTATTAACTAAGCAGACACCGTAGCGATTTTAAGCAGATCACTGCACTATATGAAAGAAAATTCGTCGACTTATAACACAAAGCTAAGGTTATAAGACTGAACATTATTGAGAACAAAACTAAATACAAGAGGGTTGGAAGAAAAAAGTACAGCCGAATTTTAGAACCCATTCTTCTTCTTTTGAAGAAGTCGAAAGCAGCAAATATCTGGATGTCTTCATTAATAACAATTATGACATTAGAATTTCTATCCACGTTAGAATTGTGGTAGCGAATAGAAGTTATTACGGACACACAAAAATCTTCAAATCTAAAAATGTTACTAGAAGCTTTAAACTACACACTTACAAGGCAATCGTCTGTCCGGTATTATGTTACGGGGCCGAAAATTGTACTTAAATCAAATCAGAGCTTTCAAAATGAAGGTGCTGAATAAGATTTATAGTCCCAACCGCCTGAACCACATAGAACTTCGTCGGCACAGAGGTATTGCAACTTTGTAACGGTGAAGATGCTGTAAAGTTCGTGTCATGAGAATGCCGGATGATAGTCTATAAAAGCGAATACTCCATTTCACGCTGTATTACGACTGCAGCAGAGCTAGGCCACGTATAAGATGGCTCAACAACGTGTCTGTCCAACGGCATTAGAAAACTGAGGAGATCAAGAGAAATTTAGTTGATGCGGCTAAAGCTCACCCCGAGCTAAAACGCTGATGTTGATGATGATGAAGGTCATTTATATAAAAGCTATTTATATGGTAAATTATTTTCATTAGTGGCCTTATGGAGCTAAACTGCCTAAATGAGAGTTTGGTGGAAACATGGTATTAATTAGATTCTTAGTAGTGGACGAATGAATATCGCAGACGAATGGCTCCGGTCTGTGGAATTGCATGGTTGAGTCGGTTTGCGTAAGATTATCTATAATAAATACAAATATTTGAAAAAAAAAATTTTTCTTCCAATGTATAAGGTCTTTTTGTGTATGTTTGTTTCTATTTATGTTTGTATTTATTTAGTCTGTTTTGCTTTGTTTCTTCACAATATGAAAATCAAGAATAATTGTACAATGTTGCGATGAAGCAAGTAAAGTAGTCATTGTCATCTCTGTTGGTTTTGTCGTAATTAGTCGTAGTTTGAAGTCTTCATACGATTTTAGCTGGCGTTTGCTGTTTGCTGTTTGTTGTTCTTCGTATCCACGAACATTAGTAGAACTTGGCGCACGCACAGGTTCACTTCTCATCGCGTACACTGCTAAAACTATTTATTTATTTTTCTTTTCTTTTTTTTTCTGTTGATTTGAATATTTTTTTAATGAGTATTTGTGCGTTTCTGTGAGTGTATTACGACGTGCCAATTAACGGTGTTCCTTGCGGTAGGTCGGCGTGTGGTTTCATAATTTAAATGTTTTTATACACAATCGTTTAATAATTTTCTTGTTAGTTGCGTTGCATTTATAAGTGAAAGTGCTTCGAAAGCAAAAGTGACACAACCAAGCAGTGAATTTTTTATTTTGTTTTATGTTTTTTTGTTTGGTTTTCGCGTTTCATACACTGCTTTTAATATAAATTATCTTATTTATTATATATAAAAATATATGCCGTTTATATCGGTAAATTCAAGATTGTGTATATCTGTATATCAGGCGGCATTTTATTTGCAATCGGCATTTTTACTGCATATGTTTATCAATATTTGTGTATATTTTTTGTGACATTTTCAAGGCTACAAAAGTTATTCCAACGAACCACAATAAAAAGCTACAAAGCAAAAAATTGGTATAAAAATAAAAATTTTATTAAAAAATTATAAATTTTTTCTTCGATGAAATTAAATAAAATTTTTTTCTTCGATGAAATTAAATAAAAAATTGTGTCTTTTTGTACATGTGTGTTTGTGTCATAATTTGTTTGTGTGTAATTTTTGTGTAATTATAAAATTGGCTACAGAAATATGCAAATTTGATTGCTTTTTTTTTTTAGCAAAATCTGCTATTTTTTTTTTAATAATAATTAAATTGCTGTATGTACTCAAAACTTTTGCTCCTTTTTTCAACTAATTTTCATATATATTTTTTTTTTCAATTACATTCCTTTTTTCGTTTTTTTTTCGTTTGGTATCCGTACAAGTCCTTGTTGAACTTAATTGAATTTAATTGATTTTTCATTGATGAAATTTTCATTGGCCATGTGGAAAAGTGAAAGTTGCTGTGTATTTTCTTATTCGTATGCTTTGTTATTATATTGAAGTACTTTTCTACTTTTCACTTTTGTTTATTATTTTTTGCTCCTTCGTTGGCATACGTTTTTATTGTCCTTTTGTTGTGTTGTTGTGACTTTGTTTATGTGATTAAAACATTTTGCTTTTATTCGTGCCGTAATTGTCATTAACAGCTCACTTAACTGCGCTTTATTGCGCAGTTAACTTCTCAACCATTAAGTTAAAGGTTCCTTTGTCCTTCCTCCGGCTTTAATAAGCTAAAAGTCTATATAGGCGTTCGTAGGCTCAATTAATAAATTGTCATCGACCGACCTGTGTTCGCAAGATACGAATCAGTATACGCACACCGGCTTATTATGGTAATTGCAAGTTAATACTCCTGAACAGCACATACAAACATACAAAACTCAAGAAGTATGACAAAGTTAATTTAAAGTATATATTACGCTTTTATTTACTTAAATATAAAGTATCTCCTTATAGTAATGTTATTGTGATTGTTGTTTATCAAAGAAACAGTTGTGCTTTTAAGCCTTTATTTCTTGCTTAAAGTTTTTTAATGTAAATTGTTTTAAAAAATAAATTTTTACTGTGAATAAACAAAGGTTTTATTATACAAAAAGGTAATACTTAAATAATATATATCAAATATTTCAAATAAACCTGTCGCATCTGTGGGGAAGACGATAGGAGTGGATCTCATCTCCTGTGTTGTTGACCAATTCATGCACGGCGGAGACTCACCACTCGCCCTTTCTTGAAAATTTTGATCAATTACAAACTAAATACCATTTTAGGTTTCGCCAAAGGTTTTAGGTGGTTTTTAGCCCTCAGTTTTTTTTCTCTACGTATACAGTAACACAATTGATCCATTAGGGATCGCCGATATAATCTAAACTATATATCAAATATATTAATATATTATTAAATATAATAATATTTATTAATTATCTTGCTAATTAGTGAATACAAAGCATTTAATTTTCTGTTATTAAAATTATTAGTTACGTTCTTATATTATATTATTTAAATTGTATTCTTAAAGTTGATTAAATCTAAAGTTAAATCTAAGCTTAAAGCTATCAGCTCTCTTTTAACGAGAGAGAGAGAGAGACTTGTATATAGTGTACCTATATAACGGTAACAATAACAAATTATATAGTAAAAGAAATTAATAAAACCGGGTTTGAAATGTATTTGTTGTTGTATAATTACCAGTTTCTACTAAAATATGCAATATCATATGTAATATACCATATCAGGACTGTAAGGTGAATGACCCATTGGTTGCTAATTTTGTGTGTTCAAAGAGTCAATACTGGTGGAGAATTATCAGTCTTTCTTTGTAGGTTTTCGTCATTTTTGTAAGCATATAATAGGTGTAGTAAAAAGAAAGATATTATTTTTGTATGAAATTATTTACCATAGTTAGAATGATCGGATTTAGGGTAAATATATGCTGTTTTGTTCGCTAACTTGTTACCATTTTGAAGGTAATTTCATTATGCCTCTCTCATAGAAGTCCTCGTTCCTATTAACAAAATGTTAAGATAGTCGATTTTTACAAGCTTCTCTTGAAGCGAATTTTTACAAGAAAAATCTTTCGACATGAACAGAAACATGGGAACAGATGGTAATCACTTGGTAGCAGGTCTAAACTATAAGGTGAATGTATAAGAACTCTCAAGCCAAGCTCCCGGAACTTTTGGTGGCCTGGCGTTGTTTTGATGGAACACAATTTATTTTTCTATTTTCCAAAGCTGGCCGTTTCTGAGCGATTGCTTCCTTTAGACAATTTAACAATCCAATTGTTGACAGTACAGTTCTGAATTAAGAGTTTTGCAGTAGGAAAGCAACACATAGTAGATGATTCACTGTCAATTCCACCGAACGTACAGGAAAACCTTTCTGACGACTATCAATCTTGGCTTGGTCACCGTTACTGCCAGCTCACCGCGTTACGACCACGACCGTTTCCGTTTGGCGTTATCGTAAGTGATCTTTAGGATAATTTTTCATTACCAGTCAGTAACCGCTTCAGAAATGGATCGATTTTGTTGCGATTTGTAGATGGAAATATGGGTCTATGAGGTCTTTTTGCGTTAACTCATACATCGAGTTTCTTTTTGTATTCAGCCTTATTCAAATGGTTCCAAACATGCAATGGTTGTTTGTGCAATCTTTACATCTTGGGCAATCGAAACAGTGCGACTGTCAGCACTTGACAATTTCGATGATTTTATCAATATTTTCGACAATTAACCTGCCAGTACATGGTGCAACTTTGACCTATATTTAAAAGTTTGTTTTATTATTTTGTTACTATAAATTCAACTTCACATCATATACATAATTTATATAATCTTTAAATAATCTGTTAATTAATTTTTTATTTTTTTGTTTATCTAGATAAATGGAGGGATCCGATGGATCGCCTCCTCAATCACTTTGCATGATTCGAGCTGCTGAACTATTTCCTAAACAACAAATGGAAAAAGAAGATACACAATTGGTTGTCCCATTTCAAGAACGTAGGTATATTAAATAAATTTCATAATACAATGTTAATTTATGTTTGTTTTTTAATTATAAGTTGCTGGAGAATCAGTAAGATATTTGGGTCGCACCGATGATGGTGTACTAGCACTATCGAATTATCGTATATTTTTACTTAAGAATTCAAATAACTCTGAAACTTCTGTACCACTTGGACTAATTGAGTCGGCACAGTGCCGAGATCTATTTCACCTTATCATAAATTGTAAAGATGCAAGCACAGTAAAATGTTCCTTTGAGACGGCAGAACAATGCTCAGAATGGCAACGTCGAATTCAAAATTCTGTTGGAATACCAGAAACATTAGAATCACTGTTTGCATTTCCTTTCTATTCATGGACATATGACAGTATCAATTGTGGTAATTCAGCAAATAATGGCAGTATTGAAAACCCGCCTTCTTCTGTATGTTCAGCTCCTGATTATTCAGAACGTTTGCAAAGATCCGCACAATATGAGGAAGATTTTATGCGTGAAGTAGAGCGGTTAGGATTTGATGTAAATGGTTCTTGGCGCATATCGAATGCAAATGCAGATTTTAAATTATGCCCATCGTACCCACAAAAAATACTTGTTCCCTGTTGCATCTCAGATGATACCCTTAATATAGTGGCAAATTTTCGCGGATCAAGGCGGTTGCCTGCAGTTGTTTGGCGTCATCGGCGATCTGGCGCTGTTATAGCTCGTTGCAGTCAACCTGAAGTTGGTTGGCTTGGCTGGCGCAATGCCAAGGATGAACAACTACTTAAAGCTTTAGCTGATGCATGTGCTTTTGATAGAGGTGAACAGAGTCGCAGACTTTTACAAACAAAATCTGGTAATTGTCCAATTCCTTCCGGTGAAAACTCACCAACCAGTCCAGATGATAGTCACGAGGAGGTGGCGTTTGATGAAGTGAGAGTAAGTGAATCTACTAATAAAATAATGAGCATAACTTAAATTATATTAATTCATTATAGAAAGTTTTAATTGTTGATGCACGTAGTTATACTTCAGCTGTAACGAATCGTGCACGTGGTGGCGGTTGCGAGTGTATCGAATATTATCCTTGTGCAGAGATAGAGTTTATGAATTTAGGTAATATACATGTTATACGTAAAAGTTTTCATGCACTGCGTCAATTATGCGCTTCGCCAGCAGACGTACCAAAGTAAGTTGCACAATTAAAAATATTAATAATAAATTAAAAATATATATATGCATCTTAAGTTGGCTTACTTTACTGGAAAAAACTATGTGGTTACAACATTTATCAGGACTTTTGACAGCATCAATGACAGTTTGTCACGCAATTGAAAAGAAAGGTCGTCCTGTTTTGGTGCACTGTTCAGATGGTTGGGATCGGACTCCACAAATTGTTGCCACTGCACAACTATGTTTAGATCCATTCTATCGCACAGTAGAAGTAAGTGTAGCTGTGTTCATTTCATTAATACAATAATAAAATAAAATCTTAATGTATCATTTAGGGTTTTCGTGTATTAGTTGAACGTGAATGGCTGAGTTTTGGTCATAAATTTGCAGATCGTTGTGGTCATGGACCTGGTTCCGATGAACTCAATGAACGATGTCCTGTATTTTTACAGTGGTTAGATTTAGTACATCAGTTACATAAACAATTTCCATGCAGTTTTGAATTTAGCATGGGTTATTTGGTAAGTATTGTATTAAATGTGAAATTAACTTTCTATTTATTAAAGTTTTTGTTTTTTATTATCGCAGATAAAATTAGCACAACATTCACTCTCATGTTTATTTGGCACATTTTTGTGTAATACATTAAAAGAACGCGTAGAGAACTCCGTTTTTGAACGTACGTTTTCAGTTTGGCCATTTTTGTCTGGATCTATGTATAAAAATCCTTTGTATATGCCTAATAAGGAAAAGGTGAATAAATACAAAAAAATCTTATTAGTCAATTTGCATAGTAGTTATATTTTTTAAATATTTAAAAATTTTTTAAAGGTATTATGGCCAGCTCATAATGTTCGTGATTTATACTTATGGACTGAAGTTTATTGGGGTAGTTTGGGTAACCAAAACTCAATTGATTTTCCATCTTGTAATGTTGATGGGTTAAATGGTTCAATAAGTAGGTTATTTATTTTTGCCATACAAGCATTTATGTTAATACAAGGTTTTTTTTTTGAAGGTCCAATGGCTAAGACGAGATCTTATGGTGATTTAATAAGTGCTGGTATAATTCAAAACGGATTATCTAGAAGATCTAGTGACCCCAATATGACTGTCGATCCAAAGTAAGTTTAAGCTTATTTTTAATTTATACCAAAAATTAGAAATTTAAAATTTATTAAAAGCTATCTATTATTAATCTAAATTATAATTTAATATTTTTATGGTAAAACTGGTAACAGTGACTAAATTATTAAATGTAAAAAATTTTCTGATCATAATGCTGTTTCCGATGCCGTTAATATTCCATCATCAATTGTCTGTAAGATTCGGAGAATTAAATAAATAGATGTTTCTAAAGACATCTGATGATGAATACTTATCAGTAATCGAAATGGCTGCATGGTTATTACAATGTTCACATTATAGCATAAATATTTAACTAATATTTTTTTTTTGTAATTTCAGTTTAATCATTGGGTCAAGTTCGGAAAATGATTCAATTGCGGATATGCAATCCGAGCGTGAAGATTCACCTGATATTATAGCAAATTTTATACATGACACTACGAGAAAACTACAAAACCTAACAACCGAATTAAATAATCCTGATGAAGAAGTTCTGAATATTCGGCAAAAGATTGATAAGTTAAATGTAAGCGAAAGTGAAACAAATGAAAATTATGAAGAAACAATGCAGAAGTTAGTACAACACCAACAGCAAATGTTGCAGCACCAACAAAGCACAGATATTCTATTAAACACTAATAACCAAACACATATAACATTAACAAATGACTCAACATTGTTATCTAGTCCTCAAGTTCTTCATTTAAATACAAAAAATTGTGAACTTGATACGATTTCACATAAGTACAAAGATAATGATATGATATGCGCACCATCGAGTTCCATAGCTGTCTTAACCTCAAAAACAGAATTACAAGACGCACTTGATAGCTGTATTACTGACAAGACTGTATCAACATGTGAAAATATTTGTAATAAAGATAATATCGTCAACACAACAAATATACTCGAAATTGTAACTAATGGAGCGACAAATGAAACGAAACCACTCGTGAATGTAGATTTATTAAGAAGCGTAGATTTAGGAGGTAATTCACTAGGCTTATAAAAGTTTTTTTTTATAAATTTTAACTATTTATTTTATTTTTTATAATTATTTATAAATTTTTAGCAAATTCAAATAGTGATAGTCAAAATGGTGATAATATGTGGCACGGTTCGGTCAATACTAGTACTGATACTCTTGTGCCAATTGAAAACTCACAACAAAATATTACTTGTAAGCAACAGCTGCATTCAAACTCTGAAAGTCATGACATTACAGATGGTAATAATGCATTTTCAGTGAAATCTAGCTTAAATAATTTAGACACAACGGTGGAATTTATTAAAGAGGAAGTAAGTAGTTAAATTTTAGAAACATGCCTCAATAATAAATAATTTTGATTATTTAATTATGTAGCGAAAATCAAATGATAACAACAGCACAAATAGTAAAATTTTACCTAAAGTACACACTCCAACTTGTCGTCCTAATGCCTTGTTAAACTCACTAGGCAAAACCACAAATTTGCCTTCATCTGTTGATATAATCAGCGATAACGCAGACAAGAATGTATTATTATATGATACTAGCTACGGGTGTAAAGGAGCAATAAGTACAGATGGAACTCTTAAATCGGTAACACAAATTCCTGCAACTAATTCCATGGACGAAAGTATACTTATATTACCAGAACATCAAAAACTCGAAATTTCAGTAAGTGGAAAATGTGAGACTATTCCAAGTAATGGCGTTACTGTAGCGACCTCTAACACACCTAATTCATATTATAACACAACTTTTACAACTACCTCCAATCAACAAAGAAGAAGGCGTACGTCTTCATCAAATTCACGACGTGAAGCATTTTTTACAAGACAAATCAATGGGAGGTAAGTTAGTAAGATTAATAAAATATTTTATGATATTTACCTTTTTACCTTTTTATAGCACAAATTCGCGATTTTCATTACCGGGCGTACGTTCACTTCCTATGACCCCGCCAGGTTTACCTGAACGAGCACAAATTGCGCTTTCCTGCCCAGATGGTTTGGCTCATGCTTTAAGCGAACAGAATATAAGACTACAACAGATTGTACATGAGCATAAGGTTTGTTGAACTTAATATAATTTTTAAGGACATCACTGAAAAAAAAAAATCTTGTATATCCAGTAACAATAAAGAATTTAGAATTATTTTATCTAATTTTTAAGTTGAAAAAAACATAATTTTTAAGTTGAATCATTATAATTTTTTTTTCTATTAACATTAATAATAAAATATCAATATCCGCATAGTTTAAAATTTAAAAATAAATATCGGTATCCTTATACGCTTCACCTAGAAACTTGAATATATGTTACAATAATATAATTATATCTAAATTTTAGTTGCGTGAGGACGTTCTCTTACGTGAAATACACGATATGCGAATGGCACTGTTAAAAAAGGTTTGTCCAAATTGCAATAATGCAGCAACCGCAGCAAATGAGGAGCAGGTGAGTTTAAAAATTATATTTAATATATAAATTACTTTAGTTTTATTTATATTAGTAATTTTTAAACATTTTACCTTAAACAATAATAATTCTTGGGAGTATTTTGTTATTAATTTTAATTGTATATTTTATTTTTTTAGATTAGATTTCATATATATTTAAATAATTTTCTTTTCTATTTCTTTTATTTATATTTTCCTTAATTTAAATCAACTTATTTTCCTAATTTTAACAAAACCATCTAAGGCAGATGAAATTATAAATACCAAATGTAGTAGAAATAATTTCTGTAATTGTTCCCTGCCTGTTTTCTGTGCAACATGCAACAAATTAAAACAAACAAATCGTCATTATCATCATCATCGACGACATCGCAGAAGTTGTATTGAGTATAATTCAAATGATGACGACGATTGTGATTTTGATGATGGCATAAGTTCTTCCATATCAGCGGTTAGTTGAGCACGAAAAAAGAAATTATTTTTAATTTTTATATTTATTTGTGTTACCCTTTTTATTTATTATTGTTAAAGTTAATTTTTATATATATTATGCAAAGAAAGTAAGCAATATTCTGAATTATTTTAATTGATTTACTGCTTCAAAATTGAATATATATATGGCTGCTTTCAATATTCAATAATGTCGTATTCTGTACACAATAAAATGTGTCAAAAAGAACTGTGCCGATGATAATGAACTAATGCTTTTCTGTTTTCTTTAAATACTTTTCGATTTGAATTAATCGCATGTATAATATTTTTAGTTATTCTTGTGTTGATAATATGCAATAATTTTATAATGTTGATTGAGTTAAATTTTTTTTCAATTTATTTACAGTGTTCTGCCTTAGATAATGTGGAAAATGCCTCGATATGTTCGTGGGAGGCAGTTGAAGATCGTAGCGGTCCTTCGTCATGCGCCAGTTCCTCAATACAGCCAAATGCTACAAGTGTTCTTTGGGTTCCTGATCATGCAGTGTCTCGTTGCACAAGTTGTCAAACAGAATTTTGGCTTGGTAGACGGAAACATCATTGCCGGTGCGAATAAAAATATTACAAGATTTGCTATATTACTTATAAAATTTTTTCCCAATTCATACCATTTTTTCATTTTTATCATTATTATAATTAATTATTAATTATAACATAATTATTATATAATAGCAGTTAAATAGTTCTGTAATTTAGTACTCAACTTTTGTTTACTTAATGCCTTTATTTAAATTAACTATTCTAAATTAATTGCTTTGCTTGTTGTGTATGTAATTGAGTTTTGTTTAATTGCATTCTATCTATATCTTATCGTGTTTTTGCTTTTTTCATACATATTCATGGAAAATTAAAATTTGTACTAAATATTATTATAGTAAAAGCTCTGTTGTTAAACAGACATCTCTCTTTACCGTGCATTGCTCCTAATTTAAAACTTTCACGAAAAGTACGTACTTTTGAATGGAAGCGTTAAAGCGGTGTACGCTTCAAAGAGCTTTTACTGCATTTTTAATTTTTTCGTTTATATTAGAAAACTTTTTGAAATATATTTAGAAAAAATATTAGCTCTAAAAACAAAGATAAAATTAGTGTATTTAAAATTAAGTAGAGTAATTTGGTTTAGTAAAGTTCAATATAGAATGAGAAGTATATATTATATGTTAATTTTCTAATACTATATGTATATATATATACACATATGCAACTACTATATTAAACTTCATCGCTAAATTTACTGTTAACAATTTATAAAAATCTACTATATACATCCTACATTAATTTAAAAGTAAAATCTTATCCCAGTTAACTTTATTCTATAAAATTTGTATGCCAATTAATTTAATTGGGATTCTCTAAATCCGAGAGCACTCTAAAGTCCATCAAAATGAGACAAGTATGCATAAAAAAAATGATGGTTTTCGCAATTTTCTGCCGAATAATTGTAATTAAACTAATTTTTATTTGCGCTTCAGCACAAACTTTTTGTTGACTTTACGTAAAATACATATTTTATTAATTATTATTTTTTTAATGAGGTTGCTACGAAAAACATCACTTAAATGGTGTTTTTACATGTTAGTTTTTGAGTTTTTAACTGATTTTAATGCCCGAATTACTAGTGCCAATAGGTGCAGATATACGAATATTTAATAAATCCTTAATAAGACATCCAAATACAGATCCAAATGTCCACAAAAATCAGATGATCTGTTCAATAGATATATGATTGTTACTTCATTGTTGCATCCGTTGAATCTTTGAAATTCATCACTCGCTATAGAGATATTTATTTTTTGTGGTTTGAAACTTCTACTATATTTACTACATTTGCACCGAAATATCTTTAACATAAACTGTAAGTTTCCTTTTCTAAGCATTAGATTTAGGCTCTAATACATATTTTCAATGTACGTAGTCCAGTCAAATGATCTATGTATATATGGGTTTGTCCGACTGTAATCCAAATATTTTTTTTGACAACGTGATTAAGTGATATATTCTTTATATGTGTACGTTTTGCATATTTATTTTAATTTTGCTTCCTTATTGCTTAAGTTTTTATTTGAATCCAGTATATTTTAAATATTTGCTTTGTAAATTTTTAAATAAAATTCAAATAATTAAATTTATATATAAAAGTTTAAGATAAAGCTTTTTTAATTAACTAATTGTGTATATTAACTGTTATTGTCCATTAGTTTACAAATTCAGAGGGTACATGGTCAAGTTTCTAGCAAGTATTTCGAATATTGTTCTCTATTTATTCTTAAAATATTAAGAATATTATTAATATTTTTTTATTAATCTGTAATACATAGTTGGTTAAATAAGACTATTTATTTGAAATTATATGTTACCATAGCACACATAACAGCAGTGGTACATATATATTATGTTTAATTCAAAAAATTAAATTCAAAAAAAAAAAAAAAAACCCAACTTAAGGCCTATCTGGAATCAGACTAACATATCTATAATTAGCTTATCTATTCCAACTAGATTGACCTGATCTAAACTGAAAACAATGCTGTGTAGTAGCTTCAGTTAGCAACAAGAAAATTATATTGTATGTATGAGAAAAAGTATTATTTAATAGCTAGCGAAATTCATTGTGTGACTTTGTAGTATTAGATTGCAAAATAGTAATTATCACAGCAAAATTGTTTAGAAATTAAAACTGGAAAAACCTGAGAGTTACAGCATCGATTGCTATATATATATATTCATTTATCATATCTTTACGTGCTACAAAGCACGTAAAAAGCATCTTTTATTTATATTAGTGTTTAACCTACTCTTAGATTTTGTAAGTTAAATTTAATTATTAAATAGTCACTTATTTTTAGATTATTTAAGAATGCATCAATAAATAGTTAAGTGTTAGTATATATAAGAGATAAAGAGATTAGTAGTTACCTAACTATTACTAATGAATAAATTCGTGTATTTATTTTGAAAAAAACTCATATACAGCTCGCTTCAAAGCATATTTACAAGAAAAAGAATGAAAATTCTTTAGAAGGGTTTGAATACCTTATTATCTTATAATACACAAATTAAAAAAAATTAACATTTTAAGAATGAAGTTTTCTAAAAAAAACCAATTTTGAATTATCAAGATACTTCAGCACCCATTTAATAAGTATAGAGATTATTTGGTTAATATATTAAAGGATATTTAAAGGACTGTCTATCTATTAATGTATCTATCCAATTAAATATATATGTGCACATAAATAATATACTACACGAAGAGTGGCAGGAAACGAAATATATGTATCCATCTATTTATTTTCTATCTACCTATAATCATCTATCTGTAAAATAATTATATTAGCTGAGATTAACGGTTTTTGATATATATTTGTTTTTTTGTGTAGGGACTTTTAAAAATTCTGTTTCTCAGCAAATATTGAAAATGCAGCTCCGTCTTCCCATACGTGTTTTTTATTTTAATTTCTTGGACCATCGTATATATTAAATATAGTTTTGATTTCGAAAAAAATGAAAAACTAATTTCAGTAGTGAATATATTTTTAAGGGAAATAACAAATTTAAATAGTTAGATTAATAGTTAATAGTTAAATTAGATTGAGATAGATAGATGTACAAAAAATACTATTTTTAAACATTCTCATAATATAATATTATCATATTATTAACATCGTAAGTTCCATTATATTATTTATGTTATATTCGAAATGTTAATTTAATTGCGAAAATCAAAATTTTTTTAGATTTAATAATGGAACTAAACATACTTGTTTTCAAAATTTGTAAATAATGTACCTTTTAATATCGTAATTAATGATAATATATCTTTAAAATATAGAATTTATAAAATTATTTAAAATATAATAATATTCAATCAAAAAAGAAAAACATAAAAAAAATCTATAATTATGTGCCCACACAATTTATTTGATAAAAGATTTTCACTATATTACTATTAGGTCCTGTGGTCAAATATTCTGCGCTGATTGTTCGGAATTTTGGGCACCCTTACCTGATGAAAAACTTTTCAGTCCTGTCCGTTTGTGTGGTCCTTGCTACCATTCAGTTACAACACGCATGCAACAAGTTAACCAGTATAATAACGCAGCACTACTTCAATTGGAACAGAGTACTGCAAAGGCAGCTGGAAACGGAATGGGAGTTTCGATGGCAGCGACGCCTTCACCACCCTCAGCAACTTCAAAAGCCTGAAATAGTTTTTAGACTGGAAAGTAAATATTTACTACAAGTTAACAATTTATAAAACGATAGGAAAAAAATATTGTAAACAAAAAAGTGAAAAATTAATGTTTGATGAAATATAATTATGAATATTATTAATGTTGTTGCTGCTGCCATAAAGTATGTAGTGGTTAAAATGAGTGTAGAACGTGAACGAAAATGTGAAAGCTATATTAATTGATGTTATCCTGAAACGAGGAGTTAAGGAGTTGAGATGTACCATAGAGAAGATAAAAAACAAAGAACCTTAGTAACTGTGTCTTGACCTGACTTAACAAAAACTTTCATAGTCTAGAGAATTTCTATATTCAGCAATTATAATTGTAAACAAAAATTTTAATTAAATTTGTGATAATTATTTATGTGTGACTCTATTATTGCTTATTTATTTTGTCCTTAGTTCTTGTTTAAGTTGCACGCAAATTTGTTTTTCTTTTAATCTAAATACCAAATTTTCATTTGCTTATGTAGTAGTATAAATTGACAAAATAAATTTTATTTATAAGTTATATTTTGTGTTTTTGTTTTATTTTTTTGCTGTTAGGAACTTTTTAAGTACTAAATAATATATTATAATTTTTTTAATTATCTGATACACATACCTATTTTTTTGCAATTTTTTTACGCGAATTAAAATTTATAGTTTATCTGAATTATTATTATCTGCGAATATTATTCTATTACAAAAGAGTAATAACTAATGTAGCTGGTATAAAAAAATTGATCACGATGACTGAGTAACATAATAACAGTGCATATATAGTAGTATTTCATTTTTTAATTTTTTTGTTGCGGCTTCACACTTTTACTACAATTTTAGGTTACCTAACCAAAAGCCTCACAAAAGAGTCTTTTAGGAGCTTAAAACAGTTCTATTTAGGAGCCAAATAAGAATAGTTCTATTTAAGAACCTCTTAAAACAATCCGTAATTACCGTTATTTCTTAAGAAATAGGCATGCAGTCAGGAGCATTCTTAAAATGGTCTTGCACGAATGAGCTTTAGGATAAAGGTACCTTTGTGTTCTAAGAAGTGTTAAAAAATGATTTTAGGAGTGTTTTATAATAATTTATTTTAAATTTTTATTTTAATTATATTAAACAATCTTAAAAAATTTTTAACTTTGAAAAAATAATTTTATTTTATTTATTTATTAATATTTATTACTTAACATATAAATATTAATTGTTTATTTAAAATTAAAAGAAATCACAACGAAGTTTTTGCACTGCTGGACTTTAAGAGTTTTGTCCAGATAAGGCGAGTAAATAATATATTATCATTTTTTTGTACCCCAAATACAACACTTAATAAAATGTTTACTTTACCGACTTTCAATAATCTTGTAAATGAAGTCTGAAAAATAATTTGTGTTTCATGTGTATGAACTATTACATGTATCATATCCATACAATATCATGTGATATGAACAGTCCAACTTTAAGCTCCTAGAAGACTCCCGAAAAGAACTGTATTTAAGCTCTTTATTAAGTCCGCTTTGAATTCGTTTAAATTTTTTTTACCAGGTCGTTACTCGAGATCTCACACCATCACTTTGTCATTCAATTAAAGCGGTAGTATCCTAAACTAAAATTTTATAAATCATTACTATTAGGAAATTGATATATTAATAAAAAAATAATTGAACAAAATCTAAAATTTCAGTGTATTAAGACGTTAAACTCAACTTTATGTAGAGACAGGGACGGTTAGTTTGAACCTGTGTAAAAATTTCAATGGTATCTATGAGAAACTGTTTTTCTTTTTTGATTTCTCAAAAATTATTAACGGGTGGTGTAGGGCATTATTGCAACTATTCATTGAGCTTTTTTTAGCTCATAAAAACTGATTCTTATATAAAAATATAAAATATAAAGTTTTTCAAAATTAGATGAGGTAATCGCATATAGTCTTTTGAGAACAAAAGAATATAAAGTGTTTTAACAGTGGTTCTTAAACTAGAAAAAACAAACTGATGGCATTAGTGCATAATACCAAAGAGGGTCTACTTTGTGAGGCATAGAATGAACATTAAAACAAAAAATTAATATATTATTGAATCTTAGTTGACTGATATGAATAAATGTTTTAATATACTTAATTTCAAATATGCATTTTGATTGTCCCCACCTAATTCGTCGTACCAAAATACATGTTGTTATTTTCGAAATTTGTTGTTGACCAAATTTAAGATAATATAGATGAATTTTAGATCATTTGAACAAAGCCTGATAGAACACACAGTATAATCAATTTATTTTAGTTATTCAAAATTTTGGGGTGAATCCATAGAATATTGTTTCTTATATGTTTTTTTTCTGTAGAACTTCTACCTTAGTAAGAAATAAGAAATATTAGTTGACATGAAAATATGGAGATAATAGTTCTATAGTTTGACTACTAATATTTTTTATAAATTGAGTTAAAAATACTCTGTTGTGATGGTTTAGGTAATTATTAAAGAGCTGTATCGTTTGCTATTTTATTTATTTTTCAAGCTTTCAGTTGAGTGGTAGAACAAATATATATAACCCGATGAAGGAAAGATAATTTTGAGGAATATAGAAGTGTTTAGATTTACATAGAAATATAATGTTAAATTTTAAGGAGCGCTTATTATGAATTTGAATAAATTATAATTACAATATATATATGAGTATTGCTTTATAAATTAATTTATTATTTATTTTTATTATTATTCATTTAGCATGAAAACTAAATTGATGGACTTGAATGATATATTGGCAATAAAATAGAGCCTAACATCAAGGACACGCAAACAGCTATTTATGCTTAATGCATTTAAATAATTTATAAAAATTTTAATATTTTTATTTATTATCATGAGTTGATTAGTTGAATAAAAAGATTATATATGTATTATATATTAAGGCGCACACTATTACACTCACACATAAAACCCTTTAAAATATCCTTTAGATGTATATTTTATTAAAATTTGATATATGTGAAGTTTTAGGAAATCTATTTAGGAAAGTTTATTTATTTTTGGATTATAATAAAAATATACGCAGCAATATATTTATGTATTTGTTGTTAAGTTTTGAACTTAAATATTAAAAAAATAAGATCATATAAGAAAATATTTATATATGTGTTACATATTACAAACGATGATTAACATATGTGCATGTATAAAATACAAATAGAGAAACTTATATACATACATATATATAAAATATTTAAGTGTATCGATTGATTAATTATATATTAATGAAAATGCAAAATTTTATTAATATGCTGCGCTTAAAAAATTATAAAATATAAATCATTGCAAAAAAAAAATTAGCAAAAATTTGCAAAATTATTGAAAAGTATTTCAAATTGTACGGCCAAGAGATATGTAAGAAAATATTTATTTTAAAATTAAAAAAAAAAAAGAATAATAGATTGTATAAATGGTAATGGTTGAAAGTGATGGAAAAACACGATAGCAACAAAAAGAAAAATAATTTATATTAATTAAATAATATATATTTATTTATGTATATGTATAACCATATATATATATATAATAATAATAATAATAGCAGAGAGATAAATACTGAAATCGTAATAATATATTAATTGATATATACGTGTATACTATAATATAATAAAAACATAATAAATATATTATAAACTTAAATTTTTTATTAATTCATTTAAAAAAAAAACAATCCAATATTATTTTAAAAAGTACACAATTCCAATTTTCTTAAGTAATTATTTAAACACCAGTTCAGGATCTGCCATTCAAATCTGTGGACCGGAGCCATATTGTGGATTAAGTTGGTCTACAACTAGGTCTCTGATTGATAAATAGTTTTCTGCCGAAAGAAGTCGCTACTGGCGCGACATTACAGCTAACCCTCAGGCTAAGGAGTTAGTTTATCCTTACAGTTATGGTAAGGCATCCTTCTTCAGCAGAACAGAATTGAGGTTGCTGGTGGAATATTTAACGTGTCACCATGAACTGCGTTATCACCTTAACATTATGGGTCTGTCCGAAGAGATAGATTGTCGACTCTGCTTAGAAGCAGACGAAACTTCCAGTCACATTCTCTGTGACTGTCCAGCCTTGATCTAGGCCAGGAGGAAGTCACTGCGTCGAGAACTGGTCTGACATTAGGAGATCCTCAACGGCCGACATTCTAGCTTTCATTTGGAAGGCGGAATGTCTTCTGTTCGGTTAGGGTCTGTTGCAGCATAAAACATCAACCATGGTAGCAGTGCTCCGCTCCTTTGGAAGTTGGTACACTGTTTAATCCTATTCCTATGTCAAACATTGGAAGCGAAAGCAAGCTCAAATAAAATAAACCAAATCTGTCATAAATTGAACCGAAATGTAAGTTATTAATAAAACTAATAAGGCTGAAATTATTCACTCTTTTTATTGTAAAATATGAATTTAAATTCAAATTCAAATTTGGATTAAAATAAATTTATTTCTCATCAAGCTTGATATTTGCTTACATTTATACTCCTCTGTACATTGTCAATCCAGCAACTTTATAGAAACTTGCTTTCTCCGTTTTCCTTGCTAGCGATCTAACTTCTTGAATCTATCGAAAACATAAAAATTATACTGGTAAGATGGTAATCCTTAGACGATCCATTTATACACCATTTTTTATATTAAAAGTTATTAGATATTAATATAAAATGGGCATATTTATGTCACACTAAGCGCTTCCAATAAAGCTAAAGCGGACTGAGAGCGGTAGGGGTTTTCTCGGGTCTGCGAGATCTGAATTGTTACTAATATATTGAAAACTTTTACCTCCGGATATATTTTTTTTCGCTGCTGGTTCCATATATGCTTAGCCTACCACTGAAATGAATCAAATAATAAATAATTCTACATATATCACTTTAGCATAATACAGAGGAATATAAAATTTTGTCCTTTACTGGCTCCCTTAGTCTACCACTAAAATGGATTAAGCATAAAATAAATCTATATACATTTCCTTATCGTAATGCTAAAAAATGGACTTTATTCTTTAGCAAACAATTTCCAAAATTAAATACAATTAGCTCCTAATCAAGTAAAACATTGTAACTTTTATAAATATTTTATACTATAACTAACACTAACGGAATATAAGGATTTAATTCTTACGAACAAATTCTCGAAAGTTCCCTTGTTGTAGAGTCTCTAATATAAGATGACGACAACATTCTCCTTCTGATCCAGAGCAAAACAGTCACAAATAATATGACTATAACTTTGATTTTATCACAACAGTCCATTATTTGCTTTGGTGTACAAGGCCGCCACTGCAAACTCCAACCCAGGTTCATATCCTCCCAAACACAAACAACATTCACAAAACCAATCACTTGACATAACATATAATATTTTTAAAAAACTAACAACTTTGTTGATTTTAATTTTATTTAAATTTATTTTTCAAATAATTTAATATTAATATTGCTTTAAACATTTATGAACCTCTATATGTGCTATAGCCGAATGGATTTAAAAGCAAAGGAATGTGATAATGTTGACCCTTCGTACATTCAGCTATTATTTCGATAAAAGGATAAAAGCTTTTCACTTGATTTTGTTCGAAATATGGACGGACATTGAAATGTAATTTATAGATGCCAGTTTGAAATTGTTCCAAAGTTATTAGTTGCGTTACTCTGCCATCATCATCTGTAGAAGCCTATAAACACACCACAAATACATTTGCTTAAAATAGTTATTACTCACTTTAATATATTAATGTTTTGTTGCAATTAAGTAACGTATTGCATCACTTATTTCTCTTTAATACAATGACGTAATGAAAAATAATTATAGAATACCTGATTTAATTCCTGCCACTGATTATTCTCCAAGCGATAAATTATGATCTTTACATTAGCCGCTGGTTTACCAAGTGAAGTGTCTAGAATATGTGAAGATATTGTACGTGAATCTGGTGCATTATCAGTCATATTCTGTTTATTTGAAATAAAACTATTAAAATGCAATCTTTATTAAATAAATAATATATTTCCTTACTATGGTTTCCATGCGCAAACGTACACGCTCCCAACCAATGCTCATTTTAAAATGTTATTGTAAAAATAGTTTTCACATGTTCAACTAGAGATATCTTTTTATCTTCATATTAATATCTCATAATCTATAGAGATAATTTTTTTTATTGTATACAATTACCCTACACCATATAAAACAATATGTACTAAGCAATATTAAATATAAATTCATGTGTGGAAGTGTCTATACACCTATAGTGTTCGTTCAAAACCCTAAAAAAGTAAACACAGGTCTTAATATTACAAAAGGTTTTAAAACGTGAATAATTTGGAGTTAATTAATTCATTAATTAGTTGATTGGTTTCTTAATTAATTAGTTCATTACTTTAATTTTGAAGTGAGCACTATACTTACTCATTAACTATTCTAAACGCTAACTGTAATCAATAGAATAACTAGAATACTGATCCATTGGTTAACTTTATCAGTATACATTAAGTAATATTTCATCATATTTATCTTAAAAGATACATTTTTTCTAAGAATAACAGTGTTGAGGCTGCTAACGGGTTATTTCATGGAAAACTTTAGCCTACGGTATCAACTAAACATGACGAATCTAATTGAGATGACGGAATGCTATATTTGTCTACGTTTTTAATTCATTTTTATATAATATATCTGACCAGATTTGTCCTAGGTTAGTATGTAGATAATATGTAATACCAAAAAACTATAACTGGCTATAAGATAGCCAGTTAAAAAATTATACTATTTGCTTTTATGAATGTGTGGATAACAAGCATACATATCAAACCAGATTTATGAGATTACCGGGGACAACTGCTCCTTATATGGTTGGATTCATGCTCAGAAAAATATCTATGACTTATATTAGTTTTTTTTTTCTACAATTTACTATGTAATGATAGATTATTGATCAGCAAAAAATTGATTGATAATAATTTTAGATATCTTCTACTAAAATAAAATAAGTGAAATGATTCACATAATATCTAAATGCTTGATCTTTCTAGTCTAGGCTCGCCCGAAACACACATAATACAAAACAACGATATGTTCATATATAAGTAATATAAACATTGTTATTCAAATTTTGAAAATATATGTAGATAAAAAATCTTAAACCCTCGTCTTCCCACGCTTAAAAGATGATAATATATATAGTTAAAAAGATAATATAACGAATACGTGTTTCCATTTTTATAATATATAAAATCAATACTCTTGTAATGGGGTAATGAGACAAGTAAGGAAATAAATAAATAATAGCAGCTTCAGAGCTTTGTCTATATTAGACATAACTTATCTTATCTATATTTTAAACCGCCGTCTTCTTACGCTTAAAAGATGATAATATATATAGTTATAAAGATAATAAAACGAATGCGTGTTTCCATTTTTATAATATATAAAATCAATAATCTTTTAATGGGGTAATAAGATAAGTAAGGAAATAAATAAATAATAGCAGCTTCAGAGCTTTGTCTATATTAGACATAACTTATCTTATCTATATTTTAAACCGCCGTCTTCTTACGCTTAAAAGATGATAATATATATAGTTATAAAGATAATAAAACGAATGCGTGTTTCCATTTTTATAATATATAAAATCAATAATCTTTTAATGGGGTAATAAGATATATAAGTAAGGAAATAAATAAATAGTATCAGCTTTAGACCGTTGTCTACATTAGATGTGCTATTAGAAATAGCAGAAACTATTTTGTTATGGCGATAAAATTTAATTCTAGATAATGCAGGGGCAATTTAGTAGCGAGAGAGAGAGAAAGAAAGAGTAAGCGAGAGAGAAAGAAAGAGTAAGCGAGAGAGAGATAAAGAGTGAGTGGGAGAGAGGCAATTAAACAGAGCAATTAAAGTGGTGATTCCATCATAAACACATCAAATATAAAAACAATGATAAAGGGTATGCCATTTGCCAAACACGACCGTAATATACTAGTTTATTCATAAATTTTTTTCAGATAAAGTAATTATTATTTATGCATTAATCTTAATAACTTTATTCAAAAATATTTAACTAGTGTAGATATATGTATGTTAATAAGATATTAAATAGAATATTTAATGTAATTATATATAAATATATTGTAAATTCATTTGTAAATAATTTTTTTATGAATTTTATGCTAAATAAAGCTTTTAATTTCTTGAGTCATTCGTTGACTGTTCTTCAAAATAGACCAATGGAAAATTACATATTGAGATAAAAAGTCTGTACCATATGTCTTATGTTTTGAAACGCTAATTAAACAGGTGTTATAACTACATATATTTCTATGCAAGTAAAGGTCTTTAATGAATATGGCTCTAGCACTGACGTCAGTAAACTGCAACTGCAATATTTATTATATTTTAATTTATCTATCTTACTTTACATATTTTACTTTCTTACAGATATTCGTCATCATAGATATTTTATTAAAATATATAATAAAATTGTAATTTCACGCCAGTTCTTAATGAATATATAAACGTGTATGGTATTTTATATTATTATTATAAAACACCATATACAGTTACTGACTAATATTAAATAACATTTCTGAATATATAAATTATTATATATACCAAAAAATAAAAATAGTTTTTAGTTTTTTTATAATTCGATTTTATAGGAACGTCAAAGGACTGTGAAATGTCGAAGAAGCACTTTGACCATGAATTTTCCGAAATTCACGACAATTTTGCTTGATATATGTATATATATTTAGTTTATGATAAAACTATATATTTTATGTTTTTTTAATATGAGACAGTTGTTCAGGAAGTTTAAAAATTGTAGTGAGACTTAGGTTTTAGACAAAAAGATATAAAATTCTTTAGCATTTATTCTAATAAACCAGGTTGAGGTTCATGTCTATACTGAACAAAAAATTCAAAAAAAGATAAGGAACACAATATATAAATAGTAAAATAATTGGTAAATAATATTGAGAACCTTTAAGGAATTTCTATCTCCTAATACTTTAGTATATATATATATACCATATAGATAACTATATATCATAGTGCATCATTGTGATATGTAATTCAAACTCAGCAATTTTATTTTTACCTTATCTAAACAGTATAACCGTATAGAATTGTTAAGAAAATTTATATTATAGCATTCAAAATATTTTTTATATTACAACATCTACAATACTATTTACCAAACTTTTAGTTAGTGTGCAAGCTATACTGAACACTCAAAGACGTTCACTTTCTTCCGGAGTTTCAATTTTCACCAAATATCTAATGGCTACACCGTCCGAGACCGAATCAACCATAGAAGAAGCTCTGGAACAAACACGTAAATATATATATTTAAAATAAAATATATAATTCTTTACATAAGTTGTGCGGTAATAACTACTATAATTCATATCGTGTCGTATATATTAATCAAAAAATAACTATTATATAGCAAAACTATTATATATATTTATTATATAAAATTATAATAATATTTATTATTATTATATATTCTGCATATTTCAACACTACAAATGTTTTATAAGAGGTTTTCTAAAAAAAATGTTTATTTTTTCTTACATATATTTTAATAGCCTTTCATTTTATACAGCTGTTTCTTTGATGTAGTCGTTTTTCAGTCTGAGTCGTTCTTCTGTTCCTACAAAAGTTTGTTGGTCTTCCTTACGAATCGCGACATTCCGATAATAATAGTAAAAGGTACTTAGTTCATTGATATTAACTAGTTTCAGAACGCTTACAAAGCCGTTTCTTGAGCCAACTTTTTTTAATGAAGATGATGTAATTAATTGCAGTTTTATATCTATGAATTGATGATGAATATTTCACAATAGCTGTATAGTTAGTCCTTTAATTCACATGACTAAAAGTTAGATTTAGAAAATTGCTCACTATTACTATATTTGATCTTTTTTTATTCGTAGATAGATTTTTTGTCACCCATGTCCTGATTACTCGTTATAAAATATCCATATTAATAAGTGATTATGATATTAATTTGTAATATTTCACAGATTTTGGAAAATTTAACTATCTTATCATATTGTTTACGGGACTTACTTTTCAAAATGTGGTCTTCGAGTGTATGAGTCTAAGTTTTGCTCTTCCACTTTTAGAATGCGAACTAGTATTGAGTCATAATAAAAGAGGAATTTTGTGTGCAATATGCTTTATTGGAATGATAGTTTGTTCACACTTTTGGGGCTTTATGGCGGATACAATGGGTCGTAAATCTATTATGCGGCCAGCATTATTTGTTGGATTTGCAATTACAACTGTTTCATCGTTTTCACCCAATTTCGAATCATTAATGGTATTGAGATTTTTAACTGGGTGTGCGTAAGTAACACACACATATATAAACTATAATAATATATATTAATAATATATTCTACAAGAAAGGTTAGCAGCACCTGCATCTATAGCTTATTCCTATCTAGGAGAGTTCCATGATCAAAAGTATCGTAATCGTGCAATACTATCAGCTTCATTCATCACTGCATTTCTTGTGATATTTTTTCCGATCTACGCTTGGGCCTTCATCAATATGAAATGGAAAATATATATACCGATATTAAATATTATGTATAAACCTTGGCGTTTATATATAATGGTATGCGGTTTCACGGGCTTAATGTGCGGTATTGGATTAACTTTTTTACCCGAAAGTCCCAAATATCTTTTAGCTAAGGGAAAACCAGAAAACGCTATCGAAGTTTTAAAATATATGCATCATGTAAATACGAAACATTTTAAAGCTTTGAGTAAAGTTGAGTTTAAGGTGAGCAAAGATTCTCTTTCTATAAGTCTTTATTCTTTAAATCATTCAAAATTTATAGATAGGAAAATTATTATCAGAGGATTATGTGATACCTAACAAATCTTTGGATGGAAAAAATTTCGTTATTCGTTTTTTAATCTCGATGTGGCAGCAGACCTCATTGCTTTTTATGCGAGAACACTTACGAAAAACATTTATTTGTTGTTTACTTCAGTTTGTTATATTTTTTACGGCGTACGGAATTTTAATGTGGTTTCCTTATATATTAAACACCATAACCCAGTACAAAAAACATCACACAGAGCCTAAAACATTATGTGAAATTTTAAGTTATAGGCCTCACTCCAACTCTAGTTTTACAGAGGTAATCCTATAGATATTTTCAACAAAGATTTGTATGGACCAATTTCCACAAACCATTAAAGCTTTGATAATCAATATAAGAGTTTAATTATCGATCATTTCAGATACATACTTCTGTCTGCATTCAACATCTGGAGATATCCACTTTTCATCACAGCATTGCATTAGAAACAATAGCCGCCATATTGCTTTTAATAAACAGTTATGCGATTGGAAAACTTGGAAGTAAAACAATACTATGTAAGTTCTTTCAGAGGGAAAAGGGTTTAACTAGATAAAAACTTTATATATTAAATTAAATTTTTTTTTTATTAAGTTTTGATCTTAGTTGTGAGTGGTACAAGTGGATTACTTGCCTTTCTGATCAAAATTCCTATAATAGCGATTTATGCATTTGCATTAGAGCTATGTTGCTCTCTGGCGGTATCTGTAGTAAATGCAATTATTGTTGATATATATCCAACAAGTATAAGGTAAGTTTAAATATATTTCTATATATTTTATTATATTAACTGTTTAATAAATATAGAACAATAGCGATAAGTATTGCAATGATGATGGGTCGTATAAGTAGCATAAGCGCAAGTTATATATTTGGATTATTATATAGCACCAGCTGTAATCTTATCTTATTGTCTTCAGCAGTCGCCTTAATATTTGCTGGATTCTTAAGCTTATTTTTACCACAATCAATTGTAGTACAGAAGAGTCCAAAAAATTTGATTAATTAGTATTCAAATTAAAAAATAAAAAAAAAATAATTTTTAGTACAGAATTCTTGTGATAGAACAATAATAATTTTTTTAATTATTTATATAAATATATAACAATTCTAATTAATAATAAATAGTATTCAAACAAAAATTCAAATTTAAATTTATTATTTAATTTAAAAAAAAAGAAGTACATAGACGGCTGCCAATGGGTGTGTTAGAGAGAATGTGCCGTTGAACTTAGCTTTAAAAGAACTAGGGATGAATTTTAATTAATTATTGATTTATTAATAGTTTAATAAGTTATAATGTATATAATGATGAAGTTATAATGTATATAATGTGATTATTAAATAAATGTATGCAGTATATTAGGCGTGTGAATTAATTTCTGGATCTCAACGACTTCTGAATTGAATACCTTATTTATTGTGAGCTATCAAACATATTCAGCGTCATTTCTTTACTCTGTAATTTATTAATATATGTGTATACGTATATAATATTTTAAAAGTGTAGAGTTATTTAAGATAAATATCACAACTTCTAGTACATTATTTCGCAACAATTTAGTACTATGTCGTTTGTTTGAAGAAATTTACGTTAAGCATTCTTAATCTAAAAGTATTTGCGAAGGGTATTTTTAATATTTTAAAAACAATGTATACAATATAAAGGAACCCCAAACAATGAATTGGTTAAATGAAAAACCTTGAATAGATCAAATTGGAAGAGCTATTAAAGAAAGGAATATCTGAAGGATGTTATATTCCTTGTATATAATATCCATTGTAGCATGAACCGCTTCTTAATTTCATCACAATTATGGGTTTTATATATTTAAATAAATATATAATATACAAATAAAAAAATAATTAAAAGCAACTAATTACAAAATAACCATAAAGCAATTTTATTTTACCAATATTAAGTCAAATTTACTTATAAGGTGGTCAATTAAACTAATTCGATGACATACTGATTTTAATGAGACCCATAAATACGATGGCCATTTTTATTATTAAGTTTTGTTGCACAAGGCTGGCACTCCTAGCTCTAAGCCGTAACTTAATAATGGCCGTTAAAGGTAAAAATCTCAAACATTTAGTGCACAAATATTATTCATTTGGTAACGGACGACTCCCCCATTGACAGCTTAATAGGATTAGTTAGAATAGAAGCCTAAAAGATTCTGAATTTTCTCCTAGCCAATGGCGGGCATTAATAATTGGTTGAGTATAGCTTCGTCCACACGCCCGAGAAAAGTTGTTGAAAGGTAGACCTAATCTTATTACCCAATTGCAAGTATTAACACTTGGTTGAGTATAGCTTCGTCCACATTCGTGTGCCCACACGCACGACAAAAATTATTGAAAGGTAGACCTGGTCTTATTGCATGCCTTTCTAATACGCAGTGATCCTTCAGCACCAATACCGTAGTATTGCGTTAGTTTCGAATTAGCTGAAGCAGCTGACATACGAATTTTGTTCTACTTGAACCAGACTTACCAAATACTTCACACTTGGATGAATTTCTGCCATTTAAACAATGGGGACTGAGGCCATCAATTAAGTAGAGTGTAGCATAAAACTTTCTTGTACCGAAGCAGATCCTAACTGAATGGAAAGTATTTTGCCTGCTAAATGAAGGCCATAATCTCTTTAGTTGAGGAGTTTCCATGCAAAAATGTGATTATAAAAATAAATTCGTCTTTATTGAACTAATAATAGATACACAATCCGTACGTATTCTTTAGGTTACTTTCCATCAAATATTACACAGCTGTGTTATCAATTCTGAAAATACTTTTGATTATATTTATACTATAATTTTTTAATTCTTTTTTTTATTATTTTTCTACTAAACTTCTGTTTGTATTAGACTTTGTAAAGAAAAATATTATTAAAATATTTGCTTAGTATATTTGTATCATTAGACGGTGTATTAAATGTTAAGATAAAATTATATATTATATCTGATATATTATTAAAACAAAGTATAGTCGGCCATACATACATATGTTCTATACATTTATCTGAATTTAATAATATAAATCCAGAAGATTCGAAATACAAATCTAAAATGGATCATTATGTACGATCATATAATAAACACTATGATGAAATGTGTTTATTTGACTACATATCATATTAGAATTACTCAAGTAGTTTAGATAAAAACTAGTTCATTTTGATATTAGAGTCTAATCTTTTTTTCTAAACAACATCTTCAACTTTACAGAGAAAATTTACAAGTTTACTTATGTTTAGATACAAAAGTGATTTTAACTCTCGTAGATGTTCGTATACGATTGCTGAAAACCGCGATTTACTATAACTCGCTATGAGTACAGCAAAATTTTATTTTGCTGTCTGTTCCAACTAATAAAAAAGCAATATTTTATTATTAAACTTATCATAATTACTGAAATAAAAATTAAGAAATGGATTAGCAACCAAAATATTTCGTCACAAAGATACTTTCTCCATATCATCAGACATAAAAGCATTTTTCACCAGTCCTCAAACGTTTTTCGAGATGCACAAAAGTGCACTAGTTGCGGTTTTCTATAATCTTACGATTAGATACTCTGCTTACTGGCCATAGTTATTTTTTTGGTTTGAAAACATGGCTAGAAGTGTAAATGGAGTTGTTGTACCAACAATTGAAGAAGCACTTGCCCAAACACGTAAGTAATAATATCAATAATATTTGCCATATTCAATATTTTAATATTTTAATAATCACATATACACATATTGACAGATTTTGGCAAATTCAACTATTTGCTGATATTATTTTCGGGATTCGTGCTCAAATCTGTGGTTTTTGAAAGTGTAGCCATCAGTTTTGCTTTGCCTATTTTGGAATGTGATTTGAGTTTAAACTATCAACAGCAAGGTATAATTGGAGCAGTGGCCTTTATAGGAATTATAGTAAGCTCTCATTTTTGGGGCTTTTTAGCTGACACGACAGGTCGGAAACGTATTATGTTGCCAGCATTATTTCTGGGATTTTTAGTTACAGTTCTATCAAGTTTTTCACCAAATTTTGAATCTCTGGTCGTACTTAGATTTATCAATGGATTTTTGTAAGTAGTATTTAATCCTGTTTTATATATTTTTGTTTTATGTTTAAGATATTTAGAATTTCATCTGGTTCAGCAACCATATATGCATACTTAGGTGAATTTCACTGCCAAAAATATAGAAATCGCGCTATTCTATCAGCGGCTATGATAAGTGCAACTTGTGCTATATTCTTTCCAATATATGCTTGGATATTTATTAACCAGAACTGGGAGTTCTATGTACCACTGCTCGAATTTAAATACAAGCCATGGAGATTATTTATGCTTATATGCGGCTTACCAGGTTTAGCATGTGGTGTGGCTTTATGCTTTCTACCTGAAAGTCCAAAATATCTTTTGACAATAGGACGAACAAATGAAGCTGTGGAGGTACTAAAAAGAATACACCGAGTTAATACTAAAGGAAATAAGAAGTTACATGGTGATGAATTTAGTGTATGTTAACTGATGACAAGTATTTAATTTATTAAAATTGTATTTTAATTTTTCTAATTTTCAGGTTAAAGCAATACAACCAGACCTGGAAGCGATGAGCAAAAAGAAAACTAGTACATCAAATAAGAATCTGGTATATAACATATTTCATTCAATGTGGCATCAAACGGCTCCACTTTTTATGCGAGAGCATTTACGGAAAACCGTTATTTGTAGTGTTTTGCAATATGTTCTATATTTCTCAGCTCACGGTGTTTATATGTGGTTCCCTTATATACTAAATAGTATATCACAATATACTAAGGAATATACAAATCCTCGAACAATTTGTGAAATCGTAAATTTTTCAAATCATACCACTAAAGAAAATGATGTAAGTACTATATGATTTATGCGTAAACTATTTTGACAAACCTTAAATATATTATATATATTTATATATTATTAAAAAAAATTGAAGAATGGTTACCATGCATAGGTTTCGAAATTTAAAAAATGTATTCAACTGTCGTAAAACTTGTCTTATTATCATTGGAGTTCTATACTGTTTTAAAATTTTTTTTTAAAACTTAACAAAGAAAATATTCGAGATCCGTTGTCTCTGTTCTTTCGACTTTGCTTTTCTTTCCGCAGCTTTTGAACCGTCAGGTTCTTTGGTTCTCCTTAACCAAAGATCTTATGACCGTTCTAGTCCTGATGGAAAATTAGTAGTAGCAATTTCATAACACCATTCGTTAAAGTAGTCAGAGGCAAACAGATATGTTTATTCACAAACGGCAGATATAAAAACAGAGCATGTACATTAGCCTAGACAGGTGGCAAGAAAACATGATTAATATCAATGATCAATAAAAGAATTCAGAAGGCAGAAATGATGAAAAAATAGTCTTAAATTTGAATTGCAGAAAATGGGAGTAATATTTTGGAATAATTTTCAAAAACTGTGTGTCCAATAAAAGGGAATCGTTAATAATGCAAACGCTGTTTGCATTAGCTATTCGTAATGTCAAGAAAAAATATTTATTGTAAAACCTTCGTATTGTTATACCCCATAACGGAAGATTTAGGTCATAGTAAATTGCTTCAGATTGACATATTATTATTACACTTATACCCTCAGAGGTTCTTTAATCGCTGAAGATGTGTTAGTTTTTATAGATAACCCTTTGCAACTTCTGTTAGAATTTATTTAATTTTATTTATTTATTTATGAAATTTAAACACATTTCATTTTGGAAAAATTCGCATTACATTAAAACAATAGGTTTATTTACTAAACTTTTTAATGAGATATTATAACTTGTAGATAAATTGTTTTCTCATGTTTTTCTTCAGTGTAATATTTTCACGTTTAACCAGGACTATTAAGGCAAATTGTCTTAAGAGTTTTTCCTGAAATAGTTGTCTTAAACTGCTGAGGCAATGCCAATTCAACATAGTCTCCACTGGGTTCAGGAAGTACAACATTCATCGCAGACGATTGAGAGCTTACAATTTCCACACTTAGTGAGTCTTTACTCAAATACATTTGGCAACCATTGGTTTTATCAATCAAAATCGTAGATACGAAGCCCAAGGTCTGCATTTGGATGCTCTGGCAATTTACAAATTCAATTGAAGATACTACAGAATCGAAAAGCAGAGCGCATTTCTTGCATGAATCCATAACAATGCTATTTACTTTACCTTTAACGATAAGAGTAGAATCTTCACATTTAAACATATAAACAACATTATTTATTTCAGTATTTTCAATCAACAAGTCAGCGTTTTTCTTCTGATGTTCAATAATCCATTTTTTACCATCGCGCTTAAATATAGGCTCCTTTACAGTAGCTAATGCACTTGCACCTTCAGTTACCAAACAAAGATTTGGTCCAGTACGCAATGTTGAATTTTTATGCGTTTCCATACTGGCTGACACTTTTTCCACATTTTTAGTGTTATCCTCTCCTTGATTAATTTCCGCATTCTTACTACGATTTAACGACATGGTCACTAAAGCTGGTATAATACCTTTGCCTAACCAAAAAAGTATGATATTGTTTGATGCGAGCTTAGAGTAGACCCAATGTTTTAATCCACACCTATTTTAATTCGGATATTATTTATATAAAGAAATTATTTCATTTAATATAAAATTTATAGAAAACAGTATGTCTGCTTAGTTTTTCTATTATTTAAAAATATGCATATTAAAGTTTATATTTTGTTTTTTAGAATGGATGTACAACACAGTTAGAGATTTCCACTTATCAACATACCATTATGTTAGAGGTTATTTATGTCGTACTGCTTTTAATAGTCAGCTATACTATTGGAAGATTTGGACGGAAAATAATTTTGTGTAAGTTAAAGTATTTCACCAATCGATATATAACAAAATATGTATTATCTGTAAACTATTTGTTTAAAAGTTTTATCATCTCCGTTTCTGTCATTGCTGAAGTTTTCACATCTTTGGTGTGAAGCCTTAAGCCAGCTTCAGATTTCCATTTTAACCCAAATTAGCTGAGACACCAACAATCCAATACATTCTTAAACGACCCTTGTGTCGTGTTTAGGAGTTTGTAGTTCAGTTGCGCCTACTGGACTCGGTTTTCTTCAAATAATTTAGCAAACTCACGGTACTACCACCATTACATAGCCTGAGTAAATTGTCGCTATCAAGTTGATAGAAGTTTCAATGCCTCTAATTTTTAATATATAGGATTATAAATTATTAAATAATTGATGGGTTTTGTTTCGTAAACTCTAAGGTATTGTTCGTTTACACAATGCCTGGTTGTACTCCTGTTTCATGGCCGTAATTTACTGTCAGTCTAATATTTTGTTTATACTTGATATAAATATCAAGTATATGTGTTTACACTACAACAATTATATCAAAAAATAGATAAAGAGAAAGGAAATGACGTATTTCACTAGAAAATATAATAATTAATCTATAACAGCTATAATAATCCAAAATCAAAATAAATGAAATTAAATCATTAAAAATTAATTGATAAGTATTATTATATTAATAGCATCACTTTTTCAACAAAAGATCCGTTACGAAAGTTTGGCTCTTTAACATCCTATATCTCGGCAATTATATAAAATGGAGCCCACATATTATAATTCTTGTTTCTCAGACCAAGGAATCTCTTCTTAAGGTTAAAGCTTGTTGGTATGAAACACCATTTACACCCCGAGTTGAGAGCAACTATATATTTAATGCAATAACTTTTCGGTCATGTACATTGTGTTAAAGTAAATATAGTAAATAGTGAAGAATATTGCTTTTTGACATGAAACTGAAATGCGATTCAGTAATCTTATGTCCTTTTGCAACAGGTATTTTAATTTATTATAATAATTGAGTTAAATCAAATATTTCCAGTCCTAATATTACTTATATGTGGTGTTTGTGGAGTTCTGGGATTTGTTGCCAAAATTCCACTACTGGCTATTTATTTATTCGTTATTCAACTTTGCTGTGGTCTAGGCGTAACTGTTGTCAATGCTATTGTAGTGGACATTTACCCAACAAACTTAAGGTAAGTAAATTAAATAAATAATATAGAACTACACAATACTATTAAAATTCGAAATTGGAACGAAGGACAAACGTAATTATTTGTTTATTTTATTTTACTTTACAGAGCCATGGCAGTGTGCATATCAATGATGATAGGTCGTATCGGCAGTGTTAGTGGCACTAATGCAATTGGTATACTTGTCGAAACACATTGCAATACAACATTAATAAGTTCAGCCGCTGCACTCATTTTGGCCGGATTCCTGAGTCTTTTGCTGCCCCATCCAAAAATGCAAATAAAAAGTTCCATAGAAGCTTAAAAATATTATAAACAATTTTATTCGCAGCGTTTAAAAATTTTTGTTATTCTCACATTTTGTAATTGTTATTCAAGTAATTTCAATAATTTCAATAATTTACGATTGCCAAGCATTAGTATAGGAGTTTTTATTCATTTAAGTAACGTAATTTTAACTACAACTGGCCGCAATTCTCAATTACCACCTTCTTTGTAGTTTGACCAGATTTAGAACCCAGATTCTCAATTTTTCTCACTGCTTCCATACCATCAATCACTTTACCGAACACAACATGACGTCCATCCAACCAGGATGTCTTTACAGTGGTTATAAAGAATTGTGAACCATTAGTGTTTGGTCCTGCATTAGCCATAGAAAGCATACCAGCGTCAGAATGTTTAATAGTAAAGTTCTCATCGTCAAACTTATTGCCGTATATTGATTTTCCTCCCGTTCCATTATTTGCAGTGAAATCACCACCTTGACACATAAAATTTGGTATAACACGATGGAATGTTGAACCTTTATAACCGAAACCCTTTTCTCCAGTACATAATGCACGAAAATTTTCAGATGTTTTGGGTACAATATCAGTACGGAGCTGTAATAAAATATAACACCGATATATAATAATTTATATTATATGTATAATAACAACAATTGAGATTTCAATAAAATTTAATTTATTTTTAAGCATAAATTTTCTTCTTTACTCTAACATAATGAATTTGTATTTATTTTATTTCTCCGCAATCTTCAATAACAATCTTTTTCATAGGACTTCCTGCTGCACAACCATAAGATTCCATAGACTTTACTACTTCCATACCTTGGATCACTTGTCCAAAAACAACATGCTGCCCATCCAACCAAGGCGTTTTAACGGTACAAATGAAAAACTGCGAACCATTTGTATTGGGACCAGCATTAGCCATAGAAAGTATGCCTGGTGTGGTATGTTTTAATTTGAAATTCTCATCTTTGAAGGTGGTACCGTAAATAGATTTACCACCTGTACCATTATTTTTGGTAAAATCACCGCCCTGACACATAAAATTGGGTATAACACGATGAAAAGTGCAACCCTTATACCCATATCCTTTTTTACCTGTACAGAGAACACGAAAATTTTCGACTGTCTTTGGTACAACATCCTTGCGCAACTGTAAAAGAAAAATTATAAAGTTTGCTAACCGATCATATATCCTTTCAAGATGTCATGATGTCATGAGTGGTGGAATGGCTGTGCACATAAGTCATGAACTACACGTATTAGCGATGTAACTAAGAACTAAATAAATTAAAAGAGTACTTTTATTTTTTTTTTTTATTGCGTTTAACTTTAATTAATTTGGTTATATGAATAAAGCAGCGAGCATACAAATTTAAATTTAAATTTTTAATAAGTGTTAATTTGTATGCACATAAATTGAAAGCGTTTGTTTATTTAACTTCGCCACAATCAGAGATGACAACCTTCCTTTTGGTGTTGCCAGAATCTGATCCCATTCCTTCAATTTTCTTAACAATCTCCATGCCTTGAACAACCTTTCCGAAGACAACATGCTTATCGTTCAACCATTCACATTTATCAGTGCAAATAAAGAATTGAGAACCATTGGTATTTGGACCAGCATTAGCCATTGAAAGAATACCAGGACCAGTGTGCTTCAAATCAAAGTTTTCATCTTTGAAGGTATTACCATAAATGGACTTGCCACCAGTGCCATTGTGGTTAGTAAAATCACCACCTTGACACATGAAATTTGGTATAACGCGATGGAAACAGGAACCCTTGTAACCGAAACCCTTCTCACCAGTGCATAGGGTACGGAAATTTTCACAAGTCTTAGGTACCACATCGGCACGTAACTGTAACGTTAATAAGATATTGTTAGAAATATATAAAGGAGAATAAAATATAGAAGTACATATACACAATAATGCATATTATACAACTGCTAATAAGAACATTGATAGATATATGGTTTTTAAATACAATATAAGCCAAAGAGAGAATCTTCATTCATATCTAAATATATTTCAAGAACGTTTTGCTACAGTTATATTGTGTTCCTGTAGAGAAAATTTTCAGATACTTGTGTTTGTTTAAGTGAATGTTTGGAAGTCTATCTTTGTTATGGAATATGAAGTGAACTACTTAAGATTCGTGTTCTGAGGCTAACAGATTTTTGTTGAAATGTCTTCGAAGTGTTCACAAGTGATAATTATAAAAAAAAATTTAAAAAATTGTTTTAAAGATAAAAACGATTTTTCAAAGATATATCAACTTAGAAAACACATGCAGAAATGCCTTTAAGTAAGCGAACATAAATATATAACAATTTAAATTTACTAGTTAAAAATAAATATAAATGTTTTTTATTGCGATTCCTTCAATGCAATTTCCGAACTCAGCCGTTTACTAAGAGAACCCTGAAAAAATTTAAGTGATATAATTATGTAACCAAGTGATACATTAAAAACTTCACAGTGGAAACAAATAGCCTCACTTAATTGATCTCATATAAATTTCAGAAAAAACCTCAGCAATCCACACACTCAAACGGTCAATGTCTTTGCTCACTCCTGTAGTGGTTGATGTAGAAGACGAAGTGCCACGCAATATGGATGAATTGCAACCACAACTTATCTCAGACATTATATATGTTTAATAAAATTAGAAAAAAAACAAAACAATATAAAAAAAAAAGAGAAAATGAGAAAAAAGAGAAAATGCAAAACAAATTTGTCATACCCGTCAAAAGACTTATCACTACAACTTACGAGTCTCCAGAGACTTTCTCTAGAACAGTGAATTGTAAAAATGATTTGCAACAGGTGTACCACATATCTCTAACGCCCACGTCAAGAAGTTTTACGATCCTAACATGACATTGACGTTGTTCAACAAATTAACATCAAGCCGTTAACTGACTTTGGTATATCACGAAAATGAATGATGTTTCAGCAAAAAGGGGTTTGAAGCAATAGTCGAAAGAGGAAAATATAGATCGAAGACACACTAATTGACTTAGTGTGTAGGAAACTGAAGAAAGCGTTTCGAGAAATGCTACATACCACCGAAAAATGCTGCATCTCACCGTAACTTATTTACGTTTCGAAGCAGCTTATTAAGAGTAAAATAAAACAAAATTATTTTCAAGAACGAAAAAAATTATTTTTTATTGTTGATAGAAAAAAAATTAAGAGAAAATTTTTAAGTTCTATAATTTACTTCAAAGCACAAGATCTATAATATGCTTAAATGCATTTAACTGCTCATATGTTCTATATAATGGTTTTAATATATTAATATGTGTTTTTATTATTATTTATTTTAATTCTTAGTTTACTTCAGAGTCGATTGTTGTCTATAGTGCACCACAATCAGCAACAACGATCTTCTTGTTTGTTTTGCCGGATTGAGAGCCGTACGATTCAATATTCTTAACGATGTCCATGCCCTCAACAACTTGTCCAAAAACAACATGCTTGTTGTCCAACCATGGAGTCTTCACGGTGCAAATGAAGAATTGCGATCCATTGGTATTTGGACCAGCATTTGCCATTGAAAGAATACCAGGTCCAGTATGCTTCAAAGCGAAGTTCTCATCAGCGAACTTATTGCCGTAAATGGATTTGCCACCAGTGCCATTGTGATTTGTGAAATCACCACCTTGGCACATGAAATTAGGAATGACACGATGGAAGCAGGAACCTTTGTATCCAAAGCCCTTCTCACCAGTGCAAAGGGCACGGAAGTTTTCAGCGGTTTTTGGTACAACATCAGAGCGAAGCTGTAAATATTGTAGGGAATCGAATATTTTACCAATTTGTGTAATATGAATGATTGATTTATGTTATAGTAATAAAACTTTGTTATTTTGTTATTATTTTAAACTACCTTTTTAGTGATTTTATTCTTTCTTTCTTTCTTTGTGTTAGTAAGTAGCTGCTATTTTATATTAGCTGTAATTTTATGAAAATTGCCATAAAAATAAACAAAGACACAAATGAGGTAATGAATGCAAAAAGTAGAAATATATGTATGAGTTGATATGAAAATAAATAGATAAAAGTAAACATGATAGCATGATAGAATAGCTAACAAAAAAATAAAATAAACAAATTAATATTAAAAGAACACAGTATTTTATTAAATATATATATATATATTTATAAATTGTGTTTTGTAATAGGAATAGAAGTGATTATTTTTATTTTATTGTTGTTAAAATTTATTCCAATTGTCCTGAATCAGTTATAACAACTTTTTTAGATGGTTTTCCCGATTGACTACCTAATTGTTCAATTTTCATAACTACATCCAAACCTTCTACTACTTGTCCGAAGACAACATGACGACTATCCAACCAATCTGCTTTAACAGTACATATAAAAAATTGTGAACCATTAGTGTTTGCGCCTGCATTAGCCATTGAAAGGATGCCAGGTCCTGTGTGCTTTAGAGTAAAGTTCTCATCATCGAATTTATTGCCGAAAATAGATTTTCCACCCGTACCATTATGTGCTGTGAAATCACCACCTTGACACATAAAATTAGGTATAACACGATGAAATGTAGAGCCCTTGTAACCGTAACCCTTCTCGCCAGTACAAAGAGCACGAAAATTTTCTGTTGTTTTAGGCACAACATCAGTACGCAACTAAAAGTAACACATCAAATTGTTTTTTTTTTTAAAAAACTTCGCGACTTTAATTAATTTTAATTAAGAAAGCTAATAGAAGAAAGAACATTTAGTTTTTTTCTACAATTTCGTACTGAAAGACAAGCCGATGTAGCTAATAATTTGAACACAATTTGAAAGGTGGGATTACCTAATTATGTGTAAACAATTTATATCTATCTTGCCGTGAATAGTGATGGTGCACTGACTTATTTCACATGGCATTTATTTATACATAATATCAAAAAATAATAAATCAGATATAAATTTTAAACAAATGACATCAGAAAACAATGTTACGTCAACTATTTTTTATAGAATTAGCGAAACCAGCTTTTGAATTGCTCATGCAAATTAAAATCACCATCAAAATATTATCACCCATACCAATTACTGGACTATTTCTGTATAAACACATATATAATTTTTAATTATTTTTTTTAATTTTATAATGCATTGATCGTTTTTTATTTGAACAAATCTCATAATACTAATAAGAAAAAAAAAAAAAATAAAAAGAAATTTCCTGAAATCAGTTTTATTTTCTGTAAAAACAAAACTATTTAGTTATGAATACTTTGTACAATGCAATTAAGTGTCTGAAATGATTTTTTAATGATAAATTACTTTTAGTATCCAATTATTGACTCACACCGGCGCAAATACTTAAGAACCTTGTGTATACATTACACATTGCCTATGTTGGATTTTCAAAACACGCATATTTCAACCCTCAAAGACACGCAAGTTTATTTACAATAAAAAAAAAAAGGATTTATTATAAATTTATAGAATTGGAGGCTTTATATGAAAATTTTTTGAGAAGAGAAATTTTTTTTTAATTAAAGTCTTGTATTAAATGGAAACCAATGAAAGCAGAAACTACTGTAATAATTTGCATTATTTATAATGACATATAAGGGGAGAAAAAAAAAAATAAGAGGAAAATATAATATATAATTGAATCATTTAACACAATAAATGTTGAGTGGAATTCCATTAAAAAAAAAAAAAAAAAGACTAATGCATAAAAAATACGATAATTAACTGCTCAAAAATTGTATGTAACATATATACAAACTAATCGATAGTGAACATTCGAAGTAGTTGGCTACACTGGTCAGCTTTTGTGAATAATGCATTACATCCAAGGTCACACGTGGATTACAAAATCAAGTAATTAAATCAAAATGGAAGTTTTAATGTCAACAGATAGATTGTTCAAATAGCTTTAATATATACTTTTAAAACCAAAACCAAAAACAAAAAAAAAAAAAAATACAAAATGAAATTATACATTGTGATATAAAAAAAGGTGCAAAGGGTGTGAAAGTGTAATGGAAAATTCCATCGCAATTACCGGCTGCAAATCAAAGCGTCATGCAACTAAGCATACTAGGGCAAGCACATGCATTTACACAATAAAAATGTCTCCGTAAAATATATATATTAATTTACAATTACTTAAATTTTACTTATCTCGACTACAAATATTTGCTTTATTTAAAAAAAAATTTTTTTTTTTTACTATTTTCGTTTTATATATATCCAGTAATGTAAAATAAACCGCACGACTATATGCCGAAGTTAATTAACCTTTTCTCTATGTATGTGTGCGTGCCCACGCCGGGCCGAATTAACCTTCTAGAACATTTCAGTGAATACAGTTTTTCAACGTTTTTTTTTTACAGGCAACTTATATTTTACTATATTATAATTCACAAGTAAATGAATAGAACAATATCAATATTCTTTTAAAGTGAAATTATTTAAATTTCTAACATAACGTTTTATATACGAAAACAGCCGATCGCCTAGCGTCGTTCATTCGGTCAATAATTTACTAATACCACCGGTAATGTTTTACACTCACGAATATTGTATATACACATACATATCTGTAAAATTAGCAAAATTGCAATTTTATCACACTTCTTTAATTATTTAAAATACCGTCATTCTAACCTTAAACATTCAAAACGCGTTTTATGTAGAAAATAAATATAAAAAAAAAAAAACCGAAGATAATGTATACACATTAAAAATGATATGAAAATATAATATAAAAATAAAATGCACCAACACCAAAAATAGTTAATTTATCTACAAATTATTGCAATTATAGCTAAACATTTGTTAATAGATATTTTAAAAAACTATATATTCTAAACTTACCTCCATTACGATACGTCCCAAAGGCTGACCATCAGCAGACATGTCAAAGAATACACGAGGCAAACCCATTTTATTAACTCCCTTACTGCTTGCGAACCGTACGCTACGAAATCCAAATTGTGACTGTGCTATTGCTCCGGTAAAGCCGAACGACGTCGTTTGAACGAAATTTGATTTTGTCAAAATGGAGGAATGGCGTACTAAACGTGCCAGTGTTGAAGATAATACCATTTTGTTATATAAAAAGTACTTACTTTGCAAGTGCTGTACAGAGACTGACATAAAATGCGTAAACGCAATTTGTGTGTGCTCTGATTGAATTATTAACCAGAGTTTCTGTTAATAAAATAAATTAATCTGAAAAAAGTATGTCAACACATAAATATTTTTTTTTTTAATAAAAATCATAAATTTCTAGATATATATGTTTAATTTTTTTTTAAATGTTATACAAATAAAAAAGGTAGTTTAAAATAGTAGTTATGAGTTAGTATTATGTAACACTTACAAAAGGAGTGAGACAGGTATAGTATTATATTGTTTCATTAATAAATTAAAATTAAAGATTATTTAAACTTTAATTATATTATTGATAACTTATAATTACGGATTTTTAAAAAAAATTATAAAATACATATATAATAATCAGAAATTAATTCATATAAGAAAGAAAATAATATTAAATTATATAAAATGATTTTATATTAAGTATTGCAGCAGTAGCATCATGGTTAAAAACAAAATGGAGAATTCAGGATTGATACAATATAAAATATGTAGCAATTAGTAATTAAACAGTACGTTATATCCGTGTCGTTTATACCGTAGGATGTGGGTTTGGACGGTACAGTACAGTGAAATAGAACGCCGATAACTATTAAGTATGTTGTGCAACCATTTAACAAACAATACACCTGAAAGTTTTAAATTTTTTTTAATTGCACAAAATTTTTAGTACAGATAGATCAAAGCATAATACCAATATATAAATTACAGGTCCTTAAGGTTTCGTTCTAGGGCAATGTCCTTATTTGTCCGGAGAATTTTACATAACGTTATAGATCTCCAATTTATGTCGCACATGAAAATATATATGAATAAGCATATATAAATAATTATGTTCTATGTGAAATAAACTGGTATGTTTATATATGCATGTATATATAAAAATATAAGTTGTAGAATTTACATATGAAATTATTTACTTCTTTAGTTAATAGAAATTTAATATAAAACGATTTGATATATGATAAAAAGTTATTATAATATTAACTATAAACACAATTCCTATTTCTATGGAGTTGATATATGAGGAAAAATTATAATATTAACTATGAACACAATTCCCATTTCTATGGAGTCTAGATTTGATTAGGGATTTAAGTAGACTCCCATATTCTCAGCAACTTTTTCTACTATATGTCACTATATACTAATGTAGAAAAAAAAAACATTTCTAGATTGAAAGTTCTGAACTTTTATCCAACATATAAAAGCAGTCCAATAAGAATCTAAAAAAAACTGCTTTGATTGGTGCTTGACTGTCTGGGTAAATATAGACAGTGGCGCCAATTAAGCCTTCGATGAGTTTAAAAATTTTTGCATGAAAGTTAACTGTTGGTAATCAGTTGTTTTTGTTACCAATGTAAAAATTGGCATATAACAGTTTGTATTAAATAATATGTGAAGGTTTTATAAGTGTAAATCTAAAATTAGTTTTTTTATAAATTTTTTGATTAGTTTTTATCAATGTAGAAAAGGTAACAACTTTAAATCTGGCTATCTGGAGAACTATGATAAATATATTGGCATTTAGCGCAATGGAGTTTCGCAGTTGTTTGTTTTATTAAATTATGGAAGATTTATTAAAGTCTTGTTTATTTAATATTCTTTTTCGATTTTGGAAATAAAATAGATTAGATATATAGATATATAGATTTTATAGGTGCAAAAAGCAGTAGGCTTTTGTCAAATAAGTGTTAATTATTAAAAAATGTAGTTTTGTAGTCATGTCTTATTCCTGATAAAAATCTTAATAAGCTTTGTGGAACATATATAACAGACAGACTTGTAGTAGATTAACGGCTTGGTAACCCTACTGTAAGTTTCTTTTGAAAGTATTGAGTATATCTCTTTTTTCCATTTGTAAAGGATTAGAATTTATATTGCTTGTTCATTTCTTCGTACAGGATAATTAATGAAAATATAATTAAGTGGTAGCCAATAAAATTTCGGAAAATTCAATAGTTTTAATAAAGTTTGTGTGAGTTGCCGAATTTTCAGCAAATTTAATACTTCTAATAAATTCTACGATAGAAGGGTAAATATAAAAAATAATATTAAGTCATGTACAACAACAGGGTTAATTTTGTAATAAAAGTTATTATATATGCAAAAATAAAATAACACAAAAACCTTTCACAAAGTTTATTAAAATTTTATTTTAATGACTTTTCTTATAGTTTATATTATGCCTTCCGGGGTTTATCAACCAACAACTGTTTCTTATGAAACTAGAAATGGTTCTGGTCCTTTAGGACTATTAGGACCAACATCTTCAGTGGATTCACCTTTGCGTGTATTTCGCAAACCTCGTCCGCAAGTGGCGTTGTTAGTATTTGGTGTGATATCATTAGCAGCTGGTATTGCTATGCTAACAAGCAGTATTGCTGATTGGATGGAGGGTGATGAATATGACACAACTCAATCAGAAAATGATATCAGTACGTGTGAACCATCACTTGGTTTATTATTAGGTGGTGTTTTTATGAGTTGCGTTGGTTTTACAGCTATTGGTAAGTATTTCAAGTAAAAGTATAATTATTTTATTATTTGATGTGTAATCATATATTTTTATGCAAACAATATTTTGTTCTAATTATTCTACTATTTTAGGTATGTACATTAAAGTAGCTGATTGGCGTCGTAATTGTGTCTGTCCTTGTCCGCTCTTGAATAAAAAACAAACACTGGCACGTCAACTGCAAAGTCAGAGTAATGGAGAATGTGGCCAAGGAGCTATTGCATTAAATCCATCAACAGATCCACTCGTTTCACATACACAATATGCTCCAGTTTCTGAATTGCCTTCGTTACGTGCAGATGATGAAGAACGAAGAAATTTAATGCCTGATAGCAAGGATTGGTAATATATTGTTAAAATAAATATATAAGTAGTATTTTTAATTAAATAAATATATTAAATATTATATATTTAAAATGCCATATGTAAAATACAATGGTATTATCTACAATATCACATACTTAAAGTAATTATTTTTATATTATATATGATCAAGTCTAGTTACAATTATTAATATAAATTAAGCATCTTTTTTTAAATTTGTCATTACTGAGATGTGATTTTACTTTATTTGTTGATTCTAGCTTAAGCAGTGCTGAAGAATCGGACCGTATGCTTGAACCGGATCCGCGTATTGTACTCAGGCCAATGGGACGAGTAGAAGATGCTTAATGTAATTTACACAGAAAATCTCAAAACGAAAAATATTCATAAATAATTTATATATATTTTTTTACTTCATTAAATACTCGAATTTATGTATAAGGTTATAACTTGGAATCAAATTCAAATTTAATAATTTTTACTGTGTCATAACTTTAGTAGTTATAGATAATATCAATAATTAAGTTCATATCATGAAAGACGATTTTTTAAACAATGTATTAATGCAATAATTGTGAATAAGCTAAAAAATGTTTTTGCTATTTTAAGTGTGCACTTTTAATGTACAGGATACATTATTACATTATATTTTACTTTAAAACAACAATATCTAAATGTTAAATAAATAATGTACTTAAATGAAATTTCACTCAATAACTGCAATTCGTTAGATATGCACGCAAGCTCAATTTAAATTATTTACATATATAAATACTAATTAGATTATAAAATGAATTAAGAAACCCAAATTTATTTCGAAATTTGTATAAATACGCGCAATAAAATTGGAAAGCTTTTATTAAACTAAGATTTTATTATATGATATTATTATAAATTAATTTTGCTTTTGACTTTTATTACATTTAAGATGTTCAACATTTATATTACTCATTACGTTAGACTGTTTGCTTAGTACAAAATTTTAACATATATATCTATATATTTCTTATTACTTAAGATTTAAGTTCCCTTAATGTTTTTTTAATTCAATTATATATTATTGAAAATGTTTTGTATGGTAAATTTTGTAAGTATCACTTTATATATACTAAACATAGATTTTATTTGTATTTATTTATTGATTTGTGTTGTATTTGTATTGGTGGTGTATTTTGTTCCACTGGTAAATGTTTTTTTTTTGTTAGATTTAAAATGTCTAAATATTTTTTACTATATGTAATATTCTTTGTTAGTTAATATTGTTTTTTTATCTTAAACAATTTTATATCAAGGAAACTATATTGTTTTCGAAATTTGGTTCATGATAAATAAATCAAAACACAATTCTTAAAATTAAAAATTATTTTTTTTGAAATAATGTCTTAGCTTTATGAAGACTCTATATAACACAATTGGTTGTCTTGCATGATAACTAAATGAATTCTACTTAGAAGAAACGCCTTGTGTCATTGTTATAATTGCTTTTAAACAAACTACAGGCAATAAAAGGCTATGGGAAGGATGTTTTTTTTCTGGTTTAATCTAAAACTCTGACAATAATCATTTGATGATATCCTCTCAATAATTAATGAGTTTATTTAATTTAGTTAAAGCTTGGCAGCGCTAATGAATATGGATAAGATTGTATTTTATTTGGATCAGTTTTTATTACAAAATGATACTTCAGATATCATTATGTCTTGTGAGCAGTACTAAATAAATAGTTAAAATGTTTTCGAAAAATTTGTATGTTTGGTATTTGTATTATTTATTTTTATCAAAATATAACTACAGTTTTCGTATAATCCTAAGTAAGTAACCTTTGAATATATTAATATTGTAATTTAACAAATATTAATTCTTTTTTAATAATTTGTTTAAGTAAAACCCAAAAAACAGATCTGATTGATTCCAACGAAGTCCAAAAATTTATTTTATTTTATTTAACAATAAACAATAAAGGTTGAACTTGCTTTTAGGTTTTTATAAATAATTTTATTAGATTTTATTTCTTAAAAATTCTTAATCGTTAAGTTTATTGAAAAAATTCAATGTAATAAGTTAAATATTATGTATACAAGATAGTAAATTATTTTTTACCGGAAACGACTTTCACGTTTTTGTCAGGAATGTTTTCATCTGGTTTCTTACCATCAGGTTTACCAGCGTCGTGATTTGTTTTAATTTTATTTTTGTCGACAGCTTTCTTTTGCTTGTCATCACTCTTATTAGATTCTTTTTGTTTGTTTTTTTCTTTGTCCTTTATGTCTTTACATTCTTTGTCCTTGGGGTCTTTGGACTCTTTGTCCTTGGTATCTTTAGACTCTTTGTCCTTTGTGTCTTTCGAATCTTTCTCCTTGATGTCTTTCGACTCTTTGTCCTTTGTATCTTTAGACTCTTTTTCCTTGTTATCTTTAGATTCTTTTTCCTTAGGTTTTTCTTTTTCCTTATCTTTATCAGTTTCTTTTTCGCGTCCACTACAATATTTAATTAATTAAAATACAATATACATTTTTTCATATTTATTAGTACCTACCTTTCATGCTTCTCCTTTTCTTTTTCACGGAAATATGGTTGAACGCGGTTATAAATGAATTGTATTGTAGCCTGTTGATCACGATATTTACGCTAATGAATAGAGTCAAAAATTTATGAAAATAAATACCAAAATAATTTTCCTTTATACATTAATTATGTACTTACATTAACACCATTAAGTTCTTGATGAACGTCTGATAATTTTCTATTTAAAGACTTAACATCTGATTGAAGATCTTTAACTTTGCTGTTTGATTTTGTATGCTCTTTATTTAACTCAGTATGGGATTTGAGTAAATCATTATGCAGCTTTTCTAAATCGGAATAATTCTTTTCAGTACGTTTAATTTGTTCCATAAGTTTTCCAACGTGCACCAAAGCACCATTGTAACTGATTAGACCTTTGAATAAACAATAATAGTGTAAATTTATACTCATTTTATATTATGGATAGAAATTTTAAACATACCATCACTTGCACTAGTTGCTTTCGAAGATTGTTTACTAACAACTTTTTCATTAAGAATCGAATCATATTTATTATTTCCTAATGCAATGTCCTTAAGTTCATCCTCTGGTATGTCATCTGCATCTTGTAAAGTTGGTGGCGCATCGAGGGATTCTTCTTTGTCAGTTATTTTGCTAAAATATGAAATATTTTTTTTTCACATAAAATCTTTTCTGTATTAGAATAGTTATTAATTAATATACCGATAATATATTTGATGAGCTGACACTTTTTCTAGAACAGCACGTATTTGCCCACGTGAAAGGTTCAGACCCAATACAGAAAATAAAGCCTCTATATCTTTTTGAAACAAATAACCACAATGAGTTACATCAAAATATATGAAAGATAATAACAGATGTGGTTTAACGATAACCATTTTCTTTTCAACAGAACTTTCCTTAGCTTTGTCTTTATCTTTTGCAGAACTATTTTCTTTGTCCCTAATAGTACTTTCTTTTTCTTTTTCTTTTTCTTTCTCTTTTACATTAGTGTTATCTGCTTTACGTTTTCGTTCATTATTTGGTTTTGTTGATTTCTCGTCAGTAGTGGTAGTACTAGACTTTTCTGTAGGAACATCCTTACTACTTTCATCTTTAACAGACTCATTATTCTCATCCTTAGCTTCAGTTTCTTCCACTTTCTTACCTTCATACAAGTATAGTTCTTTATAAATAGTAAAACCAAAGTCACGCATCAACATTTCATTAAAAAGTTCCGCAAATAAGGAAAGCTAAATGAATGCAGTTAAAACGAATATATGCAAAATTTTTAAAAACTTGGTAAGTTATATATTATTACCTCAAAGAAACGTTCTTTTGCATCATCTGGACTGTAATCTAGTAAAACTGATAACGACATTACAGAGCAATCAAATTTGCCATTCTTGGCAGCCTTGTTTGGATGAACAATAACATGTGGTTCACTGGGCAAACTGTAACGACGTATTAATTGATTCTTTTCTCTTTCATTGAATTCATTATTAGTATCCTACAAAAAAAAAAAAAAAAATAACAGTAGTTATATAGCATAGTAGTTATATTGGAAAAAATTTCTTATATACTACCTCTGGATTTTTGCTTGAATCATATTCATCCAATATTAATATATCATTCATATCTACGTCCATCATGCCATCTTCTTGTTCATCATTTTCTTCTGTTTTTTCTTCAATAATTTCGACGTCATCTTCATCCTCTTCTTTATCAATATTCTCATCATTGTCTTTTGATGTTTCTACATTCTTACTTGAATTCTTGTTTGCGATTTCCTCAGCTTTTTCAGCATTGATTGCTTTAGCTAAGCGTCCCATAAGCATACTTCGTATACCTATTAATATAAAGATGTACATAGAAAAAACTATTTTATAAATAAAAAAAAAAATAAATGTTTTATACCTTTCGATGGCAAGTTGCGTGCCATTAATTCATCTTTAATATTTTTCACCTTCATATTCTTCAAATCTAATTTTGAATAATGAGTGGGTTGTAACCCTTCCTGAAATATTAAAATTCTATTAAAATTAGTTTTAATATTCTGAAACGCAGACATTATATGTAAAAACATATTATTATTGTCTTATACTGCCAATTCAGTCGTTTAAAAAAAATTGTGAATATGAACACATTAGGTTCCTCTTGAAATTTCACAGTGAAATGTACCAAAAAAGGCAGTAATTTGTATTTGGAAGTAATAACATAGAAAACTTGTGCTGTGACTAATTAACGCAACATTTAGTTAGGAATGCACATATATGTTCGTTAAAATAATAAATTTGATATGCGTAGACCGCAAATGAATTGCTATTATAGCAAAATTTCATAGGTCTCCTTGGTGTAAAAATTGGTAAAACATTAACTAATATGTAAGCTTAATACTAATTGTTTATATTAAAACTAAAATTAGTGAATCTGTGCCTTTTCGATATTGTTATCATCACCATCAGACGATATATCCAGGTTGGTCTGTGTAACTTCGGCATCCATTCCATCATTCGCTGCATCAGCATTAATGTCATCGGTACTCTCGTTCTCAACTTTACTGTCTGTTTCGGTAACTGAATTATTTGCCAACGTTGAATTTCCAGCTGGAGAAGCATCCTCAACTTCTAAAGCAACTGTTGATTTAGCAGCTGCTATTTTGCGTGCAATTACATTTTCCACCGATGTTTTGTATGTTTCCGCCAAATTTTGCCATTGAGTTGTAGTTGGCATACACGAATGAACATCAGGTACAAAAATAACCACAGTTTCCACACGTGGAGGTCCATCTTTCTTTTTGTGCTTATAATCTGTACGATGATAGTGAAGTTCCATGAACCGATACCTATGTTAAATAAGTAAAGCAGGATCAGGGTAGTAGAAGTGAAGCAGTCCCGTGAATTAAGAGCATCAGCGTCAGATGCAGCAAAAAACATCGATGGGAAAGTCGTATAATATAATTGTCGCAATAATTATGTCAAATATTAAGCAGGCAGCAACGACGTTCAACAATAAAATTGAAATTCATTAAGATGTTGATTTTTGTTGTTGTTGTTGTTGTTCCCATCCAAACATCATTATCCACATTCAAATTATGATTTTTTTGAGTTTAAATTTAATAAATAATGTATTCACCAAATGAAATGGTGATTAAATATGTTATTGGTCGCGTTAACAAACATGGAAAAAGAAAGAAAAAAATCATAAAGTGTTTGACAATTTGATATGCTAATTATTAAAAAGAAACAAATCAAATAGATTTACGCAGTTGTTTAGCTGAAATTATCAAAATTTATGCAATTAGCTCAGACAACGTTGTAAAAAATTCCTATTACCTTATCTAATTCCAATTTAAATAAACTTTGTTCGGCTATATTAGTTTAAAAATACTCACACTGTGTATTTATGTATAAGTAAATAATTTTGAAAAATAATTAAATAAAATTAAAACAATACATTTACACAGCTTTGACACTAAAAACCTAACATCTAAGTATGTTCCGAACGCTTAAATAGACTTAAACTCAATCGTAACTTTAATATTTTTGCAAAATACATACCATTGGGTACAGTTTGATAAATCAATGCCAGTAAGAGCCTTACATGTCCTGATAGCAGTACGTATAAGTACTGAAGGATCTTTATCAGGATTTTTACCATCCATAGATGGACTCCATGGCCCCCCAATGGCCATTGGCTCATGACGACCGCGTGTGCCCACTAAAAAGCTTATAAGACGCGATGGATGTACTAAATGCTGTGCATTTTCACTTTCATCATTCTCAAAGCATTTTTGATACATCTCAGCGATTGGTGGCAAAGCCATTAACATAACTTTAGCAGTGTAAAGATAGTCAACATCATTTGGTTCAAGCTCCTCTGGTTTAGATTCAAAAGGTGTCTCTACAATTTTATGCATTATATGAAATTGACAAGGACGACGTAAAGAAAATGGATTATCTGGAGTAAAAGCTTCGGACCATTTAAGACTTGCGTTAAAAAAGTCAGATGGTATGTAGAGATTATTGAAACGTTCACGTATCTCTTGGATGTCGGCATTTTTGCTAAATAATAAAATATAAATTCATTAATAATTGTTTTATATAAATTTATAAATGTACGTACTATACTAAATTTGATCTTGGTATTTGCACCATATAACGAGGAATAACTCGTGGTCTACGACCTTTTACAATAGCACGATGAGGACTACGTTCCTTCTCACGTTCCTTTTCTCTTTCGCGTTTCAAATCATCGCGATCTCGCTCACTACGAGAAACTGCACTACGTGTCGATGAAATAACTTCTCGATTGCGATCAGTATCCTCTCGACGACGTTTACGATCACTTTCGACCTAAAAATAAAAGCTTTACTTAATACAAAGATATTAGAATATAACAATCTATAAATCATATCATAAACTTGTAAATTTTTCGTAAACATTTTGTCAATGTCGATGAATGACAATATAAAAAGTAAAAGGCATCAAGATTTTTATTATTAAAGCATAGTAATACAAGCATATATTGCCTCTAAAATAACTTCAATTTATTATTTAAATGCTCGTGATTAAATATTTTATACACATCTTATCTATATTAAAACGAACGTTTGAATATTTTTGGACATCCCCTTGTTATAATATCTCGTCGTGATGAAAAAATCAAAAATGGAAATAACTATAAAAGTAAATATACATATAAAAACTAAAAAAACTTAGTTACTAAGCTTGCATTTAGCACAAAACAACTTAGAAAGTTTGTAAGTTACATATATGTTTAGTGTTTAAACTTAATTACCATATTATTATTATCTAATGTTACACTTAATAAAAGTTCTCAGCAATACACTATAAAACAAACACGAATGTTGTGTAGGAACTACACATTTACATATATGTATGTTGTGGTTGAAGCTTTTAAAACTAATTATTATTAATATAATCCTATAGATTTTCATTTTATAAAAGATACGTCTACGTTAAGTAAAATTATCATTTGCACAACTGTTGACTTATTAAAAATGTTACATTTGAAAGTTATAACACAATTCATGCATTAATATTTCAGTTAATAACAACAAAGCATGCAGAAAAATAACATCTTATTTTTAAACTTTCGCTTTAATAAAGAAAATTAAAAATATCATTTTATTATATATGTGCTGTCATTTAACTTACATCATCCCTATCACGAGAACGACGTATCGGTTCACGACGCTCTCTATCACCACGCCCATGACGATCGCGAACTGGACTCGATCTTCTGGGCGAGTTGAAATTTTGATGATCATATTCGTTCGGTGGTGGTACTGCATTATAACCAGAACCTTTGCGGCCGCTACCAGTGCTGGTGCCCATCAATGGTGGAGGTTGCGCTTGTGAACCCATTAATTGAATACGCGTAGCATTCCACTTATAATTACCAGTAGTTGCAAACGATGCTTCAAAGAGTACGCGATCACCTAACTTGGGTATTTGGCCCTTACAAACGTTGCGATAAAATATGACTTCGTCATTAACTAAACCACAGTCGTTATTAATTTTCGTAACAGTTCCAATCGAATTATAGTGTTGTGATTGGCCGCCACCTCCAGTATTTGAAAAAGCCACTGGATTTAAACCACGTTGGGGATATCCTACCGAACCGTTGTTAGATTGGTAATTACCACCCCCATAGCCGCTTTGTTGTTGCATAAACATTTGTTGTTGAGAATATGATTGCACTTGATTTTGCATCATATTATTTCTCTGCCATGGAGAACTATTTTGTCCACCAAACGACATAATTATACTTAACACAAATTTTAATCAAACCTCTAGAAATTTTACTAAAAAAATGTGTATGCGAAAATCGCCGCTTTTCTAGATAATGTCTTTTTCGATTAATCGATAAACTTACTTGTTCTTGATGAATTATTTCTTTTCTTCTAGATGTGGCACTTTAGTTCTGTCAAAACATAATTATTACAAAAATTCTTAAAAAATTTAATAAAACTGTATTAATATATTAAAGCTTATTTATTTTGAATAATGCTTAAAATGACAATTTTAATATTTCAATATTTAATTCGTCGTTATTGAATTTTTTTTATTATATCGATTAAAAAAGCAAATTCATACTTTTATTCGCAAAATTATATAAAAAAATAATACTACAGGGGTAATCGGAGTATGTCGGTAACTATCAGTGTAGCTGCTTTAATTTGCGTACAATATAATTAAAATAATTAATATTAATAATTAAGTGCAACGCTTCATAACAATGAAAATTAGAATCAGATGGTAATGTAACGGTGGTTATGTAAAATAAGTGAAATATTATATATATTTTCTTTACCCCATTTACCCTGTTTTAATATTTTTGCTTTCATATATAGTGATTTTCTTGAGATTGACGCAAATCGATATTAAACACAATAGAAAAATAAATATATATATTTGAAAGATAGATAATATCAATTTTTTTATTAATACACTATTTATATATTTTTTAATTTTTAAATAGATTATTTAGAAAATCAGTCGGGAATGGAAATATAATTGTATGATTCCTCTCTCCAGCAATTGCTCATAATGTTTGTAGGTAACGTAGCTTAAAAAAGAAACAATAATAAATTATATAAAATTGTATTGAACAACATCATCTATATACGTAAAAGAAAGTCATGTTAGTTAGACCACTTATAACTCAAGAACGGCTGGACCGATTTTAATTATCTTTGATTTGTTGGAATCGTCTCCGCTCCGAATAGCAGAATACATTATAAAATATTGGGAAAATCCACTAATTTTAGCAAAAATAATAAATTTGTAAATTCTGTTTCAAACTGTTGACAGTTCGACAGTTTGAGTAATATTGATTTCCTTTTAAATTTTTTTTTCAAATATTTCAAATATTTCAAATTTCAAATATAATAAATTCAAATATAATAAATAAATATGAGCTGAAAGTATTGATATGTTTGTTTTGTGCGAGTGCCAGATTCACCATTATATTGAATCATTGCAACCTGTTGAAGATGCACAACATAAATTCTTGCAAATATAGTTCATGGGCAATATGATAGAATAACTTGAACGGCGTCAAGAGAATGAAATGAAAATAGCAATTCTTCAAGATCTGCAGCAACTACTTCATGAACAGCATGCATTGGTCAGGCTGTTCAAGACTGCGTTGGAGCGCATGCCACATGATAACTACAAAGTTGTGATCAGATCGGATAAACGACCAGGAGAAACACATGAACGCAAATTTAACGCTCCAACAATAGATGAAGTTGCAATCCTGATCGTTGGAGAAAACTTGAACACACGCGATATTGTGCTTACACGTCGCGATTCTGGGCAACTGCAACAAATATATGAAACACACCGTTCATATGACCCACTGGTGTTTTGGCAAGAAGATGATGGATATCACTTCAATATAAAAATGATAAACCCATTGAATGGTGGGTATCAACATCATAGTTTTCAATTCAGAATACAGAAGTGAGTCTTACTTCTAAGATACTAATTTTACTGTTTTTAAATCAGGTGAGGAAACTACCAAGAAAATTAGTTCGTGTAATCCAAAATGGAAAGAAATTGTTCAAATGCTGCTTCCTGGACAGACATCAAGTGATCGGCACGACATCACTGCACGTGTATTCAAGCACAAAATTCGATCGCTGGTGAATCTAAAATTTAATATAACATTCATTGACTGTTACGCGGTACGAAGTTCGCGGGGTCACCTAGTTTTACATATAAATAACATTTTAAATACACGATAACGTTTTAAAACTGTATGAGAATGAAGTTACGTGTAAACGTTCACACTAAAGCATATTATTTTGCAATATTTTTAATAAAATAATTATATCACTTGGTATATATGTAAAACATGAAATGTAAAACATAATTCTTAATATTAAAAAATTTTGTTTTGAACAGTCTAAATAATAAGTCTTAGCGTCATGAAGACTCTATATAACACAATTAGTGGTCTTGCATGATAACTAAATGAATTATACTTAGAAGAAACGCCTTGTGTCATTGTTATAATTGCTTTTAAACAAACTACAGGCAATAAAAGGCTATGGGAGGATGTTTTTTTCTGGTTTAATCTAAAACTCTGGCAATAATCATTTGATGATATCCTCTCAATAATTAATGAGTTTATTTAATTTAGTTAAAGCTTGGCAGCGCTAATGAATATGGATAAGATTGTATTTTATTTGGATCAGTTTTTATTACAAAATGATACTTCAGATATCATTATGTCTTGTGAGCAGTACTAAATAAATAGTTAAAATGTTTTCGAAAAATTTGTATGTTTGGTATTTGTATTATTTATTTTTATCAAAATATAACTACAGTTTTCATATAATCCTAAGTAAGTAACCTTTGAATATATTAATATTGTAATTTAACAAATATTAATTCTTTTTTAATAATTTGTTTAAGTAAAACCCAAAAAACAGATCTGATTGATTCCAACGAAGTCCAAAAATTTATTTTATTTTATTTAACAATAAACAATAAAGGTTGAACTTGCTTTTAGGTTTTTATAAATAATTTTATTAGATTTTATTTCTTAAAAATTCTTAATCGTTAAGTTTATTGAAAAAATTCAATGTAATAAGTTAAATATTATGTATACAAGATAGTAAATTATTTTTTACCGGAAACGACTTTCACGTTTTTGTCAGGAATGTTTTCATCTGGTTTCTTACCATCAGGTTTACCAGCGTCGTGATTTGTTTTAATTTTATTTTTGTCGACAGCTTTCTTTTGCTTGTCATCACTCTTATTAGATTCTTTTTGTTTGTTTTTTTCTTTGTCCTTTATGTCTTTACATTCTTTGTCCTTGGGGTCTTTGGACTCTTTGTCCTTGGTATCTTTAGACTCTTTGTCCTTTGTGTCTTTCGAATCTTTCTCCTTGATGTCTTTCGACTCTTTGTCCTTTGTATCTTTAGACTCTTTTTCCTTGTTATCTTTAGATTCTTTTTCCTTAGGTTTTTCTTTTTCCTTATCTTTATCAGTTTCTTTTTCGCGTCCACTACAATATTTAATTAATTAAAATACAATATACATTTTTTCATATTTATTAGTACCTACCTTTCATGCTTCTCCTTTTCTTTTTCACGGAAATATGGTTGAACGCGGTTATAAATGAATTGTATTGTAGCCTGTTGATCACGATATTTACGCTAATGAATAGAGTCAAAAATTTATGAAAATAAATACCAAAATAATTTTCCTTTATACATTAATTATGTACTTACATTAACACCATTAAGTTCTTGATGAACGTCTGATAATTTTCTATTTAAAGACTTAACATCTGATTGAAGATCTTTAACTTTGCTGTTTGATTTTGTATGCTCTTTATTTAACTCAGTATGGGATTTGAGTAAATCATTATGCAGCTTTTCTAAATCGGAATAATTCTTTTCAGTACGTTTAATTTGTTCCATAAGTTTTCCAACGTGCACCAAAGCACCATTGTAACTGATTAGACCTTTGAATAAACAATAATAGTGTAAATTTATACTCATTTTATATTATGGATAGAAATTTTAAACATACCATCACTTGCACTAGTTGCTTTCGAAGATTGTTTACTAACAACTTTTTCATTAAGAATCGAATCATATTTATTATTTCCTAATGCAATGTCCTTAAGTTCATCCTCTGGTATGTCATCTGCATCTTGTAAAGTTGGTGGCGCATCGAGGGATTCTTCTTTGTCAGTTATTTTGCTAAAATATGAAATATTTTTTTTTCACATAAAATCTTTTCTGTATTAGAATAGTTATTAATTAATATACCGATAATATATTTGATGAGCTGACACTTTTTCTAGAACAGCACGTATTTGCCCACGTGAAAGGTTCAGACCCAATACAGAAAATAAAGCCTCTATATCTTTTTGAAACAAATAACCACAATGAGTTACATCAAAATATATGAAGGATAATAACAGATGTGGTTTAACGATAACCATTTTCTTTTCAACAGAACTTTCCTTAGCTTTGTCTTTATCTTTTGCAGAACTATTTTCTTTGTCCCTAATAGTACTTTCTTTTTCTTTTTCTTTCTCTTTTACATTAGTGTTATCTGCTTTACGTTTTCGTTCATTATTTGGTTTTGTTGATTTCTCGTCAGTAGTGGTAGTACTAGACTTTTCTGTAGGAACATCCTTACTACTTTCATCTTTAACAGACTCATTATTCTCATCCTTAGCTTCAGTTTCTTCCACTTTCTTACCTTCATACAAGTATAGTTCTTTATAAATAGTAAAACCAAAGTCACGCATCAACATTTCATTAAAAAGTTCCGCAAATAAGGAAAGCTAAATGAATGCAGTTAAAACGAATATATGCAAAATTTTTAAAAACTTGGTAAGTTATATATTATTACCTCAAAGAAACGTTCTTTTGCATCATCTGGACTGTAATCTAGTAAAACTGATAACGACATTACAGAGCAATCAAATTTGCCATTCTTGGCAGCCTTGTTTGGATGAACAATAACATGTGGTTCACTGGGCAAACTGTAACGACGTATTAATTGATTCTTTTCTCTTTCATTGAATTCATTATTAGTATCCTACAAAAAAAAAAAAAAAAATAACAGTAGTTATATAGCATAGTAGTTATATTGGAAAAAATTTCTTATATACTACCTCTGGATTTTTGCTTGAATCATATTCATCCAATATTAATATATCATTCATATCTACGTCCATCATGCCATCTTCTTGTTCATCATTTTCTTCTGTTTTTTCTTCAATAATTTCGACGTCATCTTCATCCTCTTCTTTATCAATATTCTCATCATTGTCTTTTGATGTTTCTACATTCTTACTTGAATTCTTGTTTGCGATTTCCTCAGCTTTTTCAGCATTGATTGCTTTAGCTAAGCGTCCCATAAGCATACTTCGTATACCTATTAATATAAAGATGTACATAGAAAAAACTATTTTATAAATAAAAAAAAAAATAAATGTTTTATACCTTTCGATGGCAAGTTGCGTGCCATTAATTCATCTTTAATATTTTTCACCTTCATATTCTTCAAATCTAATTTTGAATAATGAGTGGGTTGTAACCCTTCCTGAAATATTAAAATTCTATTAAAATTAGTTTTAATATTCTGAAACGCAGACATTATATGTAAAAACATATTATTATTGTCTTATACTGCCAATTCAGTCGTTTAAAAAAAATTGTGAATATGAACACATTAGGTTCCTCTTGAAATTTCACAGTGAAATGTACCAAAAAAGGCAGTAATTTGTATTTGGAAGTAATAACATAGAAAACTTGTGCTGTGACTAATTAACGCAACATTTAGTTAGGTATGCACATATATGTTCGTTAAAATAATAAATTTGATATGCGTAGACCGCAAATGAATTGCTATTATAGCAAAATTTCATAGGTCTCCTTGGTGTAAAAATTGGTAAAACATTAACTAATATGTAAGCTTAATACTAATTGTTTATATTAAAACTAAAATTAGTGAATCTGTGCCTTTTCGATATTGTTATCATCACCATCAGACGATATATCCAGGTTGGTCTGTGTAACTTCGGCATCCATTCCATCATTCGCTGCATCAGCATTAATGTCATCGGTACTCTCGTTCTCAACTTTACTGTCTGTTTCGGTAACTGAATTATTTGCCAACGTTGAATTTCCAGCTGGAGAAGCATCCTCAACTTCTAAAGCAACTGTTGATTTAGCAGCTGCTATTTTGCGTGCAATTACATTTTCCACCGATGTTTTGTATGTTTCCGCCAAATTTTGCCATTGAGTTGTAGTTGGCATACACGAATGAACATCAGGTACAAAAATAACCACAGTTTCCACACGTGGAGGTCCATCTTTCTTTTTGTGCTTATAATCTGTACGATGATAGTGAAGTTCCATGAACCGATACCTATGTTAAATAAGTAAAGCAGGATCAGGGTAGTAGAAGTGAAGCAGTCCCGTGAATTAAGAGCATCAGCGTCAGATGCAGCAAAAAACATCGATGGGAAAGTCGTATAATATAATTGTCGCAATAATTATGTCAAATATTAAGCAGGCAGCAACGACGTTCAACAATAAAATTGAAATTCATTAAGATGTTGATTTTTGTTGTTGTTGTTGTTGTTCCCATCCAAACATCATTATCCACATTCAAATTATGATTTTTTTGAGTTTAAATTTAATAAATAATGTATTCACCAAATGAAATGGTGATTAAATATGTTATTGGTCGCGTTAACAAACATGGAAAAAGAAAGAAAAAAATCATAAAGTGTTTGACAATTTGATATGCTAATTATTAAAAAGAAACAAATCAAATAGATTTACGCAGTTGTTTAGCTGAAATTATCAAAATTTATGCAATTAGCTCAGACAACGTTGTAAAAAATTCCTATTACCTTATCTAATTCCAATTTAAATAAACTTTGTTCGGCTATATTAGTTTAAAAATACTCACACTGTGTATTTATGTATAAGTAAATAATTTTGAAAAATAATTAAATAAAATTAAAACAATACATTTACACAGCTTTGACACTAAAAACCTAACATCTAAGTATGTTCCGAACGCTTAAATAGACTTAAACTCAATCGTAACTTTAATATTTTTGCAAAATACATACCATTGGGTACAGTTTGATAAATCAATGCCAGTAAGAGCCTTACATGTCCTGATAGCAGTACGTATAAGTACTGAAGGATCTTTATCAGGATTTTTACCATCCATAGATGGACTCCATGGCCCCCCAATGGCCATTGGCTCATGACGACCGCGTGTGCCCACTAAAAAGCTTATAAGACGCGATGGATGTACTAAATGCTGTGCATTTTCACTTTCATCATTCTCAAAGCATTTTTGATACATCTCAGCGATTGGTGGCAAAGCCATTAACATAACTTTAGCAGTGTAAAGATAGTCAACATCATTTGGTTCAAGCTCCTCTGGTTTAGATTCAAAAGGTGTCTCTACAATTTTATGCATTATATGAAATTGACAAGGACGACGTAAAGAAAATGGATTATCTGGAGTAAAAGCTTCGGACCATTTAAGACTTGCGTTAAAAAAGTCAGATGGTATGTAGAGATTATTGAAACGTTCACGTATCTCTTGGATGTCGGCATTTTTGCTAAATAATAAAATATAAATTCATTAATAATTGTTTTATATAAATTTATAAATGTACGTACTATACTAAATTTGATCTTGGTATTTGCACCATATAACGAGGAATAACTCGTGGTCTACGACCTTTTACAATAGCACGATGAGGACTACGTTCCTTCTCACGTTCCTTTTCTCTTTCGCGTTTCAAATCATCGCGATCTCGCTCACTACGAGAAACTGCACTACGTGTCGATGAAATAACTTCTCGATTGCGATCAGTATCCTCTCGACGACGTTTACGATCACTTTCGACCTAAAAATAAAAGCTTTACTTAATACAAAGATATTAGAATATAACAATCTATAAATCATATCATAAACTTGTAAATTTTTCGTAAACATTTTGTCAATGTCGATGAATGACAATATAAAAAGTAAAAGGCATCAAGATTTTTATTATTAAAGCATAGTAATACAAGCATATATTGCCTCTAAAATAACTTCAATTTATTATTTAAATGCTCGTGATTAAATATTTTATACACATCTTATCTATATTAAAACGAACGTTTGAATATTTTTGGACATCCCCTTGTTATAATATCTCGTCGTGATGAAAAAATCAAAAATGGAAATAACTATAAAAGTAAATATACATATAAAAACTAAAAAAACTTAGTTACTAAGCTTGCATTTAGCACAAAACAACTTAGAAAGTTTGTAAGTTACATATATGTTTAGTGTTTAAACTTAATTACCATATTATTATTATCTAATGTTACACTTAATAAAAGTTCTCAGCAATACACTATAAAACAAACACGAATGTTGTGTAGGAACTACACATTTACATATATGTATGTTGTGGTTGAAGCTTTTAAAACTAATTATTATTAATATAATCCTATAGATTTTCATTTTATAAAAGATACGTCTACGTTAAGTAAAATTATCATTTGCACAACTGTTGACTTATTAAAAATGTTACATTTGAAAGTTATAACACAATTCATGCATTAATATTTCAGTTAATAACAACAAAGCATGCAGAAAAATAACATCTTATTTTTAAACTTTCGCTTTAATAAAGAAAATTAAAAATATCATTTTATTATATATGTGCTGTCATTTAACTTACATCATCCCTATCACGAGAACGACGTATCGGTTCACGACGCTCTCTATCACCACGCCCATGACGATCGCGAACTGGACTCGATCTTCTGGGCGAGTTGAAATTTTGATGATCATATTCGTTCGGTGGTGGTACTGCATTATAACCAGAACCTTTGCGGCCGCTACCAGTGCTGGTGCCCATCAATGGTGGAGGTTGCGCTTGTGAACCCATTAATTGAATACGCGTAGCATTCCACTTATAATTACCAGTAGTTGCAAACGATGCTTCAAAGAGTACGCGATCACCTAACTTGGGTATTTGGCCCTTACAAACGTTGCGATAAAATATGACTTCGTCATTAACTAAACCACAGTCGTTATTAATTTTCGTAACAGTTCCAATCGAATTATAGTGTTGTGATTGGCCGCCACCTCCAGTATTTGAAAAAGCCACTGGATTTAAACCACGTTGGGGATATCCTACCGAACCGTTGTTAGATTGGTAATTACCACCCCCATAGCCGCTTTGTTGTTGCATAAACATTTGTTGTTGAGAATATGATTGCACTTGATTTTGCATCATATTATTTCTCTGCCATGGAGAACTATTTTGTCCACCAAACGACATAATTATACTTAACACAAATTTTAATCAAACCTCTAGAAATTTTACTAAAAAAATGTGTATGCGAAAATCGCCGCTTTTCTAGATAATGTCTTTTTCGATTAATCGATAAACTTACTTGTTCTTGATGAATTATTTCTTTTCTTCTAGATGTGGCACTTTAGTTCTGTCAAAACATAACTATTACAAAAATTCTTAAAAAATTTAATAAAACTGTATTAATATATTAAAGCTAATTTATTTTGAATTATGCTTAAAATGACAATTTTAATATTTCAATATTCAATTCGTCGTTATTGAATTTTTTTATTATTTCGATTAAAAAAGTAAATTCATACTTTTATTCGCAAAATTATATAAAAAATTAATTTTACATGGGTAATCGGAGTATGTCGGTAACTATCATAGTAGCTGCTTTCATTTGCGTACAGTATAATTAAAATAAATAATATTAATAATTAAGTTCAACGCTTCATAACAATGAAAATTAGAATCAGATGGTAATGTAACGGTGGTTTTGTAAAATAAGTCAAATATTATATATATTTCCTTTACCCCATTTACCCTGTTTTAATATTTTTGCTTTTATATATAGTGATTTTCTTGAGATTGAAGCAAATTTTTTTTATTAATACACTATTTATATATTTTTTAATTTTTAAATAGATTATTTAGAAAATCAGTCGGGAATGGAAATATAATTGTATGATTTCTCTCTCCAGCAATTGCGCATAATGTTTGTAGGTAACGTAGCTAAAAAAAGAAATAATAATAAATTAAATAAAATTGTATTGAACAACATCATTTTACATATAAAATAACATTTTAAATATATGATAACGTTTTAAAACTGTATAAGAATGAAGTTACGTGTAAACGTTCATAATGAAGCATATTATTTTGCAATATTTTTAATAAAATAATTATATCACTTTGTACATATGTAATACATATGTTACTCAAATTATTTATTTTTTATGACTATTTTTTAATATCATCGTTTGTAAATATACATAATAGGAATTCAGAAAATCACGATCACACTACCAAATTGAACAATTTAGTCATTTATATGTTCAATTAAGTCAATTTTGCAAAAGTTATTAATAAAAACATACAACTTGATCTAATAGTTGATACTTGAAGTGAATATAATTTTAAAATACCTATAATAAATATAAATGTACAATAGTATAAAATAACATTATCCCAAAACATTTACTCTAATAAAGACAATTTTGATAACATTTCGGCTATTAAAATTGAAAATACAATCAGCGCGAGACAATATAATAATATAATCGTTTATAACATATTTTAGATTATGTAATGATAAAAGATGAAATATTAAAGTAAATTTTATTATAATCTAACAAATACATTCAAAAAATAAGGGTAGTAACAATTATATAAATCGGTAACCTCAAGTTTATATAAATTTTAACGATCTTAACTTTTTTTTGTATAAAGAGTACTCACGTAAACGTTTTAACGCCTTTTACCATAAACTGCGTTAAGGTCCATAAATAAAAAATATTTAATGTACATATAATTACCTGGACGGTCATCGTATTCTCAGACATTATATCTGATGCTTCCTTAAGTGTTAATGACGCTTTTAATTCACCTTCAGCAGCAACGATTTTTGCTTTAGCCATGCGAATAGCTTCTGATTCTGCTGCCAATGCTCTTTGTAAATCACGTGGTATGCGAACGTCTTTACTAAAAAGCATTCTTATTATGAAAGAAAATTTAAAATTTATAAAGCATATTACATTTCTACGTGTTCTACTTTAACTCCCCATGGAGTAGTACCTTCATCTAATATTACACTAACTTCATTCGCAATTGCCTCCCTATCAGTTAAAAGTTCTACAAGCATTTTAGTTCCAGCAACTTTTCGTAAAGTAGTTTGTGCTAATAACTGTGTTGCCTTTCCTACACGTTCCACCTGTATTACTGCCAACAAAGGCTTTTCAATTCTATGAAAAACAACAGCATCACAATATATAGTAACTGAATCTTTTGTTAGAATTTCTTGAGGCGGTACATCAAGCGAGAAAGTGCGCAGATCAATTTTCAGGAAATCATCGATACATGGCAAATAAAATACTAAGCCAGGACCGTAAGTTTTATCTTCTCTATGAAAATTCAACAAATATCATAATAATACTATAATCACTATATTCATTATATAACAATATTCATAAAATAATAAAAAATCAAACATAAATATAATATTTCATTTCTAAAATAGTGGCATGAAATTATATGAATTTTTTAAATATATTTAATCTGTGTAAACCACTAATTACTTAAAATTTTAATATTTTATGTTATATATTAGTAGTATAGCTTAATTATTTTATAATAACATAACCTATTTTAAGAGATAAAGAATTTTCGTAAACTTTTGATAATACGCGAAAAGCTTGTAGATGCCAGCGATAAAAGGGCTACTATGAAAAATATACCATTGTCCCCAATATAATCAGTAGTTAAGACATATGGAATATATTAGCAAAATTGTATATTTGTAGAATTACAAAACACTTTAAAAAAAACGACAGGTCTTCGATCTTTGAGTTTAGTTTTAATGATTTTCTTAAAAAGGATACTATATAACAAGTTAAGAACAAATAAACGATTGGTGAAGACAATAGGTTTACATGTTACTTAAGGCTGGTGGGAATGTGCTCATCATAAATTATGCGTCATATCTTATGTAGTATATAACACAATTATGTAAACCACCTTATATCACCTTTGTAAACAGCGTACCCAACGAATTACTTTAACTACAGGGGAATCAGACCTCTTGGTATTTGCAGGAGAGATTTTCCGTCCGGACATGAGGACATGTTTTTAGTGGATTAAAGCTCCATACTGACTTTGGTTATCGATGCTTTTGAGTCCTCGTTAAAAAAAACAGGGGGCATCAGACTAAAAGCAACTACACAGGTCCTTTGAAGCTAATGTGCGGTAAACGTTAGAAATTCACATAGCTTCATTAATGACACCTTTTACGATGTTATTCATACTGGGCGCGGTTTCAAACTACATGATACCTTTCATGTAATTTATTTAATCTATTTAAATTCAGAGCGCACAGTTTTTTGTTAAATTTTTTGTCCTCACATTGCATTTAAAACAAATCATTAGCTGTAAGTTTTTTAGTGACATTGACATACTTTATAGAATTAATAATTAGAAGGGCTTGCAAACCCTGATATCAAAAGGGTAAAAAAATATGTTTGAACAAAACAGGTGTTTGAAAACGTAGGCATCTAGAAGAAGTCATAGAGTATTGTAATGACATCGAGATATCTTATAATATATGCATTTATGAGAGATACTGATTAGTCGATAGACAAGACTAGTCGACCAGTTGTTGAAAAATATTAAGTTAAGTTTGAAATTCAAAACAGGCCGTTATTGCTACTTAATTAAGTAAATTAAATTGCAAATGATTTAGTGCCAACATTATGAAATTTAGAAATACCTTAAACGTCCGAGTCTGAATATCACTACACGCTCATATTCTTTTGGACATATCCAAACATAAGCCATTGATATTGGAAATGTTACCACCATTAAAAGAATTGACAAAATATATAATAGCTGCTCACTTAAATTAGACTCTTGCCTTTCGCCTTAAAAAGAGATTGAACTATATATCTTTTACATAAAGTATATAAATAATAATTGAATTAACAAATAATTGACTCTTACTTGTTATAATATTTCGACTATCAAACTCATGTAAATCATGATATACACTCATGTTCATTGTTAATTAATTGTTAATATATATATATATATATATTTTTTTTTTAATATATGTGTCAATATAGTTTTTTCAGCACACTTGTTTTAAAAATATATTCAAATTTATTAGAATATATAGTTTACGAATCATTTTTAACAAAGCGAGCGAAGACGAAAAGAATTGTATTCGAATATTGTTATGATTGTTATTTAATTGAAAACTATATATATGTGTATATACATTTCTATATATATGTTTTATATTAATAATAAATGATAACTATATTTTTTTATTTCATAAATGGAACATATACAAGCTCAAGATAATAGGCACATTAAAACAAGTAAGTAGCATTTATTTCATATTAAGAGGAGTGCTTTCATGCTACTGTTTATTCGTCTATTGTACTACATTACATTTCTTAGTCTATCTGGTTAGACTTGCCACTTATTAATAATATAGATGTTTAACTGGATGTCTTCTACAGATAATACTGCACTTCAATTAATTTTAGGGGCACTTTAATTTTTCTTTGATTAATATTTACCATTATGATTAGACACTGTTTTTTTACAAATTTGAACCAAAACAAATTAAATGATTGATCCTTTTCTGTAAAAATATGTTGACAAATAAAAAGAACTAGTTTAACAGATCTGAGATTCTTCTTGTAAAGTAAAATATTAAATATTTATTTCATAGGAATAGGACTAAACGGGGTACCAGCTCCCAACGGAGCAGAGTACTGCGACCATGGTTGATCTTTTGTGCTGCAACAGACCCTAACCGAACAGAAGACATATCGCTTTCCGAATGACAGCCAGAATGTTCACCGTTGAGGACCCCCTAATGTTAGAAGGGGAGAGTAGGTCTCGACCCAGTGACCTCCTTCTGGTTCAGATCATGGCTGGGCAGTCTTAGAGAATGTGACTGGAAGTTTCGTCTGCTTCTAAGCAGAGTCGACAATCTATCTTTTCGGACAGGCCCATTTTTTTAAGATGATAACGCAGTCCATGGTGACCCGGTTAATATCCCACTAGCAACCTTAATTCTATTCTGCTGAAGAAGGATACTTTACCATAACTGACGATTACCTGGAATGTCGCGCCAGTAGTGACTTTTCTCGGCTGCAAAACATTTATCAAACAGAGACCTAGTTGTAGACGAATATGGCTCCGGTTCACAGATTTGAATGGCAGATCTTGACCTTGCACGACTGACCAGGCACCCAGCAAAGTATCACTTTGTTTTTGCTTGCCAGCTGCTACAGCGTGTCATAAGATTTATTTATTTCATTCATTATTGTTGAAGCTAGCTGAATCAGTGCACTTGAGCACTTTTGATCTCTAATAATTGCGAGGTTTCTTAATTTTTTAGAACACTCTCTCTCTCTCTTGTAGGCTTTAATTTTCAATTTCATAATATTTCTAGGCCACAGTATGGTAGATCTATGGAGATTTTATTGCGTATGGGACCATAATTTTTAGTTTGTGTACTACAGTTACATAAAAATATATATACCATATACTTTTAAAACACTAATTCATTTCTATTTATTTAGCTGAAAATGATCCTCCAAAGCTGATTGAACAGATTTGTTTTATTATTTCCATGTTATTGGTTGTGCTAACTTTCCCATTATCGATGATATTTTGTCTTACTGTCCTACCTGAGTATGAAAGAGCTGTAATACTTCGATTGGGACGGTTAAAGTAAGATATGTTGCATATATTTAATGTGGAATGATAAATATTTTCAAATAATATGTTGAAATGTTTGAATAGAAAGGGTGGTGCACGCGGTCCCGGATTGGTGTTTATATTACCATGCATTGATACACTTTATCGCGTAGATTTACGTACCAGTTCATACCATGTAGCACCTCAAGAAATTCTTACCAAGGATTCCGTAACCATTTATGTTGATGCAGTTATTTATTATAGAATGAAAGAACCATTGAAAGCAGTTATACAAGTGATATATAATTTATATATAATATATTTATTCAAAATATTATAATATAATTATGTTTTTTCTTTACTGATAGATCGCTGCAGCAGAAGAATCGACCAAATTACTATCGCAAACAACACTTCGCAAGGTTACTGGTACTAAAATGCTAATGGAAATGCTATCTGAAAAAGAATCTCTATCAATTGATATTGAACATATATTAGATGAGATAACAGATCGTTGGGGTGTTAAAGTAGAACGTGTTGAAATGTAAACTGCATTATTCAATATAATATATATATTCAAAAATATTTAATTTTAGTAAAGATGTCCGACTACCATTAGAATTACAGAGAGCTATGGCCGCTGAAGCAGAAGCTACACGAGAGGCTAAAGCAAAAATTGTTGCAGCTGAAGGTGAATTAAATGCAGCCAGGTTTTTAAAAGAAGCGTCAGATGTAATGTCACAAAATCCAATATCGCTACAGGTTATTTCATTATTCACTAACGTTCTGAAATTGTATATTATTAAATATATATTTAATAACTTTTTAGTTACGTTATCTACAAACACTTGCTTCAATATCACAAGAAAGAAATTCTACAACGGTTTTCCCATTTCCGATCGATTTCTTGCAAGTACCAAAGTGATGTTTGTTTCTTTATTTTCAGTGTAAAGTGTTTTATTTAATATATTACAATAATTTTTATATAAGTATATATTTTATATTCACAAAAATTTATAAAACACAAAAAAATTATTTAATGTCTTTTATAACTTTTTTAAACATAAATTTATTTCAGTTAACTTGTTCTCAAGCATTCACCACAGCTGGTATTATTTTTTTATAAATTTCAATTCCTCTTAAATATGTATCAGCTTTGATGAACTCATCATGATCATGTAAAAGAACTGGTGTGTTATTCATGGGTGAGAAACCAATGGCAGGTATACCGGCTTCGCGCACATAACGACTATCAGTTCCACCAGGAAAAACTAATATATTAACATTTAGTTTTCTGAAAGAAATTTGAAAACATTAATCTCCAGTTTACATTACTTATCATTTCTCTTTTGCTATTTACAAATCATCTATGGCTTTTTTAAACCCAATCCAAAATGGATTTGTTGCATCGGTTTTTGTCAGTGGCACTTTTGGTTCCTTTTGTTCGAATTCTAATTCAATACCTCCTCCGATTTCAGCACACCATTTACGTACCTGAAACAGAAATAAGATTATATGTTTGTTGTATAACAAAATAAAGCTTTAACCGACTTGATTCTCAAATTCTTTATGATCCACTGTAATCGCTAGACGTATATCGAAACAAGCTTCTAAAAGTGGAGGAATAACATTACTTTGTACGCCGCCATGTATTTTTGTCAAGTTAACAGTAGTCACATCACCAATTGTTAGTGAACTATCTGATTCTAGACGTTTCGATTCTTGTTCTCTAAGGGTCATCATTTTGTTCAGTATATACTGAAGCTTCTCACCTACAGTATTTTTAAGCAAAAGTGAACCGTGACCGGCATTACCACTTATTTTAAAATTAATTTCTGAAAAAGTATTTAATATCACTTTCGAAACATTTGTACATTTATATTAAAGAACTCACGCCAAATACTTCTTTCGGCATAATAAATTCTATAAATATCATCAACCGAAGCCAAACCTTCATCTAAAGAGAATCCAACATTCAGTTTTTTGAAATCATCAGATTTCACAAAGACTTCCATACCAAGATGACCACCGATTTCTTCATCTTTACAATGTTGATATATAATATATATTATACATTATAAAAGTAAATATTAATGTTATCTTATCTTATATAAAAATATAACTTGAAATCATTTTTACAAACATTTTAAGTGAAAAAAGTTTACTTTTAATAGATCTCGTTAAAATAATCTTTTAATTATTTTATGATCTCGTTTTTTATGGTGAGTTGAATTCTTATTGCCCCACTTACCTGGTACATAAGTAATGTGTATAGTTCGCTTCAATGTAACTTTATTCGCTTTCAATGATCGTATGGCTGCTAAGTATTGCATACCAACGCATTTCATATCTTGTGCGCCGCGTGCAAATATGCGACCTTCTTCATCCATATCCGCACTAAATGGTGGATGAGTCCATTTTTCTGGAAATACTGGAACAACATCCATATGAGAGTTTAATATAACCGATGGTAGTTCTGGCTGCTGACCAATCCATGTTATAACAACAACCGGTTTTGTTGGTAATGAAGGATAGTAAACATTGATAGGAAGTTCAAGATCAGCTGCTTGTTTCTTTAAGAACTCAACGCAACTGGCTGAGATTGTAAGCAAAAAAAAGAAAAATAATCATATATATATTTTATCAGATATATTTACTTAGTTAGTTATTAGACAATGTTGTGCTGCGGTTTTAGTTCAGATTATGATTAGATATACATATTATTCTACTTACTGCTTTTAATACTGATATGATGTTTATATAAAGTATTTAAGTTATGTTAAGCATTCTTTAAGCAAACATTGTTTAAAGTATTTATTTTAAGTAAGAATTTAATTGTTCAAGATTATTTCGTTTGTATTATAAAATTATTTTTAGACTATTTTAAGATTAAGATTAAGAAAAAAAGAAAATTTTTGAATTTAAATATATCTTTAAAATTCAACTTATTAAATTTTAAAAGAATTTTTAAAATTAAGTAAAACTTTAAATTTTTGAATAAAAATAAAGTTAGGAGAGTTCTCGGCACCAAACACTTGTCTAAAGCTATGATTAAACAATGCTGTCATGTATCCGGTTTTCGATAATCACTATACCTTATGTCAGAGCACAACAGCAATAAGAAAGGAGTGCTTAATAAGATTACATTGAGTAGTTGACACTGAAAAATTAAACCTTTTTTGAAGTATTAGGTCATATTAAAACTGTTTCATCTAACAGTTCTAACATTGGGTCATTGATTTATGTACTTTTTTCCGGTGCTAGACATGTTATATTCTACAGCTCTTTTTTATGATACTTATGAATTTCTGTTTCGCTGGGTATTACAATTTAACACAAATATGCTATATTGCTCTTTCAAAAACTCTTAAACTCGTTAAGAGGTTAGAACTTAAATGTACTTTTTTTTTGAGTTCTCTCGAAACTTGACAAATATGTATATTTTATTTCGTAAAAAATTGTATGTAAAGAATTTTTTATAGATAATATATAACAAAATTGTGACATTAACACGTTTTTTCAAATAAATATTTTGATATAATATTATTGTTGTTGCTACTTTACGAGAAATAACGCGAAACGGATTGTAAAATTTATATGTATAGATGTAGTTGTTGTAGTGTGTACAATGGAGCTGATTCTTGGGACTAACTTATGCTCGTAGTCAAAATATGCAGCTTATGGTTATTAAAAATTGACAAATGGAAATTTCTATAAAAATCGCTTTTATAAATATTTTCTATTCTTAATAAAGTAACTGATATTTTTTATATATTTAATGTAATAGAATTGTTGGTCCAAACATGCATATTTAAATTTTTCCGTTTCTTTTAGAATGATATATGTATGTTATATGTATGTAACGCTTTTACTTTCGCTTTAGCTTATAGTTCATAATGCATGTTTTTGCATAAACTTTTAGGTTATGTTTTATTTTTTTTAACAGCTGATTTTGATAAACTATTATTGAAATGAATTTTAATTATAATTTTAATTCACATTTAAATAATTTTAACTCACATTATAAAGACATAATGTGTATAGTTTTTTCTTAAATAAAAAAAGGAATTTTTCTCTTCTAAAGATTGCATTGTAATCTGTTCAAATATCTGTATGTTATCCATATATTGCAAGATTTGTCTCAATTATATGTATATAGAGAAGAAAAAAAATTTTTTTTTCAAATAATTTTTAAGTGATTTCATAAAAGTATTAAACTAATAAAAATAAAGGTTTTTTAAACTTACTATAATCGATGTCAGGATGAACACTAGGAATGCGTAAATATTCCCGAAATCTTTGAATTTCTTCATTATTTTCCCACGCGCTCATTTTTATATCGAATATTTTTTAAAATCTACAAATATAAATAAACATTTATGCTAAGATTATCTCTTTAAAATGTTTAAATATTTATTATTGCTTGTATGTGCGTACGCCACTGCGTCAAGAGACGAAAAATGTTTATAAATTTTAACTTTCATTTTGCGTTAATCTAATGAAAACGTCAAGTTAATTAAATTAAATTAAAATTATATATATTAAAATTAATGTAATATTTATACCGACTCAATGCATTTAAATTATTTAAAAATAAATCAATTCTATATCTATGTATTAAAATCAACTATTTACTGTTTAATATTTACATTTAGTTGACTTTAGCGTTTGACCGACCGACCACTTTGCACTCTCGCGATCTTCTCAATGCATGAAAGCAATGGGTTGCCTGCTTTTAAAAAATAACTAAAAATAATATATTAACTTATCAAAATTTTTTCATTTTTTATTGTAGCTCAATTAGATTATATTTATCTGTGTTATGCACGATTTTATTTTATCTTTATTTTTATTAGTTAATTAAGTGGTTTTGTGGTTCTTTATGTAATGATTTGGTCACAATTTGTGACATATATATGCATTGATTTCATTAATAAATTTATTACGTATATATTTGGAATATTTATTAATTTAATTATTATATAAATTAATATAAATGTAATATGTTCTGGTAATTTAATAGTTTTTACAATTTACAAACTGGACAAATTTTTATACAGAACTAAGTCATTGCCCGATAATAAAATGGTGTGTTACATATTAATATTAATTATTTTATACTCTTTACTCTACTATTCTGCAGTTTCATTAAGTGATTTATTCTGACTGATAAGAACTTTAAAAACAACATATTTTTGAACTAGTTTGATGTAGTTTTTTATGACAATATTTTTGAATAATTGAATTATTTGTGTAACTGTCAAATTATAGCGGTTGTTAAACAATTAGTTAAATGTGCTGCCAAACTACCAAAAAAAGTTAAAAAAGTTTGTGATTCTATAATTTTCATATACATATTTAAATATATAGATGAATATTTTTTATATTATTTTAATTGCTAGAAGCTTATCTTTTGACAGAAGACAAACATAGTAGTAGCTGATCATACAATTATGTTTTAGATTTAAATTAAAAATCTCTTCAACCTTCTTGCTGTACAGATATCGTTTTGTAATAATAAAAAGTCAATTTAAAATAAATTTTAGAGCGTTAAGAGAGCGTTAAGTTTATCTATGTACTATCTATGTACTACAATTAAAATCTTTAAATTGCCGGAGTTAAGACTACATATATGCAGAAGTTGATATTTGTAGTATTATTGTAAGGTAAAAAACGCCTTTTAGTGAATTCTTTAATTAATTATAAATAATTGATTAACACGTTTATATATTATGTGTATGGTATGGTTTTTCATTTAAATACCGTAATATTTAAATAACTCATACATATTGAATTAAAAAAATTAATTTTATATTCGAATTCGGTGTCTTATGCCATACACTACTAAAAAAATATTTTGAAAACGATACAACTTCTTTTCATTAAATGATTAAGAAAACGTTTGTATATTAGTAAAAATTTTAAATATTCCATTCGGTGTCCTTTGCCATACACTACTAATTTATATGATTTCAATTTTTTCTCCAAATACTGGACTGGACTGAAGACAATAGTGTTGAAATTCAATTTGAGGAACAAAGCAATATTATGGATATAAGTTCAGAAGAAGAATCTAATAAAGAAATAAGTGAGTCGATAATATCGTACGATAAGATCTTAAAACCTGAACTATATTCAAATCATCATTTGGGTGCACTTTAAACATAATTTTTTGTGCTCCCTCCTATAGGCGGACATCTTCTATAACCGGACAGAAACACTGCGACGATGAGTGTCCGGTTATGAGAAATTTTACTGTATATTGTATTTAAATCATTATACGATCCCGCGTAATGAGCTTGGTAACTGAGTAATATAGTAATAGTATAAAACAGCAACAAAATATATATTTTGATAGATGCTTTTTGTTATTCGCAATTTGCAGTATTACCATGTTACTTAAATACTGAGGTCGTTACCCGAGATCATGAATATCCGAATATATTTTACAATATTTTTTAAATAAGCTCATTGAAAAATCTGTTCCACATTCAACTGGATTAGTTATAATGAAGATGGGACATTGTGCAAGTAGCAATACCAGTGAACTGCCAAATATGAAATGCATATTCTATTACAAAATAATTTATATGATAATTATATAACTAGTCAATTTTATAGTTACAAATAATTATATATTATATATATATATACATAATTTAATATAGAATTTCATATAATTTTGATTTCATTACAGTTTATGTGGATATGTAGCATATTCAAAATAGTCAACTTGATTGCATTTTTTCTATTTTCTGATTTGATAGAACAAGTAATTTTCCTCAACGTCGCAATTAATACGTGTTAGTATTTGATGAGAACATTTGTTTTTAAACCAATGACTTTATCTCTTTTCAAATGCATATACATATATATGTATATCTACATTAAGTTTACTAAAAAGTTTATCTTTATTATTATTTAGCTAGGTCAACTATGAAAAATTGTACCCTAAATAGACAATTTTAAAACACAATTGTACTTGCTTCAATATCAAAATATTATTTGATATTAGATACATATATAGAATTTATACTTTGAGGGTGTTAGATATATGGGGGTAAAATTTTGTGTTAATTTAAAAAAATATTAATTTTAACTGAAACCAAATTTTTCGTAAAAAGCTATAATCTATTAAATTAAGTAATAAACTATTTAATCTATTATCTAAAATTTTGACTAGCACTTTAAGGGTAAGAAAATAGTCGCGTATGAAGTGCATAAAATTCAATTAATTTATTTAATATTGTGGAAATCGTTTGACGCTAACCAGCAGATAGCGTAAATCTTATCGCGACTAGGTTTCAGCATATAATATTGTGGCGATCAGCGCTATGCATCAGTGCATACTCGAACTTTATATCGAACAGTACGGCAAAAAGTGCAGACAAAATGGAATCGCTGCATAAGTGGAACACTAATAAGGAAATTGGTTATTTAAAGGAATATTTACAAATTGAAAGTGTACACCCGAATCCTAATTATGGTAATAAATAAACGTTAGTTCTACAAAAACAAAATTGTATTTACTTTATGTATTCTACAGATGGTTGCATTGCTTTTCTTAAAAAACAAGCAGATATGTTAAACTTACCAATAAATATACATTATCCCTTAAATAAGGATAATCCAATAGTTATACTGACTTGGATAGGACTTGAGCCTGAGCTGCCAGCAATACTTTTAAATTCTCATATGGATGTTGTGCCAGTTTTTTCTGATAGATGGACGCATCCACCATTCGGTGCTGAAATGGACGAAGACGGTCGTATATTTGCTCGTGGTTCGCAGGATATGAAATCTGTGGGAATGCAATATTTGTCAGCTATAAGATACCTAAAAACAAATGGTGCTGTATTTAAAAGAACTATACATTTATCCTTTGTAGCAGGTAACCAAATAATTTTACAATTTTACAATTTTGCAATCCAAAAAATTGTTCTGTTTTTTATTGTGTTTGATTTAAATAAATTATATTTTCAGATGAAGAAATGGGTGGACGTTATGGTATGCGTCCATTTGTCAATACTCCTGAATTTAGGGCGCTTAATATTGGATTTTCTTTAGATGAGGGCATGGCATCGCCAACAGATGAAATTCCTGTATTTAATGGCGAACGAAGTGTTTGGCGTATGTTAATAATAATTTTTAAAAGAAATTTAATTTTTATTTAATTTTTTTTTTAACAGGACTGTACTTTAGAATATCTGGTACAGCTGGTCACGGATCACTTCTATTGAAAAATACAGCTGGTGAAAAGCTTAAAACAATACTTAATAAAATGATGCAATTGCGTGAGGAATCGGAAGATCGTTTGAAACGTAATCCAGAGCTTACACTTGGTGATGTTACTTCTATAAATTTGACACGTGTTAGTGGTGGCGTTCAAAGCAATGTGATACCACCACAAATGGTAGCCTGTTTTGATTGTCGATTAGCACTTGATGTGAATCATACAGAATTTGAGGCTAAAGTAAATTAAATACTATATTAATTATATTTTAATAATTTGTTTAGGCCGTTTGCGAGTTCGAGTAAATTAAGGTAAAGTATATATACAATTTTCACAATGGCAACACTTAATTTACCTAATTTTTATCTAATTTACCCTATTCGAAATTCTGGTAAATACTAATATACGCAACCATACCGACATAATTTACTATTACCCTCAATTTACCATCAATTTACTTGAACTCGCATACCGCCTTAATTATTTTATTTTTTGTAACTTGTTGAATTTTAAAAATTATTTTAGTTGAAGAAATTTTGTGAAGAAGCAGGTGGTGGTATTGATATTGAGTATGAACATAAACTTCCAAGAGTTGAGCCAACAAAGATGAATGACAGTAATCCATACTGGACATCTTTTAAAACTGCAATTGATAAATTGTATATTTAATTATATTTAAAAAAAATATATTTGTTATAAATTTCGATTATTATTTATAGAAATCTAAAAATAAAACCACAAATCTTTAATGGTGGTACTGATAGTCGTTATATACGTGGACTGGGAATACCAGCAATTGGATTTTCACCTCTAAACAATACACCTATTCTTTTACATGACAACGACGAGTTTATTTTTGCAGATAACTTTTTAAAGGGTATAGATATATATGTGCATATAATAACAAATCTTGCAAATACTCCAGCGACTAAAGTCAACTAGAAGACCTTCAAAAAAATATTTCAACAGACAATTTAAGTTTCAAAAGACATTGTTAAGACTAAAAATTCAGATATATTCTAAAAGTTGAAAACTACTAAAAAAAAAACTAAATAAAATATCATCTTAAACTAGATGGAATTAAACCAGAAAAACAACTACTAATATTGTTTACTGAATTTTCATATGAACTGTGAAAATCTTTTAGTTTTTATAAGGTAAGCAAACAACTTCTTAAAATTGTATGCGTTGAAATCAGACAGTAATTATTCTAATCTTAGGTAAATTATATTATATTTCGCTACTTGTTAATACAATGATTAAAAGTAATTTGCTTATTGAAAATTTAAAAAAAATGTCTGAAATCTTTAATATAGCATTGAATAATATGTATGTACATTTATTATATCTCAGTAGCTGTACAAATTAACTTAATAGCAAGAAATTAAGTATTCTAACGTCTAAAATTGCCTTATATACATATATACATCACTTACATATGATTTACGCACGATTAAGCACAACACTAAATAAATAAATGTTCAATACACCATATATAGTATGGTGGCAAACCAAATTGATCTAGTCTTAATAAAAAACGCCTAAACCGATTATATAAAAAAAGTAGTTATTCTGACTCTGTGCTTAAGGAAATAAGAATGGGACAATCTCTAGTAGTAGGGACTTTTTCCATGACGACACATATATTATAAAAATATACTCCAATCAACAATTTTTCTCATTAAAAAGTTGTTTTTAAGATAAGGGAATAAAAATTTAATTTTATTAAGTTTATATACGAAATCAAAATTTAACTTATTTCAACATTTTCTTTATATACTACAACATTAATAACCGAATACACTATTTTCTATAAATTAGAACGGGTTATGATTCCGTCTGGCAGATAGTAGTAACTTTGAGTGATTCCATCTGGTAGTAATTTTGAGTAACACTGTGTATACACAAGTGCGTTCCGGCAGCAAATTTTCGTGTAAATTTTACTTGTGTTTTACTTGAGTTTTACTACAAGTAGCTCGTGGAACAGACCTATAATTAACCGTTAGTGTACATCCTTGCAAATGATGACCCATATTTTAATTGTTGTTTGTTGATGTCGTAAAATCGCAATACTGGAGTTGTCATTGTTGCTGTGACTTTTGAAATTGAATAATTTTTGCACTTGTTAACTATTTGATCTGTACTCTTTCTTAATGCTTTTCCCTTTTCTTGCCGGTTTGTTTGTTTTTGATATGTTCTTGAAAAATTTGCTGAAATATGTTTCTAATAGTATATTCCTACTCACTTCGTTAAATCGTTAAAGCATTTCATTTGATTTAACTCATTAAATAAATTTGATTAACTATATATAGAGGTTTCGAGCTTTTTAAATTAATTTAGCATAAATCATGGGAAATCACACTAAAAAATGTCGCATGCAACATTGCAAATTTCCCAATGGGAAATTACTGAAATTTAACATATTCAAAGCAGGTATTACACATCATTCTTGAATGTTGACTTGGTGTGCCGTCGTTTGTTATTGCAGATCATTCATTTTTACTATTCTTTTAATATGCAACAGTACAAAGCTTTCACTAAAGTGTTAACAGCAGCGGACATACACATATTTTCAATTAATATATTTATTATCTGGCTGAAGGATAATCTAAAAGAAATTAAAAAACTTACTAAGTAAATAAATGTTACATTCTTTCACGCATATTTATTTTTATTGTAAATTTGTACTTAACAAGTACATTTTTCATAATTAATGATGTTTTCTCCTACCGCGGTATTTACTTATGATACTCAGTACTGAATTTAAATTATTTACAAAAGCTTTTTTCATTTACACGTTATATAACCTTATAACCTTACCTTATAGTAATAAGGTAACTTAAGACTTAATAAGTAGTATATATTTAGTTATTTCAACTTATTTTTATTTGGCTAGGTATTTTTTGGTTTAGATTATTGAAAATCAATAAATGTGGATATTACTTATTTCGTATATATTATATTTAGGTCATTTTTTATTTTACAATAAATATATGTGACAATTTGATTGGATGATTTTTATGATTTATTTAATTTTAGCTGTCATGTTTGTAATTTTAGTTGTCAATTGTTGTTGCTTTCAATGTAAAATTAAAATTTTTGACAGCTAAAACTCCAAACGAAATTCTCGTATGAATCCAGTATTAGTTATTAAATGAAATCATTGGAAAAGTTTAGGACATAGGCGGAAGTAAAAATTAAAATATAAGGAAAAACATATGATTACCGTTAGCTTATTTTTAATGATAATATGCAATGTTTGTATTAGTATTTTTAACAATCATTATTGTCGTCTGTCAACGGAATAATTTTGTCACTATTAAACAAAAATATGTATACATTTTTCATGTGTAACACCATTTATTTGTAATATATCTATAGCTGATTTAATTCTAAATAGTAAATTTGTAAAACTACACTTGCCAAATTAAGGTTAAAAAAAAGTATCAAAATAGTAGTTAAAGTACAAAATTGACAATTGTGACGTATATCATGGTTTTTGGTCGTTACAAAAAAAGAGCAAAAAGTTGGCATGACCATCTTTCATCTATGACTGGTTTTTTACATGGGTACTAGCCATCACAAACCTTTTCATCGCAAACCTATTAAACTTTAAAATAAAACTATAGTTTATAAGTAACAATTGATTTTTAAATAATATTTTAAATATAATGAATAAAAATAATTTGTTTAATATTACAAATTTAATCTTTTTGGTCCATTATTTTCAAAATTTAATATTTTATACACATTTATTTCAAAACACCATTCAATAGACTAAATTTTTTGCAAATAGATTTTAGTATATAATATTGCGACAATTACTATAATGAATCAATAGTTTCTAAATTGTTCGGTAGTGCAAAAAGTCATAATCAAAATGGAATCAGAGCCCGTTTATGACTGTAATAAAGAAGTAGCGTATTTACGAGAATATTTACAAATAGAAAGTCAACATCCGTATCCTGATTATGGTACATATATATATGAACTTTTTTAAAAAAAGTGAATGTTAATTTTTTATATATTCAATAGGTCATTGTGTTGATTTTCTTATGAAACAATCAATACTAATTGGCATACCATTAAATATATATTATCCATCGAATAAGGAAAATCCTTTAGTTATACTCACATGGGAGGGTCTTATGCCGGATTTACCATCAATACTGCTAAACTCTCATATGGACGTTGTACCTGTATATCCTGATAAGTGGTCGTATGCACCATTCGGTGCTGAAATGGACAAGGAAGGTAATATTTATGCCCGTGGTTCGCAAAATATGAAATCTGTAGGTATGCAGTATTTGGCCGCTGTACGATATCTAAAAAATAATGGTGCTGTATTTAAAAGGACTATTCATTTATCATTTGTACCAGGTACTTCAGATTTATCATTATGAATAACCTTCAGGGTACATTGTTATATAAATTAATGAACTAATAAATAAATTTAAGATTCGGAAATGGGTGGTCGTTTTGGAATGCGTCTATTTGCTGCTACTCCTGAATTTCGGGCTCTTAATATCGGATTTGCTTTAGATGAGGGTATGCCTTCGCCAACGGAAGAGATTCCTGTATTTTATGGTGAACGAAATGTTTGGCGTATGATAAAAGTACATAAAATAATTATAGCAAATTTTAATTTTCTATTCTTGTTTTCAGGTATGTTATTTAAGTTTGTTGGTACATCCGGGCATGGATCGTTTTTGTTAAAGAATACAGTTGGAGAAAAGTTTTATAAATTACTTAGTTTTATAATGGCAATACGGGAAGATTCAATAGAACAGTTAAAAAATAATCCAGATCTAACTCTTGGTGACGTTATGTCTATTAATATGACTCGTGCCCATGCTGGTGTTCAATGTAACGTCATACCGCCCAATATGATAGCCTGTTTTGATTTCCGTTTACCTGTCGAAATTGATCATAAAGAATTTGAAAACAGAGTAGATTAAACAATATATGAACTATTTATATTTATTTGTTCTAAATACATCTATTTTTAATTTTAGATAAAACAATTTTGTGAAGATGCAGGAGGAGATATCGAATTCGAATATGAATACAAAGTTCCAAAGATCTCCCCAACAGTAGCTGATGACAGCAATCCATATTGGGCATGTTTTAAAGCTGCAATCGATGAATTGTAATTTAATTACATACAAAAAATGTATTTATTATTCTATAATAGTTCTATTATATTGACAGAGGCCTTAAAATAAAGCCACAAATACATTATGCTGCTACTGATAGTCGTTATCTACGTGCATTGGGAATATCAGCACTGGGATTTACACCTCTCAACAACACTACACTTCGTTTTCATGATAATGATGAATTTGTACCTGCAAAAGTTTTTCTAAAGGGCATTGATATATATGTAAAACTTCTAACAGATCTTGCAAATTTGCCAGAAATAATAGAGGAAGTAAAGGAAGAAGAGAAGGAAGGAGAGAAGGAAGAAGAGGAGGAAGAAGAGAAGGAAATAATAAAGGAAGAATTGGTGCCAGAAATGAAGGCAGAAGTTAAAGAAATGAAGGAAGAAGTGAAGGAAGAAGTGAAGGAAGAAGTAAAAGAAGAAGAGAAGGAAGAAGCGAAGGAAGAAATGAAGGAAGAAGTAAAAGAAGAAGTAAAAGAAGAAGTGAAGGAATAAATAGATATAACATAAAATAGAGTGCAAAATTTGTAAAATACATAGACAAATAAAAATTAATTGAAATAACTAGATTTATACTACTTATTAAGTTTTTAGTTACCTTATTGTAAGCAACGTGAAAATGAAAAAAGCTTTTGTAAATAACTAAAATTCAGTACTGACTATTATAAGTAAATACCGCGAATACTATACTTTTACTTTTCATACTAATGATTGTAGAAAATATCATTTCAAGTTATTATGGCAACTCATAAATGCTCATAACACATTTATACAGCCTATATTAGTACAGCCTTTAAGCACGCGGTGATCATTCATTTATCATTTAACAAAGTTTAAAGTGTTGAGAAATAATTGAATTTCAGGTTGTATAAGTTAATTATATTTTTTTAATTTACTTAAATTATTTTTAAATTTTCTTATCACGAGTTACTCGTACTAACTTTGAGTAACACTGTGTATACACAAATGCTTTCCATCAGAAAATTTTCAAGTAAATGAGAGCATCTGAAAGAGTGTAACATTCCTGTTGAAATTTGAAAATGTTACACCGACTTCACTCATACATTTTTATTTCAAATTTGTGTGTTGTGTGAATCAGCTGTTTTGGTTTGAATTTAAATTTTTATATTATACATTTGCAAGGCGCTAATGTTCTTACCAGATTTTGCTCAAATGAAAATCTATGTAAAGAGCGTAATTTGGCACTTTATTTGTGTTAGCTTTCAGTTTGTACTTAACTTGAGTTTTACTTCAGTTTACTAGGAGTAGCTCGTGGAACAGACAAAATTTTAGTTTGAAATAAACTGAAATCATTATTTAAAAAAGTGATATTGTTTTATAGATGTATTGGTAGTAGAAAACATAACATAATAAAGGTACTTATTTCCTAACACCAAATATAAAATATTATACTATCGTTTATAAAAATTCCATTCAAATTATGTTTTAAAATAAATTTTACGGTGTGAACGTACTCTATTAGTTGTAAACATAAATTCCCAATATTTAAAATACATTATATTTGCTTAGGAAACACTGAATGCACAGCTGTGAAGTTACAACAACAAAATACGCATGCTGTCATTTATACGATTTTTGTAACTGTCAAAGTGACAATCTATTGTGAATTGCAAAAAATATATTAAGCGTCGTTATACATTTTTCGGCAAAAATTCAATGTCTAGTGCGAAAATATACTAAATTAAATGCAAAGAACTAAAAGTCTGAAGAAAAAGTGTTAATGATATTAAAAACAATTAAAGAGCAAAAGAATGCTACACAAATAAAAACTCACATGTAATTAATTAGTGCGTAAAATTTTTTTTCGTCGTACGTCCTCGAAGTAGAACTCCCAATTGCAAAAAGAAAAAAATAGAAAATGGTGTGAAAACTAAAAACACTTCTTTGACACAGCAATCGGACGAAAACAATTATTTTTTTTTATTGTTTTTTTGTTAATTAATTTTGTTTTTAGTTGATTTTTACAAATTTAAACTTCGTCTTTTCTTTGCCAGTTTGCTTTATATACAACTCAGGTAAGTGGAATGTATGTACGGAATAAAAATAGCGCTGTTAGTCAATGCGGCGGGTGTAGGTAGGTAGGTTTTTCTATTAAAGATGAAAAGCCAATGACCGCCGTTCTGACTTATACATTATCTTAAGCATAAATATTTGCATATATTAAATTTTAAATTTTGTTTTAGTTTTGTCACAATTGATTAGAAACTAAATTTAGTCAATTTTAAATTTTCGAAGAAAATTTTATAAAATTAAAACCGTGCAGAATGTGTTGATTATTTGCATATTACATATAATAAATAATAAAAACTTAGGAAATTTGTGTTTTGCTTTCTAAATATTTAATTACATTGTAAACAATATATATAACAATATTAGTTTAAAATAATTAAAAAACTTCAGAGAGAGAGAGCTCAAAACATATTGTTTATAGACACAGTTAAAACGGGTAAGGATTCGATTTATATGCTTCTTAAAATTTCATAAATGCAATATAAATTTAATAAAAACCTTGATCACGCATTATAATTATATTACGTTAGGCATTTTCTTTCAATTTAAATATAGACAATGCAGTATATAGATAAAATAACAAACATTTATAAATGCTTAATTTCGGAATATGATTCAGTGGTTAGATGGTGTCAAAGACTGCATGGTTGAGTTCTGATGTAAGGCAGCCAATATGTCATCTATGAATTTTCAGCTATTTCTAGAAAGTTTTGTTTACAAATATTTTATTAACTATTTTGGATTATTCAAATAGATTAATTTTTTAGATTTCCACTAAGTCTGTGCTCAAATTTATAGGGTGTTAGCTTGATTTAAGGTGTTGGAGAGATATTTATAGTACGTTGCCATTAGCTTTTCGTTAGACCAGTTAACTTACTTGAGATTGCTTGAATTACTTGAATCTCAAGTAAGTTAGTGGAAATTTATACCCACAATGATGAAATAGTAATTTTCTTTTAACACCACTAAAATATTTGCATATTTGTTTAAATATATAATACAGATTACTTTATTTTTCACATTCCATTTTTTTTTTGTTTTTCTACTATAGTTATGTCATCCACCGCTGGAAAACGTAAAGAAATTTATAAATACTTGGCACCATGGCCTCTTTACTCCATGAATTGGAGTGTTCGTCCAGATAAGAGATTTCGTCTTGCGCTAGGCAGTTTCATTGAGGAATATAATAATAAAGTCCAAATAATCAGTCTTGATGAAGACACGAGTGAATTCAGTGCGAAAAGGTAAAAAATTTTATAAATTTTATTCTGGTATCTTTTTTTTTATTAACTTATATTTCATTATTATTATTTTAGCACTTTCGATCACCCATATCCGACAACAAAAATAATGTGGATACCTGATTCCAAAGGAATTTATCCAGATCTATTAGCTACAAGTGGTAAATATAGATAATATAAATATTTTAATTAAAATAGTTATGGGTTAACTTTTTTTAGTATTATTTGTGTTTTTAAAGGCATTGTTTGTGTAAATCTATATTAAAAACTTTTAAAAAGATGTTTTTATATTATTTGATAGTTATTAACAATATAAAAACTGATTGCAAAAACAATAAAGGGGCCTATTTATACTGAAATTTATTTATAATTTTAGTTTTAAATGATAAACACTAAATAATATATATAAACAATATACAAAAAAGATAAACACAGATAATATAAATATTTCATTTAGTTACACATACAACTTAAATTGAATTTCTATTCTAAAGGTGACTATTTACGTGTTTGGCGTGCTGGTGAACCCGATACACGCTTAGAATGCGTATTAAATAATAATAAAAACAGCGATTTCTGTGCACCTTTAACATCTTTCGATTGGAATGAAGTTGACCCAAATTTAGTGGGTACATCATCTATAGATACTACGTGCACAATATGGGGCTTAGAGACAGGACAACCACATGGGCGTGTTTATGTAGCTGGTCACGTTAAAACACAGTTAATAGCTCATGACAAGGAGGTATATGATATAGCTTTTTCTCGTGCTGGTGGTGGGCGTGATATGTTTGCTTCAGTTGGTGCTGATGGCTCAGTGAGGATGTTCGATTTAAGACATTTAGAACATTCAACTATAATTTATGAGGTAACATATTTTATATTATTAAATCATATGATTATTTTTAATTATTTATTGTTTTTTTTCCTTAAGGATCCTGCGCATACGGCTTTGTTACGTTTAGCATGGAATAAACAAGATCCAAATTATTTAGCCACAGTGGCGATGGATTCGTGTGAAGTTATAATTTTAGATGTTCGTGTTCCTTGTACACCTGTTGCAAGACTGAGCAATCATAGGGCGTGCGTCAACGGTATTGCGTGGGCGCCGCACAGGTAAATATATATTACAAAATGTAAAATGTGATTAAATCCATATCTACAAATATTGAGACTGGAGTCTTTGAAACACATCCTCCCGTTGATATGGTATTGCAGTCCAATGATTGCATTTTTTTGTATTCAAACGTTTTGAGTAACCATTTGAGTTAAAATAATCCTTTATAATATTAATATTAAGGACGTGTGCGAGTTAAGCTAAGTTGATGCTAAACCAAATAGGAGATTTTTTGGGATTTTTTGCACTTTACACATTTAGCCATTTATCAACACGTATCGATACATCACTACATTATCGGCACAACTTAGAATTTCCCTCATTTAGAACACAACTTATATATATTAACAACTTATTATATTATATATATTAATAATATTAATATTAAGTAATTATATATTTTAATATTAAATAATTATATATATTAATATATAAAAACAAAAACAGAGATATATTTTTAATCTCAATAAAGTATACCCTACAAACTTGCTGATTATGTTAACAGATATAGTTTAAGTTATTTAAATTGGGAACGTAGTAGTTATAAAAAATTATAGTTACAATATATTGCTATTCTTCGTCTGTCTTAAAAAAAAACTCTTCTTGATAACCTGCCACAACCTTCATTGCTGTTCTATAACACATTAAGTTGTAATCGGTTTAAAACGTCTTTCCGTAGTTTTAGGATTAAAACAGCTCTTTAAGGTTAAAGAGTTGCTAATCTTTTTAACGCACCAGTAGCGATTGCTTTCAGTTACAAAACACTGTTTTTATTTGATAGTTAATACTTATAGCGATATACAATTAAAATCAATAATGTGTTAGAGAAATTTACATACGTTACATGCCTGTTATATGTTTGTCATCGCTCCCATAGATCAATGGCTCTTGATAGGAATGTTCATTAATTTTCTGTAGAAGCGTTCATTGCCGTTGGAAGAGAAAATGAAACTGTGTGAAATAGGTTTTATACTACTTTTTATTGTCGCAACAGTGCTTGGAGACCTACTCTAAACTCAGAAGGGGCACAATAGAACCGACGGTCGCAGTCACATACCATAGCAAAAATAATGTATTTTGTCTTGAGTGATTATTTTTCTATTGAATCACGCTGTGTTTACTTTTTACTCTATACCATTTTTAGGAAATAGATAAATACTAAATAAACTTTATTATTTCAATATAACAATTTATTTAATTTTAGTATGTTTAGTAGTATTTAATTTTTTTATTTCATACGATTAAATTTTTTAATTGTTTCAACTTTTTATTTAGTTCCTGTCATATATGCACTGCCGGTGATGACCACCAAGCACTGATCTGGGATATACAGCAAATGCCGCGCGCAATTGAGGATCCAATTTTAGCCTACACTGCTGCCGAGGGTGAAGTCAATCAAATTCAATGGGGTGCTACGCAACCTGATTGGATAGCAATCTGTTACAATAAAGCATGTGAAATCCTGCGTGTCTAGAAGAGGATGTATTTCTTGCATTATCATGTCATAATTAGCCGCAACCACAGCCACAAATATCAACTCAAAAGCATAACATTTTGTAAAAGAAAAACAAAATTAAAATTTAAAATGAGATACAATCGGTAAGTGTGTCTTAATATTATACAAATTTGTACCATTTGTATAAGATTTTATTATTCGAAACGAACACATACGAATCTATAAAATTGTAATTTTACTTTTTATTATGTCCAAGCTAAAGTTTATAACAACAACCATCTTTTTTTATAAGAATTTAGTATTAAAATAAAACATTGTGAGAATTGCTGCATCCATCGGCTACACAGTGATATTACGGCTATGAGTGTTGTACGTAATTGTGCTTAATCAATGCTAATGCTTTAGTAACCGGGGTGCTTAATTTTAAGTAAATTTGTAAATAGAATTAAAATCGCTTATAAATTTATTTAAATAAATAAGTTGGAGCTTAGACGTATTTGTTTTTTTTATATATAATATATGACATATGATATATAAACGTATAAACAAATTCATTTTCACTCCATTCTATTTCTATATAATATATTTTTTCATTGATTGAAAAACAACAACAAAACTTGAGCGCATGTGCCTCAAAGCGTTTACATTCATCACTGTGAGACCGTACTTAGTTATTTTGATATTTATTTTTTAGTTAAAGCTAAATTAAGACACACTTTTTTATACAAAATAATATCCTACCTCGTTTTCCATCGTGGATGATTAAAAGTAAATCTTAAATTAATAAAAAGAACTTCGGTAAATGACAAAGAAATTATTAACTAAACAAACATTTTTGAATGTATGTAAGTTTTGAACTTAAGGATGGTTAAACCAATTTATTTCAATATGAAAAATATTTAATTATCAAGCTTAAAATTGTATTTGTAAGCAACGTTAATTTCAACGTTCATTTGTTATTATTATGTGTAAAACAATTTAATTAAAATATATACGTTTGCTTACTTTCTTGCAAATTTCTATTAATTCTTCTGAATGCTCCTTAAAACTTGATTATTAATATAAAAATTAATATATATAATATATTATATATATATAACTAAAATAAAAATTAACATATAGTGCAACTTTAATATCTAAATAAAACAAAATACAAAACACAAAAGAAAAGTATATATATATGCATATACAAATATATGTATAAATAAGAAAAAAATGGTAAAATTTAATTCATGTATATTTTTATTATAATTTATATTTACATATAAACAAATGAAAAGGTGCAGTTAAATTAATAAACGATATGCAATTTAATAACAATAGCAATAGTTTACTGATATTGACTATATATATGAAAAAAAAAATAATATATATACTAAAACTCATTTCAATAGAACTGATTACTATCATTATTCTAATAGTTATCATTATATTCGTCACCAAAAATTGTAAATTTACCTTAAATAGTTAAAATAAAACAAAATACGGATAATTCTTAAACTATTTGTGAGAGAGAAAACAAGATTGTTGCCAAAAAAAATATTTAAACATAAACAATACATACATTAAATAAAATTTTAACGTACTTTACTACAAATGCGCCACAACCGAACCTCTTTTTAATTTATTTTTTATAATTTTGTATTAATTTAATATTAGTAATTATTTTATATCAATTTGTATATTTATTAATTCAATATAAAATGATTTGACCGCCGATAAAAAAAATACCACCAACCCATATCTTTTATTTCTTAATATTTTCAAAATCATAATTTATGTTTTAAATTATTTTATTTTGTTTAGAAATATTTAAAATCACTTATAACGAAAAAATTATCTTTTAAATAAAAATGATATTGTTTATTTTTCAATATTATTTAACAGATTTTCTATTTTATTTTAATTTCAATAAAACAATTTAAACTGATTACGAATTTTTACATTAATTCTATAATTTAATTTTTTGTGTTTATTATAATAAACTATAAATTTTATAACAACAATAATGGTTTATAATTATTAAAAAAATCCACAAAGAATAATTTTAAATTATAATTTGTTGTTTTATGATAAAATATATATATTAATATATTTTGTATATGGGCTAATTGATTAATTATTTCTCTTTGTAAAGTAAACAAGTTTATCAACTTGTCATCAATTTATTAAAATATTCAAAATTCTTTAATTAACAAAAATAAAAAAAACATTTATTGACCACATTCTATAGTCATTCTATAGCCAATATATAATTTCTGAAAATAGTTGAAAATACACTAAATACTGAATAGGAAAATATAGCATATATGGTTAAAATATTTTTTTAGTTATATTTTTTTGATAATATAATTGACTTATTAGCCTATATACAAAATATAATATATATAATAATATTAAATTATAAGAGTTTTAATATTAGTTATGTAGTTAAAGTCTTATGTGAACGAAATAAAAAAATTTATATTGGCTTTTTATTTTAAATTTATTTTATTATTAATTATATAAATATTGTCAACCTTTCGACAATAGGGAATATTTGGAATATATTTTTAAATTATTTATTTATATTTTTATATTTTATTTTTTTACATTTTATTTATATATTATTTATATTTGAGGAAAATTTTAATTCTCGGAATTAATTAATTGTTGACTATTACCTAACCGTCTTTTATATTCAAAAATAGGTTTCTTATCATATAGCATCAAATTATATTTTTTCAATTATATATAACTATATAAAATATATTAAAAATCAAAGCCCAACTAATTCCAAAATCAATTTTTTTAATAAAACCAAAAAAACAATTTAATAAAAAAAAGAATTTTTCTATTTCGTTCACATACACAAGCCTTGAACAACATATTTTATATAATTGATAAAAGTATTAATTTAATAAATATGCAGTAGTTGTCCAATATAACGAATGTCCAATTTATGGAACTTCGAAATTCTGTCATGTACCTTTATATAGATTAGTCAATGACAAAGAATATTACTGGAGACAAACCCTCATAAAAATCACAAAGCAATTTCTTAGACTTCTGTACAATGGGCTAAAGCCCATTTTACAAGATCTACAAGACGAAGCATATAGGTTAAGTTATGTTATACTGGTGATCCTTAGGGATCCGCTTATGTCTATAACCCCATTGTGTTTAAATAAAAGAGGATATATGCTTCCTAAAAGTTACATATTCCTTTTTTATAAGTCTATGTTGAGGCTAGTTGAGTTAAGTCAGTGCACTTGAGCACTTTTACTCTCTATTAACTGCGAGGTTTCTACAAAACCCCTCTTTGCGCCTTGACTGGATTATTGTTTATCACTTCATTAGACTAAGCAATAATTGACCTCAGATCTACATATCTCCCCGAGGAGCCTGTAAGTGAACTACTTTGTTTAATATATTCCTCTGATTCAACGAATAAACTATTTTAATTGCTTTCATTAAATTGGACGATTACTGTACTCATACAACGTTTTTTGAAAAAAAAAAAACAAATAAAGCTTATTTTTTCTAATCTGTTAAGTTCTTTATGAAATAAAATTTTTTAAATTATCAATTAAAAAAGTTTTATTTAACAATTCTTTATATATATTATATATAATATATATTTTATAATTTCTTTAAAATTTAAAACTATTTTTTTGATCAATATTGAAATAATTCTGACTTTTATTTATTTAAATAATTTCTCAAATATATTTGTATAGTTTTTCCACCATTTTTAATGGTTTATCTTATTTAAATAATTTTCATGATAAAGCCTAACATTAACATCTATTTAGCACGAAAAATTTTATAAATTTCCATATAAAAAAAAAATTTTCTACAATGTCCAAAATTTTTTGGAACATTTTTTTTATATAAAGTTTTATGTCAATTATTCGTGGGAACTATATGTTAATATTAGGTTTAAAATGATAATTTAATATAACAAATATTTTGGACATAAAGCATTCTAAATGTATGTATAACACTTAATACTTATATGCGTAAAAACTATTTTAAAATAAATATAGTAAATACTATTATTTAAAAAATAATTTGTCAAAAACAAAAAAAATAAATGGGATACTGTGTGCTTGAACTCAACTGATTAAGGGGTACTAGAATATTAGCATATGTCCATTAGGGTTTAAGCATAATTTAGATTTAATAATTTTTTATTAAAAAAATTATGTGTTTTAATTTTTTAAATTTAAATTTATCTATAGCCATCCTATAACTTAATATAAAAATTTTTTTTTCTGAAATATTAAGATTGTATAATTATTAAAAAATTTATAAAATTTTATCGAAAATCTAGCGCAAATATTGGTAAAAAAATTATTTTTCAAAATTATTTCTAATCAATAGTACATACATACATATATTCTGTGCATATGTATTTTGCTTTCAAGTGTACAAAAAAGAGTTTAGTTTGCTCTATAAACTACACAAATCTTAATTTATAAACTACAAGAAATTCAAAAATGTTCCATTAGGTCAATATTAAAAAAAAATGTTGAATTTATAAAACTTGAGTTTGTCGGTTTTGAAAAGAAAAAAATATGTTAAAATAGTGTAAAAAATATACATATTTCATTTTCCGATGAAATTTATTAAATTCATTAACATATTCCATGTGAAAACTCTAATGTTTAAATAAATACTGTAAAGCAGAATTCTGAATTAATAAGTTTGAAAATCAAAATTATACAATAAAAAGTATATAAATATGTAAAAACTATATTATAAATATGAGATAATTAAGCGTATACATATAAGAGTGTATATAAGATCTCTATGCTTTTATTTCATATATTTGAATAGATAGCTTAGTTCAGAATAATTACACTTGATGATTATATCAACTTGATGATTTAAAAAATGCAAATAACTTTTAAAAATTTGGATATTAATAAATTATATGTATACAATAAAAAATTTACTGCATGTACTTTCTTAAAATAGTCAATTTTCAAAATGTATTTAATTTGTGTTTCCATGCTATATAGATTTTAAAACATTTTTAAAGCTTTGTAGAAATTTAAATCGCCTATAATAGGCGAAGATGATTTACCTATTAAAATATTAAAACTATTGTATATTGTAGTACATGTTCTAACATATTTTTAAAACTATAAATTTTATCATACTTTTCATTTTTACTTTAATATTAAAAGAATTTTAAAATTGTTCAACGAACTTCATGAATGATCATGTAGATCGCAATATTATTTTTTTACTAAAAAAATAATTTTAAATAATTTAAACTCCTATATTTAACATTGAAAAAGTTTATATGGATGGTTTACATAAACATTTTTAGTGAAATTATGATTGCATTTTTTTAAAGCGGTTAGTTGGGGTTTTCATATAATTTTTAGATTATTCATAAATAACTTTATTTCTTTTTAAAACAAATAATAATATTTTTAAAATGAAAATTTAATACAATTTAAAAAAAAGAATTTTTTTATAATTAATAAATACTATTATAAAAAAAATTTATTAGTTTTAAAAATATATTTATATTTTATGAAATTAAACGTACGATTTTTAGTGCAGTTCGTTGGCACTTTGGCTACTCATTTTATATTTTATTTCAATGATAAGTTATCTTAATATTTTTCATTAACTTTTCTATAAAAAACCATTTAAGTTAAATAAATAATAATTAATTAATTATTATTTACTCTTTTGTTAAAATTAAAATAAATGTAACTTTTATTAGTAAATAATTTATTTAATAAAAAACATTTTAAATCCCTATTAGCAGCTACGAAAATAAATAAGACTATAATTTTTTATTATACTTAATTTTATTTAATTAGTTATCATAACATTTTTCATCTCTATAAAAAAAACCATTTAAGTGAAATAAATAATAATTATTTAATTATAATAACTATTTAATCATAATAATTATTTAAATTTAATAATTATTTAATTATTTACTCCTTTATTAAAATTAAAATAAATATAATTTTTATTATTAAATAATTTAGTTAATAATAAACACTTTAAATCCGCATATGCAGCTATGAAAATTAATAAAACTTTATCATTTTTATTATATTTTATTTAATTTTATTTATGCATTAAAGTAATAAATCTGAATAATTTAAAATATTTGTATAAAAAAATATATATAAGATATTAGATACTGTTACCTACATTTTATTTAATTATTTTTTTGATTTCGGCACATTAGTTTTTATTACACTCTTATGTAAATATTTTTATATTTAATTTGTGCTATTTTATATCTTCATTTGATGTGTGCAAACAATTTTTTTTATATTAATTATAATTATATAAATCAAGAGATTAATTAAAAATTATTTGTCTGTTTTACTACATTACATGAATTAATATATTTATTATATTGTTTTAATAAAATGTATAGTATTATCTTCAATCTACGACTATAAAAAACTTAAAAGTAATCTTATTTTTATTGAAATATTTAATTTTTTAAAAACGTCAAAATTTTTATTTAGTAATATTCTTTCTTGCTTCTTCTTTGTTTTTTATTTTAGTTTTTTTAATACATTATATTTTCATATATTACATTTACTAATTTTTATTTTCGAATTCTTCTATATTATTCCAATGCTTTTTTCCAAAGATTAAATATATTTGTTTGAAATTATTTGTTTTTTTTAATTTAATTTGTTTTTTTTTTTTAATTATTTAAAAAAAAAAATTTTTAATTATTTTTTTTACTATTTATTTTTCTTTACTATTTATGAGGACTTATTTTATATTATTATATTTATGATTCTCATTAAAATACAATAAATTTTTGTTACAATAACATAATAAAAATAATAACACGTATATTCATTTTACCATAATAATAAATTTAATCATGGAAAGTTGAAAAATAAACAATATTTAATAAAATCTAATACTAATATAATTTTTAATTTATTTAAAAAATAACAGTAAAAATGTTTAAATAAATTTAACGAAATTTCTTAATATTTGTCTTTTTTGATTTCTTCCTATTTCCTTAACTCAACATGAATGTTTAATTTTATTTTAATTTATAAACATGATTGTTTTTTTAGCTATTATTTTTATAGATATATGTATATTTATTTTTATACAGAACTTATTAGTTATATATGATTTTAGCTAATATGTATTATTTATGTAGCTATTTTTTCGTATTCTTTCTATATGAAATATTATTTTATTTAGTAATATTAGTATTCTGATACTAATTTTATTATATTTTGTTAAAAAATATTTTCTTCTTGTAGTATTTGATTATTTATATTTATAAAACAGCAAAAAATATCAAATATCAAATTTTAGAAATTCAGAAAAAAAAGAAAGAGGAGAAAAAATATTTTTATATATAAAATTATTAATTTTTATTTATAAAATATTTTTTTTTAATTTTAGAAAATATTTTAAAACTTATATAAATTTTTAAATATAATATATTTTTATTTAATATTTTTAAAAGATTTATACAATTGTTTAAATCAATTGTTTGTTAATCAAATTTATTTATTTTTGTAGTCATTATAGTCATTGTTTACAGTAATTTCAAATAGTATATATGTAATTGCTATTTGTTTTTTTTTCTCTGCACTTATTTTTTTTTTAACGAATTACAGAACATATTAATTATGAGTAGTTGTTAGTAATCAAGCGCTTTTGTTGGAACTGCATAACATATAAAAATACCATATATATTAAAATATATTCAGTAAATTATTACCTACATTTCAATTGTTTAATAAATACATATATATTTTAACCTAATCATACAAGATTTGTAGATAATATCCATGTAAAATATAGCATCCTTTAATCAGTTATCACAAAATCGCACTCAACACATTTTTGTATAAATCCAATCTATTCAAAACCTTTATATGATATAAAACTTTCGATAAATAATAAAATCATTCATAGATACAATTCAAATTAATATCACAAATTCGCACGTTTTCCATACCAAAAATAAAGACAACTAATTATTTTTAATGAAACACTAATAAAACAATTCACAATATCGATATATATATATACATATATATAAAATCAACAAACGTAAAGTGATGTAAAAAAGACAGAAATTTATATATTAATGCAATGAAAGTATCGACACCGTTAAAATTAAATTAAAATTAAAACCTAACTTTAACTAACTAAATAAAAAAATGTTTTAAACAAATATAATAAACAAACTGAACTAAAAGTTATTATTTAAAAAATTTATAAACAATTAAATTGCATTAATTTATATTTTACATTTTTATAAGCCGATAATTGTCTCGATTATTTGTAAGTAAAATAACCATGAAGAACCACAAAATAAAAAATAATTTGAAAGAAATTAAAGAATTAAAATAATTATAAAAATGTGGAAAAAAAAGATACACAAAAATCTATAATGAAAAATATGAATTTAGTTTTTTTAATGCAATTTTTAAAGCAATAATTTAAAAGATATGTAAGAGATCAGCTGAATTTATTATTTTCTATACAAGAAGGCGATAACGAACAAAACCGAGAGATAAAGAATTAATAAATCTTTAAGATGAACAAACCTAAAACGTGGGTGTTAATTTAAAAAAAAAAACAAACAAAAAAAACATTGTACATTTTTATTTGCGATATAAAATATAATAAAATAAAATAAGAATGATTATACTATATAAAAACAACAACAACAATATATATAAAAGCAACAACAATGCATTTCAAATGATACCAATTAACAAAAGAAAAAATAAATATATACATATATATATATATAAATATAAGTACTCGAAAAAATAAAGAACAAGCGATTTTTAATAATAAAACCAAAAATAAAGTTTTTTTTATTCTAATTATTTTTTAATATATACATAAAATAAAATAATAAATTTATAGAATAGGAAGAATATTTTTAAATTAGATCTGGACAATCATCCTGATGAGAGCAAATATCTTTTATGTTGACAGTTCCTTTTAATTCTGTGTTTCTATAAAATAAAAATATTTAATATTAATTATGCTACGATATATTGCGAATAGTGTATTAAGCATATAAGTATGTATATGATATAATAATATAGCTGAGACAGCTATATTATATATAAGGCATTTATGGGAAAGATATAATAAACTATAAATTTAACATAAAAAATTTGAAGGTCTTTAAACAAAACATCTTAGTGGTATTTATATTTCAATATTATTATCATAATCACGTAGGGTCTTGAATTTTCACTATTATATCTCTAAGTATATAAATCAAAGTACCAAATAGAATTTTATAATGTTTTTATATATTAGTACAGTTTGTTTTTAAAAAAAATTCTATGAAAATTATATACATATACATAATTTTTACTTATGTATTATGTATTATTATATACATAATAATTACTCTATGAAAATTATATACATATTTACTTTTACTTTTAATTTACTTTTAATTTTTTAACACATCAGAAGACTTTGTCTTCTACTTCAATGGAAGTTGATTATATTACTGACTAGTAATATAAATTGATTATAATAAAAAATAATTAAAACAAACTGTATCAATAAATAGTAAAACGAAAATAAAAATAATTCTTATTATTGTTAATTAATGAATTATTATTTTTTGGCACTTTTTATATTTAAAAAAAAACACTAAGAAAAAGTCTATTATATTATATATATTATAAAAGTCTATGTTATGTTAAGTATAATATTGTATATATATATATTACACATATAAATATTTATTTATTGATTTTAATTTATTAATAATTAATTAATTAATAATTATTAATAAATTATATAATTTAATTTATTTATTTCATTATTTATAAAAATTTGTTATTAATTTTTTAAGGAATATAACGAATATAAGTTTTTGGATTAAGATATGGTTATTTTAATTTCAGGATGCGTGGACGCAAAAAGGATGTATAAATAATAAATTATACAAGTAATGATAATGCCTTAAATTGAATTACATCTTATACAATCTCAATAATCTAAATAGTTAAATTCCATTTAACTAAAAATAATCGACTGAAAAATATATATAAAATATAGCTTTAAAATTACTAACAATTGTATATTCCCTTATCTATCTTACTGAGAGAGATATAACCAATTGTGTACAAGTTAAGATTGAGGTGCAACAGATTTGTGTAAGTTATGAAGAGCTATAGTGCCAAATATTACATTGACTACATGACGATTACTCATATACAGTAATAATATAAAGTACTCAGGATATAAGGCACAGAAAGAAAACAACTGCAAGTGACATGGAGAAGAACAGTTCGAAAAGAAATAGTAAATAATTTTGGATAAAAATATAGAATATAAACATCACCAATATCAAGATTTTTGGATCTCTTGAAAGAATTTAAATGAATCGTCAGCAACGTGTACATAAAAATGAGAGAACCTCAATAGTGGTTATACTTTTACTATATTTATAGTATAATTATATGAGTATATAAGTATAGATAACTATAAGTAAATATAATGTTCTTATAGTGGTACAGTTGTTTAATTTTATAAGTATAATACCGAATTTCAAATTCGGTTATACAAGTCCACTAAAACTCTTATTATTTTAATTAGTTTCATATTTTTATATTATATAAATTATCATACATATTCAATAATTATTTATTTTGCTTTAATAATATATATATATATATATATATATCATTTGTACTAGGCTTACGAAATTAAGATATGTTTAAATATAAAGAATGATTATTTACCTATTATTTTTGAAGTCCTTCTGAATATTATCTGAAAACATGAAAATAAAGTATTTATTAATATTATATATAACAATATAACGGAGAAAGATTACATGTAAAATAAAAGGTATGGGTAATATGAAGTATATGTAATAATAATGTAACAAATAACATGCAAAATTCCTATAAGTAATATAAAATCGGATACATTTATAAAATATATGTAAATACAAATTATATATTTTATAAAAATTTTTTTATTATATATACTTTCAGTACACTTATTACTCTTATGTATTTAAAATAATTTAATTTTATATAAGCATATCTTTTATTTATTTTAATATATAAATTATGTGAAAATTTGTATTTGGTAGTTATATGAAGAACATAAGTGTTACATATTTACTGATCTTTTAATATTAATCATTTTATTAAATTTATTTTTTGTATAAATATTATATTCTTTGTATATGTATATAAATGATTTTAATTCGAAAGCAAACGGATGTTTTAAAAATTACGTATTTTTAGTGAGGCCATCTATTGGCGCCAGTAAGATAATCAGTAAGATAAGATAATATTTATCTGGTGTGGCATCGTGCATCTTTTACTTTTTTGAAGGAATGGTTTTGCCGATGAACTGATTATTCGACATGTTTTAAATCATGTAAGTCACTCTATTACTTTGAATCAAAATGTGATTATTTTGAATAAATCCAATCGGGAAGTTATATTTACTTTGTTAAATAACTTTGACATATATATTCATATATTGCGCATATATATAGTTAGTTAGTTAGTTGAGGTGGAGGGAGGACGAGTCCTCCTCAATTAGCCAAAAAGCCGTTTTGAATCCACAAAAATCTTGTAATAGTCGGTAGTAGGTAGAAGGTCAAACTAGAACAAGCCAGGGGCATTAGCACATATATATATTATTATGTATATTTTGTTATATATGACGTTTACCGACATCCTAAAGAACATCAATATTCGTGGATCTAAAACTATTATTCGGGATGTTTTATTAAATCGTGGAATTATTTTGAATAAATCAAATCGGTAAGCCCTATTTACTTTAGTATATAACTGATACGTATATATTCCTATATTGTGGATATTTTATTTATATATTATATATATTTTGTAATAGTGTATTATTTTATCTCAGACAAACCTTTCTTAGCTTTAATTTCAATTATTTCATTATGATGCAATTTCGGTACCCTTATAAGTAATTGACCTGTAATCTGTGAACGTTGAATAATCGCATCAGAAGGTTTAACCTCTTCCGTTAAACTTATCTGAAATATTTTACCCTTAACAGTTACACGTATATAATTACACGTTACATCCACATCAATTAGTGCAGTATCCAAAAATCTAAAATAAAGTAACAGATTATTATATTATATACAATTAAATTTAACAAATTTTATACTTGTAAACATATAAATCCAAAATATATTCTGTACTTTCGTCTTGAAATTTGAATTTGAGATTTGGTCGATTTATATTGTATGGACGGCCACATGGTGCGAATAGTTGTGGTGGACCACGTTTTGGAATATCATCTTCTGGTTTTGGTGTAATTGGCTCACGGCACTCTTTATGATAGCGTGCAATGTCAGCACGTATTTCTGGACAATGTTCACTTTTAGAATCCCAAAAGAATTTCTTGCGTTCATCTTCATCTTCAATATCAGCCATTTTAGCTTCCAGTTCCTTCTTCTGCTGCAAGTAACGTATTTTCTGCTCATCTCGTTCAATAGCATGATCTAATTGTTTTTGTACAATTATTGCTCTATTTCTTTGTAGTTTTTTACTCACTTCCAATCTATGCGTTGTAGTTATTTCTTCACAATCTAAACTTTTCAATGTTGGTAGCGTTGCTATTACATATTCTCTATAATGTGGATAATCACAGCAAGGGTTACCAGTTAATATTAGTTCTTTTAAATTATAATTTGCTCGTAAGCTTTCGATGGAAGTCAGTTCACCAATAAAATTTAATGTTAAATCTAACTTATTTAGAGATTCTAAACTTTCCAGGTTCTCCACACGTTCTATGTTATTTACAGCTAAATTAAGGTATTCCAGTTTTTTTAGTTTAAAAAGGTTTTCTATTTTCGATATTAAATTCGATTGTAGCAATAATATTTTAAGATCCCGGCACCAATTATGTAAATGCTCAATGCATTCGATATCTTCCTGATGCAGCGAGAGCTCCTCTAATGTACTGATAAGGCACTCATTATGTTCGGATTTTTTTCGAATCAATTGCTCTGTTACTAGATATATGCATATTCATATTAAATATATATTAAAATTGAGTGTTATTTATTATGTACTTACTTCTCACCATTATCATGTGTAAAAAAATAATTTTCTAAACTCAAAATTTTAGTTTAAAATAATAGTTATTTTAAAGGAGATGGTTACTTAGTTACCGAACTTAAAAAAATCACTCTATGGTAAACGTGTTTGCAAGACAATTACTATATGAGTTGAAATTCACCATAAAGTACAGTGAAATATTCAAGTTATATTGTAAAATTGTAAAAATAATATTGTCTAAGTTAATAACAGATTATTAAAGGTGTTTACGACCTCGAATAACAAGCTCGGTAATCGAGTAACATGGTAACATTGTAAAGTGCCAACAACAAAACATATGATTTTGAAATGTGGTTTGTTCTTGCCGTTTACACTGTCATTATGTTACTCGATTACCCAGTTGATTACACGAGATTGTGAATACCCCTATACCCCCGTTGTAACCAGTTTATATGATTTATATGTGAAGAGTTGTAGAATTACTTATTACTCGCCGCAGTTGAATTTTGTGAATCCAAAAATAATATTTATGCATTTGACAGAATTATAATACTTGACTCATTCTATTGAATATATCTAATAATATGATTTAAAGGAGGGCTTTAGGATTGGGTTTATATTTTTCAAATATGAACATAGCTAAATATACATATATTATCACTTCTATTTGTTATTTGTTCTATTTGTTGTTATTCTTATTTAATTTCATCATATTTATTTTTTAGGAACTAATACATTTATTTGAAAGTATTTAAAAACATTTCCTTGTTTATATATATTTGCAATTAAATTGACATCTATTATAATATTGATCTTAAACTTTGAAGTAATCTTATCTAGAAATATTTTTTAATAGTCAATTTTTTTTTAAATAAAATAGGAGAAATATATCATATACTAAAAAGCAGGGGTATTTAACTGATAACGTTAATCAGGTACACATTAGATTATTTAAGTTTTTAATATAATAGCAATAGAATGAAAAAATACGAAATCGAAAAGTTTTATTTTTAAACATTTGATATTTATAATATAATGTATGCAAAATTTATTACAAATAAGCAATAACGACATTTAATATAATATACATAATATCTATATATATATTTAAATTTGTATATATATACTATATCTACTCAAACTTAGCTTAGTTTATAGTCTTATTGTCACTTTCACTTGAATGGGGAAGTCATGTAAACTACTCTGAATAACTTATGAACAACTTAATTCGGTGGTATTAAAATGGGTCATTATTTAAGGTCAAATGGGGTTTGCTGTACAAGGCTGCCAACTTCAACCTAACCTCACCTAACAGGTGAGTCTTTACAAATTTGATTTAATTTATTATTGAAACCGAAAAACCATTTTTAATATTTTAATTAATTAGTTTATAATTATTATTTTTTATATCATATATGCTAAAGATAACCCATGAACATCCAAATCAGACATATCAAAAATGGTGAACTTTTTTAAAAAAATTATTAAGAATAACATTTATTTAAAATCGAATGTAGTATATGAGGTAAACTGCAAGATTGCAAACATATATACATTGGAATATAAAACTGGATAATAGGCACACACGATTATAGGAACAGCAAAATGACATTAAGGTAGACATCTAGGTCCAAACATAGATATTGCAATAATGTAGATAAGAATCATGTGGAATCATGAATAGAAAAGAAGATTGTGATAACTTCAGCACCAAATACTTTCTACTATTCAATACATATAATCATAATTGTATTATCTTTATTGTATATTGTTTATATTGTATTTATATTGTTTATCATTCAGAACTAAATTTGTAAACAGATTGCAGTATAAATACATGATTTTCAAGAGCAATTATAATACTCTTCTTACACTTAGAAAGAAGTTGCACAATAGACTCGCGCGACAGTCACAGTGCCACATCCCTTAACAATAATAATAAGAAGAAGTCTAGACTATATAACAGAATTATAGAAGAACACTATATAAAAATAGAATTTAAAACCAATTTACAAAATATTATTTTATATTCATAAGTTTTTTTTTAAATGCAGAAATATATAAAAAAACTTAATTCATAACAACTTTATAGAAAAATTATTTAATTTATTTATACTTTTTATTTACTGTAAAAGGGCTATATATTGACAAAAATTCTTAGCTGGCCAATAAAGAAGTTTTAAATAAATTATTTTTCTTTTATATATAATATAATAATTGGAAACTAATGTCTCCATTGCATATATATGTTATTTTTGAACAAAATATTTTATTATCATTATATATATTCAATAATAATTACTATAAATTATTTTAAATTTATATAAGAAATTGAATTTCTTAACAGAACTGCGGGAAATGCTAGTAATTACATATTATATTCTATAATGTAGATATTTTTTGCTCAGCTCAAAGCAATCGAATATGAGCACTCAATATAAACAAATCGCAGCCATAAAACTATTATAATCTATACAGATATCTCTAACAAAAAAAAAATTAATAAGTGTGAGAAAAATTCCTCTCCGAAAGAGTCGGCTACTTAATAGATAAATTTGCAAAATTTCCGCGTTTCTATTATAAACGCTAGTACTGACAACAAACAAATTGTGGTCTATAAACACGTTTCTCTCAATCTAATTAAAATAGTATTAGACCAGTAAGCGAACTGTCTTCATGTGTTCCATATTATTAAAGCAAATCTTTCAAGCAGTTGAGATATAAAAATTAACGACTCCGGCAGTAACAAAAAAATGGACGTAGAGAAGACGGATGACATTTTGCGGCCGCTAACCTTCGAAGAAGTGGATGAATTATTTGAATTATACAAAAATAAATATGGTAAACATAATTTTCATTATTTATTGATGTACAATCAATGTAAATGGCATAGACAATTGGAGGAAATAGGTGCAGGCAGAGCGCCTAAAGATGATAAGTGGGTATCATTCCGAAAGTCATTTTACACTCACCGCAACTGCGATTTTAGAAAATATGGCACTTATGTTAGTTTGCATTTTGACCTTGTAAGTGATATTAAAAAGTTAAATAAATAATTGAAATATGCATGATATACATATATATATAATATATATGAATGCGTGTTTAATATTTTATTTTTACGTGATAAATTAATTAAGTTTTCACACATAACAGATGCAGAGTATTTCATTTCATTCATGGGAACCTGACTTTAAAGAGCTTTTTGAATGTCTTAACAAAACAAAATTGATTGATTGGAAAAGTGGACCATTAATAACTAATGTAGATCTTATATATTGTGAACAGATAAAAGAAATTGCAAATTCCAAAGGAGCTACTGTTAAAAGAGCACGTACTTGCCAAGCGCTCGTCTTACCGCATGAGAAAGCATTAAAATTACAATTACAAAGGTAACTCAAAAAATCATATAAGATCTTAATCTATTTTACTTATTCTTAAAGCCTACCCATTGGTTATAAATTTGATAAACTTCGTTTGGAACATGCAGCTTTAATTCACGAAATATGGGTTAATAATAAAGAAGGTTCTTTGGAATACATTAAGGGACTCATAAAAGTAAACAAAACCTTAGGCATTTACGAAGAACCGAATAATGAGTTAGTAGCTTGGATATTTCAAAATGATTTCTCCGGTTTAGGGTAAGTTTATTATATTTTGTATTACAGTCGAAATAAAAAATTTTTATTTTATTTATTTATAGAATTTTACAAGTAATGCCAAAACAACAACGTCAAGGTTTCGGTAGTTTGTTAGCATCCTATTTAAGTAAAAAAATTGCGGATTCAGAAGAAGTGGCGGTTACGGCTTGGATATTGACAGAGAATTTCAAATCAGAGGGATTATTGACAAAAATTGGGTTTGAGAAAACCGTCATTAATGAATGGATACAATTAAATAAATCTGTATAAAACTAAATTCTGGTAAATTATAAAAAAATTAATAATAATATTTATGACGACATGAAAAACTAAGTTATAGTTCAGTTTAAATATTAATATTTAAATTATTATGTATTATATAAAAGATATATATAATATGTTTATGTTATTCCTCTTAAACGTTACAGATTTATAATTTTATTTCATGAATCAACTTTTTCGAACACAAATTGTAATATGTTTAAGCACAAACCAATAGATTGTAGATACTATTATAATAAAAACTACTGATTTTTGCATTAGACTTTAATATTTCTAACGTTAATTAAAATTTCATCATAAATGAAAATACAAAAAATTTCTTACATTTTAATATCGCTTTATATTTGCTGTGCCATTGTCACTTGTATATATAACGTTGTTAAATATACTAAGGACTTATTTTTAAGATTTTATATCTAGAACAAAATGAGTTCAAAATAATTTAATTAAAAGTTTAAAATTGAAGCATAACGATGAAAACGGTAAGAAACGTATTGCAAATCCAGGATACATAATAAGAGAAGATAATTACGAATTATAGCCTGCTGTTTTTGTCACTATAGACATGGTTTACTACAACATTAACAATCTGTAGTAATATATCACTAGATTGTCTATGTCAACTTCAATATCAAACATATATGGAATACAAGTCCCATATATCAAACTGAATCATAAAAATTGGGGTGTTAGGATGCGTAATACCTAAACATTATAAGATGATTAAAAATTATAGTCAAAATTTCATTCGATTGACTGCGACACCTGCCACATAAATGTTAAATATTATGTTGTAATACCTGGTTTCAATATTGACCGGGTCTACGTCCCGGAGTCACTCATCGTCAGCGAAGACCAAGTGCCGTTCGATACTTTCCAAAACGACTTCACAAGCAGGTCCCAGCGGGTTAAATTAAATGAAATTCATCTTAATTTGTGGAGGTGATGTTGGTGAGTATTTTTGTTATCATTAAATTAACAGTTTTTAATAATTGCTTCTCATTAAAGCTTCACACTTTTTTGAATACATACCTTGATGGATCAAGTACTGCTACAATACAAGAACAAACTGTCGCAAATTCGTTGTCTTTAATGATGTGCCTTAAATTAAATATAAATACAAGGTAATTAATTTAATGATCTGTAACTCATCATTATGACTTTGAAGTCTTAAGGACAAGTATCCTGTATTTTTTTGTATAAAAATAAATATTTTGTATTCAATATTTGCAATTAAAATGGGACACATATTTTTATTTGGTGCTCATATGCTCTGGTAGGTTGTTTAACTTTATACTTTTTGAAAATCAATAAATGCGAAATAATTTTGTTCCAAAAGATGTACTATTGTCATCTAAATATTAATATGTATAATTAAAAGTGATGCTTTCGATGTTAGCATACATTTTAGTATAATATTCTAACAAAAGGTCAAACTTTTAAATTGTGCATTACGCTTGAGGATGTTTTTTTGGTTTGATAAGATAAAAATAAAATCAAGCTACTCTCAATTGGCTATTATATCTGAACTCTGAAAAAATTCGAAGTAAACAAAACAGAACAGACTACGATAACTCAAGATGTCTGCAACAAATCCAAGAACATTGGTTAGAGAGAGCTGAACATTTGTAATGCTTAACACAATCTTAATATATGGTAGTTCCTTCAAATACTTAGCAATAACTAACAAACTGTTTTGTGACCCTTAGGAGCGTATAAAACTCAAGTAATATAAAATATTTTCGAAGCTTAAACGTCTAAGCTCTTCTAGGGAAGGTGGAGCACTTAATTATGTTGCACATAGATCTTTATTAAATACCTCGAAAATGATTAGAATTCCAATTAAAATTAAACAATTATTTAATTCTTATACATAATTCTTATGCTCTGTTGACACTTGTTGAATATATGTACATTATAAAATATATTTTTTATTACAATACAAGCAATAAAAATATACATACAATTATTATTTACAGTGTTTTCACAAAAATAACTCAATAAGTCAATGAATTCACAAAATAAATACTTAACAGCAGTAGTATTATAAAATTTAAATTTTGATTGTATAAATAAAGCAAACATACAATACTTAATATATGTATATGTCATTTAGCAAAAAATACATTTATCTAACAATTATCATAATCAAATTCTTGTAGAGTTTTTCTTTTAATTTGGATTGAATAAAAAGTTGAATTTTTTTCTATATACAAAATGTGCGATTGTTTTACAAACAAATACTAACATATATAGGAATCCTTTTTTAGTTAGATAACTAACTTGATATATAACGCAGAGTTGTAAAATTAACTAATAATTTACTAAAAATTTGAGGATTTCAATATATATTAAATTGTACTAAACAAATATTAATGTATTTGCACCACCATTTGGTATATTGCTGTTTGCCAATAGAGCATTCGTTTGCCCATATTTATTATAAGGAGTACGACTGTTTGCGGAGCCATTTGGTGTAGCTATAGATGTTGCTGAGTTTCTGTAATGTGTATCTCTAGTATTTCGTAATGGTTCATATTTGATTGTAGTTTTTTCGGCAAGTGGTAAAATAGTTTTATCTTTTGAAATTTGTTTTGCCTGTAAAAAAAAGTATGTACATATTTGGTTTCATTCTTAACAAAATACATTATACTAAATATATATACATACCCGATTATAACATAGCACTCCGAATATAGCTAACGTCATGCCAAAACAATTCACCCAAGTTACAGGATTACCTAAAATAAATAACGATGCAGCTATGACAAAAATTCGTTTGGATGCACTAGCAACCGCATAGGTTAGTGGTGAAACTAAGGATAATACACTGAAAGCTATAATATTTTGTAGCCAATTTAATACACCGTCAGCAAAAAGTAACGCAATAACACGGTAATCTAAATTCGTCTGTAATACAAATAAAAGGTTAAACATTTAAAATGACACTCCAACGCGTAACTTACAATTGCTGGATGTTTTATAACTTGAAAACTATCTACATAAATCCAAATTGGCAAGAACATTAAGAGTGCTAATTTGCCAAGCAAATGTAGCAAACGTAAGTGATGTATACCTGTATCCTTTAGCACCTTTTGTGAAAATAAAATTTATTTAACATTAATAAAAATTGATTATCTCTCAACTTACCTTTTTTGAGTAAATATTCTGTAGTGAAAAACCCATTGTAGAGATGAGTGCACTTATTAAACCCATTAAATCGAAGGATATTTCTGTCATTGTCGCAATCGCTACTCCGGTTATAATTGGTAGTAAACTTAAATATACTAAAGAAGGTTGCTTTTCGCGAAAGAGTAAACGTGTTAATATGACTGTAAATAATGGCATTGTTGCTTTCACTATAAAAATACATTATTATTACTTCTGGGACTTCATTTAAAAATAATGATAGATTATTATACATACCTGTATGTGCGTAAGAAACAGGCACTTTCCACAGAGATATATGAGATGTCACAGATGCTAGAAATTTACCTAAAGCTAGTGGTATGATTAGTCGCCAGTAATAGCCTCTTTCAATATCTTGATATTTTCGTATTCGCCATAGGTTGAAAAATGGTCCACTATAAAGGGTTATACTACATAATTGTACCATAGTCACTGTCATTGGATAAGGGAATTGATTTAGAACCATTTTCCCAATTACATTATTGCTTGATGATATTATGTACCAAAACAGGCACAAGAACAAAACGACCATAACATGTCCTGTGCCTGTACGTTTTCCTCTGTTCATAATTTGCATTTTACCGCTTCTTATTCGTTTATCAAGCGGATTTATATTTATTGTACAATTTTATAAATACATCAGGCAAACAGCAGTAACCATTAAGGTAATTAACAAATATTTTCTATATTAACATATCCAAATTGTAAGAAATAACTTTAAATGTAACGCGAAGGGAATAACCCATTGACGTTGACAATATTTGTTTTCGTTCAAGTAGAAAGCCACGACGCATGGAAACAAAATGGAATCGAAACGGTCTGATACATTTTCGCGGGTATGTTAATGCTGCAGTTATTAAGTCTTCTACTTTTGTTTAGGATGTATGTTGTATGTATATAAAATCTTATAGTATGTATATCAATATATTGTTTAAATAATAATTCAACAATTTGTAAAAAGGTATATTATACTATTTGAACATTATAATATTGTATATTAATATAATATAATATATTGATTAATACGTTTTTTCGGGAGTGTGTTAATGCTGTAGTTTACCGACTCTTCTAGTTTTGCTTATAATGTAGATTATATCTAACGTCGAGTTAGCGCCCCATTTCGTTCTTTACCACTATAAGTGCACTGTAAGAGACTTTAATTGTCAGTAACGGATTTCGAAATGACATTTCAACGACTGATGCCCTTCATCTTTTCCAAAGGTATAACTGTGATGAACTTTACACCTCCCAACCTGTACCAGCGATGCGGTTGGACATAGTTCAGCTTATAAAAACATAAAATTCTTGGCGTACTAAAAATTCGTTGATGCAATTGGGTACGCTTCTTTACAATGACAAACTACAGAAATAACAGTTTAAGGGAAGAGTTTCAAAGGCTGAGTTTTTTAAACATAGCTCAAATATGTATATATGTAGTAACAATCAATTGTATAAAAACAAGTTTAGGTATATACTTTGTGATGTAAATTTTATATCTTTATAAAGATCACAGAGTGCTTTACAAATCAAGTAAAGAAAGTTTCTTTAAATTATTGACAGTTTGAGAGTAATTGGAATTTTCACTTATGAATACAAGCCTTGGATAGTGTTTTTTTTTTGTTTCAAAATACAATATTTTTCATAAATTATTAGTTGCCTTGTCTATTTAATATAAATATAAAGTTATCTATCTGTATTTTATCATTTAATGATTTCCATTGATATAAACCTCAACTGCTCTATAACCTCAAATTAATAAGATAAATAGATAGCTATACTTAAAGATAGAAACATATAAAGAAATAAACGACTCATTTTAACTATATATCAATAAAACATCCTGGAATAGGTCAAAGAATTATACCGTACATATGGTATATTAACGAATTTATAAATTTACTATTTCTTTTAAAACAACTTAACGAAATAGTCATGCATATTTTTTGCTAATATCTAACAATTACGTGGATATGAATATTTATTTAGGAAAAAAAATGGAAGCTTGAATTAACTAAAATTGTGCATTTTATCAATAAGTTAAAGTTATAAATAAGAATATGCCAGAAACCAGGAAAATTTTTCTGGGGTTAGCAGAATAATTTTAAAAAATAGTTATTTATCACTACTTCTGAAACAAAGTTCAGGCAAGCGTTTTGTCTTCTAACAGTTTAATATTTTTCTTACTATATAATTTTAATAACAATAAATATTATTGATATACTATGCTCAACGAATCATATGTTCCGTGATTAATAAACAAATCTATTGACATTTTATGTTAAATTATTATACATTTTATTTATATATATATATTTGTAAAATAATTTATTGTTTTAATGAACAAATATTTTTAATAATAATTTTATTTTTAAATGGGCTACAATTAGTGGTTAATAGTTAATTAATACACTTTTAAAAAATTTTTTTGTTTATTTAAAAGATTTTAGTTGAACCGATATTTCAACTATATTATATTCTATTCTAGTATTTTAATTCAATCATATCGAATAACAAATTTAATACTTTTTAAATACAAAAACGGTTACAATACATACATATTCAAAGTTTATCAAAAGCTATGAAACCCTGTATCACCTACAATTAATAACACTTTGAGAGGGATTGTGTGCGCGTGTTTAGCATGGTCTAGTCCTACATTAATTAGTCATTTTTAAGTTATTTGTTTATAATTAGTGAAATAAAATTAGTTAAATAATTGTATAAGAACTTTAAGTGTTAAATAAGGTTATCGTAGTGTAAAACATTGAATAAGTTCAAAAGGTATAATACAAATGAAAGAAAGTATATGCATTCACAACGCTAAACAGTTAACATAAAACGAAAGTTTCGCAGATTTTTATTTGCTGTACATGCATTTCGAGAAAGAGAGTGAGAATTTAGTTTGCGCTCTCCATACTGTGCTGTTTTTGTTTACACAAGTACACAAGCAATAGTTAATTTGTATTTTATATGTAGATCAAAATATATTATTTCCAATGTAATACTTTTAATTACTTAATGTGTTTAAAAATTAACTTAATTTTCCAATTAAGTTTTGTTCTAAATAATAAACTGTCGGTAAAAGTCAACAACAAGGTTAAATTGCTTGTTAACAATTGCTCAATTACACGCGGAAACCCAGGAAATTGCACAAATTTTGTGTTAAAGCACAAAGCCAATCTGCAAAACGGTTCTGCTATTGAATTTAACTTTGACAGAAAATAATTGTGTTTGTATTTTTGCTGCTGCTGCTGCTATAACTCGGGAAGTAGGATAATCATAAAATTGGTAAATAACTGCATAGTAAGAAAAAATAAGTGTTACATTAAAAAAAACATACAAAGTATCACATATATTTATGAAATGATGGAAAATGATTAAATCGTGGTGCAATGTGTTTCAGAACTGAATTTTAATTAAAAGCACAAATGAAATTGGCAAAAGAAACGGTGAAAATAATTAAAAACAAGAAATTGTTAAAAACAAAAAAATGGAAGAAAAAAATTAAAAAACCAACTACACCAACAATATAAATTGCTTGTGAAATTTTAAGAAACATTTAAAAATTTACCGCATTGTTTTAAAAATAGAAAAGAAATTTCGAAAAATATAACAAAAAAAGCAACCACTTTGAGGCAGTGGTATGAATTTATGTTATTATTTTAAAAATAAGTGTGCCTCTGAGTATATACATATGTAAAAAGTAGGTGGTTGTGAGGTACATGGGTACATGTTGGTCATTGAATTTGTCTGCATAAGTTGCTAGTGGGTGGGATGGAGCGTAGGGTTTACATACCATACCGTTGATCTGGAAAGCAGCAACAACTTCAAATAACAGCAACAGGAATATACAGTGCAGCCAACACACACAGTATGTTAAATCTGCAAATTTTTATTTTTGCAGACAATGCAGACAAGGACTATACATAGACGAATAAACACACAAATTCACATATGCACGCAACATTAAAACCAAAAAAAATATGACTTGATTCGTTGGCGACTAACGGACGATGGATGATCCCATCTAAATAATTTTGTTTTTGTTTAAAACTTCAAAAATTATTTTCTACTTAGTAATTTTTAGTTTGTATTATTTTATATTTTAATTTACAACAGTGAAATAAAGCAGGTTGTTTTCACACACATATATAATTTTTATTATTTTACCTAACATTAATGTGGAATTTGATATCCTAGGGCATGTATATGCGCACCTGTGCGCCTTACAGTTCACCTAGAAATAATAATTTTTGGCTCCACGAAGCTATAAAAATTTTATTCTAAACTCATTACTGCGTGTGAATCATTAAATTCAAAGCAGAATTTGGTATTTTGTTTTTTTTTCCTTTTATTTTTTCAAAATATTCCGAGCAATAATAATAAAATTTTAAAAACTTATTATCATCATAAATTATTATTGAAAAATCTGCTAGAAATTTTTCGCAAATTGCCATTTTTATTACTTGCGCCATGTATGAATCGTTCTGTCTTCACTTCAGTTGAAGACATTTTGGAACATTTGGAGTTGGTTAGCATCACATCGCCAATTGATTGAATATATATTGTGAAATGATCATCAATTCAGACAATAAATAACACTTCTTTTTGACATAAAATGCACATAAAATATTTTTAGATAAATTTTTAATAATAATCTATAATGTGAAAATTAACCTTTGACCTAAAAGATTTGTTCTTAAAAATCTTTTCTCCTTAAACTATAAAAATGTCTATATGTTTTGAACAATTTTTATATAATATATTTTCATTAAATATAAAGTAAAATATGTACTTACATATATAATATTATTATGTTGAGCCGAGTTGGTGCATCAAGGCACTTTCACTCTTTGATAGCTGGGGGGTTTCTGCAGAGTCCCACGCATCTCACTGATTAATTTGTGTATTCTTCATAAGCTTCGTGATTATTCAATAACAGATCTAAGATCTGCGTACCGCTCCGCGCTGTTAGTGATTACACTGAGACTAGATAGTGATAAGTAGAGTAGCCTGTCGGTTTTCGCATATATATATAGTATGTAGTTCCAAAAATCTTTTAAAAATAAATTTTTGGTCATTAAAACAATAAATTATTAAAAATTTTAAACATTTAGCAGTCATGATGACTACGTTAGGTTATTTATAAACATGGATTAAACAATAACTATTATGATTCAAATCCTAATTAGAGAGTCTAATATACTGTCAAAGAAATAGAATGCTCTATAAACTATATACTACAGTAGGAATAATTTAAAATCCTAAAAAGATTCATAATAATATGAAAGACGTAAAGCATAAAACGCATACAAAAATTTGAATCCACTTTAGTCTAATTAACGGTAAGGGTTATATTAAATATTCTCCCTGCTTACGGGTCTTAAGGGGGCTATTCTATGTTAAAGAAAAAAATTTTTTGTCTTTTCTTCATATTAGGATTTTCAACGATTAGTAGAATTCCATTTTAAGCTACTAAAGCGACAATCGGCGACTTTTACTAGTAGGATATTATACATTACGAATACTTCAATCGGTTTAAATACATAAAACTATTGTAGACTGTGCAGAATACGTTATTGAGCAATGAATTGTTGAGAAGAATCTCGTATTTCGCTTGAATAAAAATACCATTAAAAGCTCTATTTATTTATGGATATTTATTGAAATGTTCACTGACCAAACACGATTTAATGCGATTTATTACTAAAGTATACTGTCATTATCTATTTGACTAAATTTCTGGGTAAATAAGTTTATTATTCTATTTTTTGTCTTAAATCCATGGTAAAGGTTATTAGATTTCTAATCTTAGAATATTTTGAGGTAGACTCTCTAAACTGCTCTCCTTTTACTTGGTTTTCTCCTTAAAACTGTTACTGTTTTGAACACTTTTTGCAAGCCTTACTGATTGTTTTAGCACGCATTGTTGCCATGGTCAATATTGTATTGTAAGCTATAGCGTTTGAATAAGAGGGATGACTAAACGACTATAGAACTTAGACTCTGGAAAGTAAGAAACTCTCAGGTGCAGCAAGATCTAAATTAGCTAATCGCAGTTCTAGACATAGCTTCATGCTTAACAGTTGTTATGCACAAAATCGTATATTGTTACCGTTTTGTCCAACTGTAGCTGTACTTCTCATAACGTCTTGCATCTATTTATCTATCCTACTAAATACATATATTTAAACTCTATTGATTTGTTACTCTGCTCAATAATGATAGTAAAATTCGTTTACCTCGACACGAATTAGTTGAAATATGTTATGTCCTTACTAGCTCATTATGTGCTTTCCTTACTTACCAAATGTTTTATATAATTAATATTAAAAGTATTAAGCTGTTATTTTTATAGAGGCACCAGTAGTATAACTTTATTATAGAAAAACCAAAAAGAAAACTCAAAGTTATATCTTATGAGCTATAATTATACAGAATCTTGCCAAATATTTATATCTATAGTTTACCGATCATCATCAGTTTCTTAAAGCTCATAATGCCTCGGTAAAATATCTTAACCGTATGCGGTTTTGTGTTAGATGCATCGTCTCGTTCCAGGAGCATCGTAATATGTTCACTTCAAACTATATATTGTTATATCCTATGACTTAATGTCTTCGACTTCTGTTTTCGTGTAGATTTCAGTCAGGACCATACCGACCAATTTTATGAGTATATCTAAACCCATTGGCATCTTTAATCTACTAAAATCACCTCAGGAATAAATAAAGAACATTTCGCGGGCAATATGGAAACTTTATTCCAGTAATCAAAGGGGAGAGATATGAGCAAGAGCATCTATGGCATCGTTTTTAGGACATCGGTTTAAAAACATTGTTTTTAATACACCAACTTTAGTTTTTAAGACCCATATAGACTCACAGATATGTATACTATATTAAAGAGTGTCCACAATATGGCAATATGGAAACTTTATTCCAGTAATCAAAGGGGAGAGATATGAGCAGGAGCATCTATGGCATCGTTTTTAGGACATCGGTTTAAAAACATTGTTTTTAATACATCAACTTTAGTTTTTAAGACCCATATAGACTCACAGATATGTATACTATATTAAAGAGTGTCCACTTCAATTGTGGTTTATTATCATTCCCATTAAAGGAGAATAATAAAATATATGCAAGATATTAATGCTACAAATAAGACTGTCTCACAATGCCTAAAAGGAAACAAACGAGACCTTTTTAAAGTAGTTTTTTCTGCTCACATTTAAATTTTATCATATTTTTTTGTTAATAAGTAAATACATTATAAATAACTATTTTACGGTAACACAGTGGAGCAATAGGCTTAAGTGGATACTTTGGAACGCCGACATAATCTAACCTAACCTATTTTAAAATAATTCCGATGTAGTTAAACTTTATAGGAGTTTAAATTTCGGTGTCAATTTCCATTTAGTTATAGGAAACTTATGTCTATTATATAAAGAGAACCAATATATTAATCAGGTACTAGTTATGAGTTAGTTATTTTATTTTAACATTGATAATGTTTATACAGATGTTCCTCACAAATATTTTTATATTAATTATTTCATATTATATTTTACTTCGTTTTCATTTTTTTTGGTACTGTTAGCTTGCAATTTTTATACTTTTTTACGTCTTTGATGCTATTATCTGGTATTTTTGTTCCGGTTATATCTGTATATATATTTGAGTGACGATTGCTGACGTGAGTGAAATAAAAAAATCTTTTTCGTAATTAATATGAATTAAATTTAGTAGAATATTTTTATATACAATGTCTGACTTAATAACTTTTGTTAAACTTTTTAAAAAGTTTCAATGATGAAAAACTTTATTGGTGTATCTTCTATCACATATAGTTTCCCAAACCTATAATTTATTTATCACATTCGTTATTTATTTCTTAGCCTTATATTGACGTAGGCTTATATTGACAGTTGTATAAATGTGATATATATCTAATCTTAAAAAGCTGGTAGTTAATGTTGGATTTACACGAGAATTTTGTTTGTAATTTAAGCTGTCAATTGTTGTTGCCTTCAATGCAAAATGAAAATTTTTGACAACAGAAATTATAAATAAAACTAGTGTGAATCCATTATAAACGTATTATACAAACAGTCAAATTTAACAAATTTGAAGCATGTAAATCTAAATCTGTTATCATTATTCTAGAGATATTTACTTTTATCTAAGATATTATAGTTTTAATATATAATATGGCTATATACACGTAAACTTTATTCGCTATTGAATTTCAAATATTTTTTTATTCAAATATTAAGTATTTTC